CATTGTTCTGGTGTTTATTACTTTATTCCCCCTTTTTTTCCTTTTCTTTTTTTTTTTTTTTAAATTTCCTTGCAGTGGAAATGCATCATGTGTTTGTTCTGATGTGGACAAAGCTTAGTCACACTGACAAGAGTGTATTAAGTCAGTAAATATAACTGACCTAGATCATTCACTCGTTTTGCTTGTATTGTGTTTTGTAAACCTTTTTCATGTCTGGTGTTTTATTCATATGTCGTGATGTCTGATGTCTGGTTCAAAACGAGGGCTGTATGTGTAAGAATTCACTCGCTGTGATAATTCAAACAATTGGACTGTTTTCCCTGTAAATTTGATCCACAAGTTTTTGTGTTGTTGCTTATTTACTTTTTTAAGTGTGCAGTCTGGTTTCTCAAAAGGTAAATGAATTATGTTAATACTTAATTGTTTAAGGAGTCTTAAGACGTCCTTGGGTACTGAAAAGTCACTATGCTTCATACACCAACTCTTTACCATTAATTTGCTAATTATTTTATAAATACATAACTTTGACTCAAAAAAACTCCATTTGGATTTTTTATGCTCTTCATCAAACTAAACAAATGTGACCAAAAATCCTCACAGGAAAGTCTCTGTTATTTTCCTCTACATTTAGAAATCTGAGCAGAGCCCTCTGCAGTGCACAGCAGCATTTTATTTCCCTTTTCTTGAAAATAAATAGTCCTTGCTAGAATCAAAGTGGAAAACTGAAATTGTAACTTTGATTATCTTAATGCTCTTTTATTGTATCACTCTAATAAGCAGGGAACAAGTTAGACACATTTTGGGATAGAGGTTTATGATTGAGAACACACTTTTTTCCATTATTTGCATAATGCTTCTCTCTGGTGCCCGCAGGTGGTTGCATTTGCTTTTCTGTTGATCAGGCTCCAGTTCCTGTCGTGCATCTTTTACTCCAAAGGGGAGGGGAAATTAATCTGTTATTGATCAGGATCCAATTCCTGTTGCGTATCTTGTACTGGGAAGGGAAAGGGGCATTATTCCATTAGGGGTTGATAATTCAAACCATCTGCAGGTAGGACCTGGAAACACTGAATATATTCCATTAGGTAGTTTGTAAGGTCGTTTTTTTTTTTCTCCCTCAAGCAATCTTGAGATATTGTGTGGTTGTCATTTCTCCTCTTCTCTCATATTCTATGTTAGACAGAGATTGCACATTCTTGATGCCATAATGTTGCATTACATGTAATATTTTTGCTATTTGTATTGAACTCTTATCTCCTATCCTGCTTTTTTTCTAATATAGGTGTCCATAATTTGGTAACATGAAGCTTTGTATCTATCCTGCATAATAATTGCAGAGGCATTTCTGTGCAAGCCTCAAAGTCTGTAGGAAGTTTCTGGTAAAGGTTTTCTAAACTTTTCCTCCCAGGAAAACTTATAAATGGTTTCAAAGTTCTCTTAAAGTATTCTAATTTCTCCACTGGCTTGAGGGTAGGTGATCTCTTCTCCAAAGCGTTTTTCTCCCATAGACAAATTCCATGATACAAGTAGGTAAATTCATTTTTGGACACTGATTCCTGTGGGATCCTTTCTTCATTGGAAACTGGACATTGGGAAGCAACTGCAGTAGTAACTTACACTAAGGGCAGGGATAACAAGCCCTCAGCCTCACATTGCAGGCTCTACCCTACACTAGGGAAACAAGGGTGATCTGGATGATTATTTAGGAATCCTCCCTCTTCCTACCCATGGTCACCTTCTTTGGATTAAGAGTCTTCAGAGGGTCAGGACCTATAAGCCTCAAAAATAAAACTTACCATTTTGCTCAAGTCCAAACTAGTCCAAATAGTTTGCTCAAGCCCAAACTATTACTTCTTTTCAAGAGATAAACACTTTCACTGAGACTGATTTACCCCTATCTCTGTCAGATGAATTTGAGCATCCATTGAAGTAATGTATTTAATATTCTGCACTGAAAATACAGATACAGATAAACTTTGCCATAATGTAAAATCTGGGAAAGAACCTAATGTTTATACATTTCTGAAGGGGAAAAAACCTATTGTGTCTTCAGTCCTATGGCCTGAGTGAGATTTCAGTTCTGTTGGGGAAAATTAAGGACCCAAGTGGCTTTGATAAAGTCTGTGATCTTTATAAACTGTCAATTACAATATTTAAAATTCCCTGTACCTTACATGGCAATATATGTACAGAGATAAAACCACTGTCTTCCCAGAGATGATAGGGCAGTGTACATAATTATGGTATTTAAATAACAGATTAGAATTCTGCAGCTCATCAGTATTTAAAAAATCGGTGTCATAAAGCACTTGGACAGGAGGAGGGAGGTTCAGAGAGCTCTGGGGTCAGTGATGTGCAGCCACACACAGCCACAGGTGATGAAAACAAATAGACCGTGCAAAAGTTGTTCACTCTTTCTTTTTCTCTCTTCCCTCACTTTATATCTGCTTTGTGTGGAAATGCCAGAACTGTGCATTCCACAGTCTGGAGAGGAGTTTATGTTTAGAGGGAGAGAAAAATCCCAGTTTCTTAGTGCTGCAGAGGGAAATTTAAACTATCTTTGAATAACAAATAGGGATGTTTACAGTGTCTACAAGCTGTTTAGATAACACTTGGAAATGTTGTTGTTTTCTCTGTCTGCTTGTTACGTCTATAGCTACCTTGGTAGGTTTATTCCTGGGATTCCAAGTTCTGGCCATTTTGATGAGCCCTCTATCACATCAGTATTAGTTCACTCAGCAGCCTGCTTTTAATAGATACATTTCAGGGATGAGACAAAATGAAAATAAACACATACTTCGTTTTGATTCTCGTTACAACCAGTAAGAAAGTCAAAGAAATCTTACATTTTCCTGGTTTCAGGGGGAGGAATGTGCACTTTTATTTCCTTGCTTATCTGCTGACTGCACACAGGACCACTCGTGTGTGGTGATGGAGGTTACAACAAAGCTGGATTCTCCTCTTGGGCTGGTTTTTCTGGGCTGGAGCCGTTCTTCAGGGGAGCTGATAAGTCAAACAAGTGATTTTCTTCTTTTCCAGGTGGAGATAAGAAATTATTACTGCCAAATTAGTAACTTGTTTGTTGATCTTTTAGCACTTACTGTTATAAACCTTCATCTTGGGCAGAAGTAGCAGTGAACAGTGATGCTGAGGTTATTCCTTCTCATCAGTAAAAAGCTACTAATCTGATCAACTCTTATTTTCTGGGGTTTTTTTCAGATTACTCTCTGGAAAATTTCTGCCATGAATGCCTATAAGACCACCATGGAAATCTTAGAAAATAGATTTTTCTATCGTATTTCCAGGATTGTTGAGGAGTAGACGTAAAATCTACTAACAACTTGGTTTTTGAGATCCCATGGGAGTTGCATATAGATCTGTGTCAGTTGACAGAGCATATTTATGGGAAGAAATAAATATGTGCTTATAGTTTCTGAAGTACTATTGAATGCTTGAATTTATTCAGAAGTGTGGGTGATATTCTTAAAATTTTAAAATTACACTCCACACTTCCATCTCCCATACTACACTATCTGCTGTCAATTAGAAAAACATCAAAAGGTGAAAGATTTGTCATTCAGAAATCTGCTAACCTGGTGAACATTTGAGCCCCATTACCAAAGGCTTTGTCTCTCCAACAAATGAAATCCTATGTGAAATGGCTTTTGGCAGGCTGGGTATGATCCAAGCAAAGAATCTTCTGTCCATTATCTGTCCTTTAGGGAATTATCTTAAACATTCAGGGTTTGTACTTTGCATTTCCCAGTTTCCCATTCTGCTTAATGGGCATGGACTAGCTTCCTTTGCAGAAAACATTTGATGAAGTGGCTTGCTTTTCCATCAGTTTGGTTTTATTTTCATTACTTTTCTCTGTAATTTGTTTATTGGTTTCTGTATCTTTAGAAAATTTTATTACTCTGTTATTCAAGCTAAAAAATAGCTAATTTTTCTTTCCCAAATGAGTTGCTTGAAGCAAAGTACCTATGAATACATGGGTATTTTAATTCACTTACTAAATGTACACAGAGAAAATTTACAAGCTGCCTTTTTACCATTTTTTAAGTGTCTGCTGACTGTTGCATAAGCTAAATTATTTACAGTATGAAGCCTCACAAAAGAGTAACAGATTTGGGTTATTTACTTTCCTGATAAGAAAAAGGGATTGAAGTTGCTGTGATATGCTGCTTTGTTAATTTTATATTTGTTCCCCAGTGTGTAAAATCTTTTTAAAGAACTAACATGAGTATTGGCAGACTCTTTTGAAATGGTATGGAAGGAGTAAGATTAAACAAAACATGAAAAGGTCTTAAAAATATAAGTCAGCAAGTGTTTGATAAAAATAAAAGTGCTCAACAATAGAAAACCTTTAGGATGCTTAATTTATTTGCTCTCTCTTTGAGAATGGCCCCTGCACTCCATCTGGGAGTAGTTCTTGGGAGTTCTGTGTGTGGAATGATTCCAGGCTGGATATGTTGGAACAGTGTGTTTGTACAGTGTTGGCCACTGCAACACAAAGAAGATGTGAAGCCATTAGAGGGTGTCCAAAGAAGGGCAATGAGGATGGAGAAGTGCCTTGATTTGAAGCCATGTGAGGACACTGAGGGCACTTGGTGTGTTCAGCTGGGGAAGAGGAGACTGAGGGGAGACCTCATTGGAGTTACAACTTCTTGGGAGAGGCAGAGGAGGGGCAGGACTGAGCTCTGCTGTGTGGGGACCAGGGACAGGACCCCAGGGAATGGCCTGGAGCTGTGTCAGGGCAGGGTCAGGTTGGATATTAGAGAAAGGTTCTTCCCCCAGGGCGTGGTTGGGCACTGGAACAGTGATCACAGTACCAAGGCTGATGGAGCTCAAGACACATCCGTGAAACGGCCGTGCTGGAGATCTCCCCTTTAATGAGGGGATTAAAATCCGTGGTGAGGCTGAAGAGTGAGATTTGCAGCCTTTGTTACCACTGTCACAGGTGTCCAGAACCCTCACCAGGTGTCTTTGTGCCCGGGCAGGTGCTGCAGACCCCGCTGAGCCCCTGGCTCCCACCATCGTGATCCGCCCGCGCAACACCAGCGTGGTCGCCGGGAGCAGCGAGGCCACTCTGGAGTGTGTGGCCAACGCTAGGTATGGAAACACCCCCGGGGCTGCAGGGGACTGGTTGTAACACACTGTCCTTTACTGAGAAGGACAGAGGAAGTTATTTTCATTTTTTTTATTAATTTAGAGATTGAAGCAGAATGCTTGCTCTTCAGTGCAACCTTATGAATAATCTTGTTTGTGCGACATTACTGAATTAAACCTATTGATTTTTCTGGCCAAATGACGGTATGGTCAGGGGTACTTTCCCACTTGTTCCTCACATGGAAAGGAAAAGAAGTGCAGTGGTGTTAAATCAGCAGACATTATCTTAAGGAAAAGGTTATGGTAAGGGTTAATAACATCTCAGCTGTGTTGCCTGTCAACAGGAAAGGTGATATTGTTGAATAGTTGATGCCGTCTGGTAAATAAATTAGTGAGGATCTCCTATGAAGTAATTTATTTCAGACACTCTCATTTTACAGTGATTATTACTCAACTGTTCATAATGCACTGTAATATGGAATTCACAGCATTTCTCTATGTTTCCATCTAGTTGGCCTTGAATAGCTTTGAATTTCAGTGGAAGTAAATAGTTGAAGTCCTTGGATGATAAGACCAACTGATTCACTTTCCCCTCTGAGGGCAGAGATGTTCTTGATCTGATTAATATTGTTTTGGTAATTGAGTTATAATGAAAGCACTTCCCATGCAGCTGATTCCCATAGCAGTATTTACTCCTTTTGCTTAGAGAAATCAAATTATTAGCACTTAAGTTCTATTGCTGTATCAATTAGCTGTACTTGCATAATGCCACTTGAGTAGTCTGTAGTCTTGGTGTGTAGACATTATATATGCATTTATTTCTTAATAGTGAATGTTGGGAATAGAGGAAGGCTTTAAGAAGTTTTATAATCTTTAATAGTATATTCTGTGTGTGTGTGTATGTGTGTATATATATACGTATATGTGCACACACAGAAGATTATTCTGTAATATAGATGTTTTATTGTTGTCTTCTTGTATTGTATTTCTTGGCAGACCTCTTGAGAGACTAAGTGTGACCTGGAAGAGAAATGGAATAAAGATAACCAGTGGCATTAGCAGCTTTGGGAGACGACTCACTATCACCAACCCAACCTCTGCTGATGTGGGGATGTACTTCTGTGAAGCAAAACTGAGAGAGAGCACAGAGGAACCAGCAAGAGCAAAAGCCTTCCTTTCTATACTGGGTAAATCTCAAGGCAGTGGTTTTTTTACTAAAACAGGCTCTGGGCTGAGGTATAATAGGAAATAAAATTGATATCTTAATATTTCATTGACCTTACATTTGAACCTTTCTTCAGAGAACAGAACAAAGGAGGTGAAAGAGGGTTATCTTCCAAATTAATTCAGCTGTTCTTCCCCACTAATATAAATTCATCAAATAGATTTTTTTGAACACTGATGTGATTCTGAATCCCCTGTGAAACCATACATTTAATGAGAATTTTGAGAAATACAGTAGTAAAATCCTTAATGGGCAGCTTCCATATCTTGGCTTTTAGATGCATTAAATCCTGATTAACTCCTGGCTTGCTTACATCTAGTTTTCATATGTCAAGTGCCTGTATTTCTGAAAGAAGGCTTTTAGGAGCACTTCTGTGCCTCGTGTGTTGCAAGTATCAGTCAGGGGCCAAGGATGTTCTTCACACACAGGCAGGCAGAGAGCCCTGGTGAGGTAAAAGGAGGGGGAAGGAAATACCATTAAAGCAGCTCCGTTTGCTGGACCTTTGACTCCAAGGGAAACTTTGCACTTAATACTTTTGAGGGGACATTGCTGTCCTTTCCTAGCCTGTTTCCACCATCACCTCTGTGTCCAAGTGTTGCTGTAGGAGGAAGGTTGGCATTTGGAATTGGTGCTTCCCAGCGTGTCGTATCCCGATATCCCACTGCAGATTCACACACTGCACACAGGGTGGAGTCTCCTGGGACTTTTAGACTAAAGGAGATGTTTTAGACGAGGGACATGGAGGTGTTTTAAGCCAGAGCTGATTGTGTAAAGTCAAGCTTTTGTGTAATAGTGCCAGTAATAACTGTGTGAGTGTCCTGGGGAGATCATTGCTCTGGCAGTGACACGAGTCTCAGCGTTGGGCAGGATTCATGCACATGCACTTCTGTAGCATTGCAGAGGGAATTCAGCCTGTGGTTCTCTGCACTCTTTGAGCCTTCTGAAAATGCAGTTTTAAAGACTGCTGTAGGGTCTGTATTCTACTAAAGCAGTTTGTAGTAGTTCCTGCTAAGTGAGACAGCTCTTCTCTCTGCAAAGCTCCTTTCCAGATTCACTTGTAGTGCTGTGTTATATTTATTACCTACTGGACAAAGTTTGATGCCAGTATTTTTTTTTTGTCCTCTGTTTCTTAGAATTATTACCTTCCCTTTAAGGAGCAGAGATGGATTTCACTTATTTATGGGTTTTGTTTAAACTCTTCCTTATTCATAAGATTTTATTGTACCTAGTTTACTTTTGCTGCTCTGCCATCACATCCAGTCTAATGTAATACTTAAAGCAGCCTCTTGGTTAATGGAAAAGATTCTTAAATACAGTTACAGTAAAACTGAAAAATAATCATTGGGGGATCATATTAAACTAGCAGTGCTTTAGTAGCTTACCTGCTCTCTTATTTTTAAATGTTTTATTTATTTCTTATCCAGTTTTAGGAGGCTGTCAGGGAATGAAGTTATGAAAAGGTCTGTAGATAAGAACAAGCAGATGAAAGAAAGCAGAAACAAATTGGTTACCAATTACTTTTATTTCCTTCTGATGGAACACGACACTTCACATGCAGGTGTTTACTCAATGTGTCAGCAAAGCCTGATAGATTTCTTTATTTATGAGTTTCTTGAGCTGCAGGATGGATCTCTAATTCTAAACAGGGAGCCAAATCAAAGGATTAGTAGTTAATGCATAACTTATATTCAGCTTTAGAATACTTGGATGGATCTGGCCGTCATTTAATTAGTCAGGGGACGGGTTCTAGAGGAAAGTGCAGACAGGATTCAAACTGGAGGATTTCTGCAGTGTATCTCTCATAGTCCATTGGGGTAGTACTTACAGAGAATCAAGTTTGCTTGTCCATTTGCATGCATAAAATATTTTTAGTGTGTAGGTGTAGATGGGGAGCTGATAATGAGCTGTATTTGGGAGAAAAACACACTGTGGACTTAATGAGGGGTCTTGACTAACAGAAAAAGGAAATTGTGTTAAAAACAAAGGTTTGTATTCAAAATGGGAGAAATCAAAGGCAGACCCTTAATAGTGTGGCAATGAGAGCTTTTGTGGATCAATAGAGAAAAATACTTTGCTATTAACAGGTAGAATAGGGGTAGGGATAAAAAGATGCATCAAAGATAGCACAAACACTGAGTTAATCAAAGCTTTTTTTGCAAATATGTCGGTCCTTGACTTTCCCAGCTAAGGGAAGTCACACAATTTGAGTGTGGCTCAGATGGTGACAAGAGCTTTATTAGAAGGCAGTGGAACTTAGTACAAAGGCACCTACTCAGTTTAAATTATTATTCGTGACCTACAGTATTATCTCTGAAGTTTTTCTGGCTATTTCTGAGAGTACATCTTGGTTTGTAAATTAGAATCACAATAATATTCAAAAAATCTGAATCTCTAATGTATTAGAGTAGTACTGTATAAGCAAGGAGAAAATCCTCGAGTCTTGTGCTGCTGCAGTTTTCTTCTGAATATGGCAAAGAGCTTTCTGACATCTTCATATTGTTCCAGAAAAGATAAACTGAGGTGGTTCCAAACCTTGATTTTATTAGCTGCAGTTGTTATAAATTTTTAAAGGGTATCATGTTCCTCGGTTGGCAGAGTAACAGTTTGGGAAAGATTTGTTGCAGATTAGATAAGAGCACATTTGTTTTATCACTAACAGTTTGAAGATTAAGTAATTTAAGGAGTCTTCTCATGAACAAACCAATTTGAAAACTGAGCTAATCTTAAATTCTTTTGCTCCACTTCTGCAAGTTTTGTTAGTGACAAACTGCAATAGTCATTTCTTAAGTGACTATTCTATAGGAAATTACAAATTTTAGGAGCTTAGAAAATGAGGAATGAAACTCTTCCACTACATGAAATCCAAACTGCTCTTTAAATTAGATGCAGTCAGAAAGTAAAATCTGAACAGATTGAAGAGAAAAACAATTAGAAAGAACAGCCTGGCATGATGAGGGGTTGTACAGAACTGAGGACTGGAGCCTTGTTGGCCTGTCCAAAAGAATAGGATTAAGTCAGAGTCAGAGTAGAGGACTTCCCTTCTTTCTGGAGCAGTTTTATTTCCAGAGAACTACATTCATAAACATATTATTCTCATCTTGGGAGAATTTTTACATCCCAGCTGAATAGAATTCTTTCTAATAGGATGGTAAGGGAGTGTTGTAGGTCTGTGTTTCTCTTAAAGACAACCCTGATCCTCATCAGGTGTGAAGGATTCAGCTTTGTGGGACCATGGGATATGGGAACACATCAGAAAAGTTATGATAGTAGTGTGAAAGACCCACCTGGTTGGGCTCTGAGATGGAATCTGTGGCTGTTTCTCCTTCACTGTTCTCCAGGAGTGTCCAGATGCAGAAGGGTCTGTGTACAGAACTGCCAGAACAAAAGTTATTTTCCTCTATAGCTGTGAGCCACCTCAATGCCTTGTGCTCGGACCTCTGGAGTCAACAGCTCTCATGACTCTGGCTTAGACACTTTGAAACACAACAGATGCTGTCTTGAAAGCAGTGGAAAGAATTTTTCCATGGTGATTGTGTTCATATATTGTGCTTAAGAGAAGACCTTGGTGACTTTGTTCATGTACTGTGTAAGAAAAGAATAAGTTTTCAGGGAAACTGTAATATGAAATGTCTTTGGACTTGCCTAATCACAGTTTGGGTTCAAAGGAAAGAAATATTGATGGGTTTTTTGATTTGTCAAGGTTCAGAGGTTCTGAGAGGGTCACAGACATGCTACCTTGGGCCCAGATGCACACAGGACCTATCCCACAGGGAAGCAGTGGGACTTCTGGGAAGCCCAGTTCTGTCTCTGATGTTCCTGAGACATTCCTCCTGCTTTCATTCCTGCAAACAGGACATGTGTTCCCTGTGCTGTTAGAAGGTTTCAGAACACACACACGCTGCAGCTCACAGTAGAGGTAGTAGCAAGAAACTAGACACATCTTTTCATCTCTCTCTGTTCTAACCTGATATTCATGCAAAGAAAAATCTTGCTTTAAGGAACCTACTCTGCATGCATCTGCAATGTGGCTTCTCTCCCAGCATGGCCAGTCTGATCTACTGTCTGGAGTTGAGGACTTTGTACCTACAAGGGGCTGTCAAGTTTCCAGTTCCTCTTTCTTTAGAAGATATTCACCAAATAAATTAGTTTATGGTAATGCTGGAGGAAGGCTTCCATGTTGAAGGCTCAATTTTCCTCTTAAATATGCAGCCCTGAATTTCTGAGCGATGCAGGAATTTCAGCTTTGGAGGAGCCCCTGGGGCTTCCTCTGTTCTTTCTGACTTTCATGTGTGTATCTAGGATTAGGTCACACATCTCCAATGCAGCTTGAAGGGTGTGTAATGGATGCTGACTGCTATCTTTTGAATGTTAAAGTCAGTGACCATGTAACTCTGTGCAGGGGAAGTTAGAACAGTATCAAGTTTTGCAGGCTCTCCAGGGCTTTGCCGAGAGATGTCTTTCCAGTGGTGTCTGGAGTGCAAAAAAACCACCCAAACCCTCAAAAATTATTAAAAGCATGCATTTATATTCAAATACTCTTTTCCCCCTTTGCTTGTACTTGACCTTTTAGTGAAGATCAGTCAGACACCAATACAATATATGAACAATACAGTATCTGTTTCTTGCAGTCTGCTCTGAGCTGTGACCCCTCTCATTGCCAGCACACGGTGATGCCACAGGGTGAACTCAGAGTGATGGGTCCTTTCTTATTCTAACTACTCTGATTCTATAATTTCCAAAAAATTACTGTCATTTCTAGAAATTGCCGTGTCTGGGGACTTGTGTCTGGCATGTTACATAGTTTGGAAGACGCTGTAATTTTGCCACACATATTAAATTTCAACACATGATTATTGCCTACAACAATAAATGTTCAAATTCATACTGTGTGTTTCAAACCAAGCCTTATAAATATGCAATAGAGTCGTATATACAGACAGCCAGAATGCCCCTTCGGAGTGCCATCTGACCCCTATAAATATTGCTGCATTTTTATGGCCACTTTCTGACAGTTATTCACCAGGTGCTGCATAACCCAAATTCAGATACTCTGAATTTTAGCCTTGCAGTTAGTTCTGGCCGTTCAGGCCCTCAGGCACGCACCTGGTGTGCAGATGATACATCTGACACCTCTGAAAAGTGAGGAGCTGATATTTTGGTTGTCCAGCACCTGTAAAAAGAACTGTTTCTTCCACAGCCTGAGTTCTGTTGAAGCCATAGGCCCTCACTGCAAAGGACCTTTGGAGCTCCCATGATGCTGGTCAAAGACAAGTGGATGTGGAAAAGCAGCACAGTTGCGTGGAAAACTCAAACTTCTTTACTTTGAGGGTGACAGAGCATTTGAAGGGACTGCCCAGAGAGGTTGTGAAGGGTCATTCTCTGGAGATATTAAAAACACACCTACACACTGCTCTGGATGGACCAGCTTTAGCAGGGGGATGGGTTTGGGTGATCTCCAGTGGTCACTTCCAACCCCAACTCTTCTGTGGTTCTGTGTGAAATCGCTGTTTCATTTCCCTCAAAACCCTAAGAGCATCCCTACAGCAGTACTGCTGGGATTCTCTCATTCTTTACATCACCAAGGCTAATTTTCCATGAATATTAGACTGGGATGCAACAGCACTGTTGTCCACATGGTATTCTTCCAGAATTCCACATAGATCTTCCAGAATTCCTTATGAATTAGACTCATCTTCCCACCCAGGCTTTTCTCTATCTTTAAGCAATGGAAGCAGTAAATTGTGGAGTGGCTTCTGGAAGGTTTTCTGTATTGGTGCTTGTCTTGCAAGAATAACATCTGACTCCTCTGTGGGTAGTTGTTGCACTTGGCAGTGCTTCCAGCTGCTGAATGGCTGTGAGAACAGAGTTCAGCAGGCCTTAGTTGGAGGGAAAAGGTGAGTCTGGGCTCAAAGACTGGAAACCAAATCTGTTGGCACCAAAAGTCCTCTGGGAGCTGTCTGGGGCCTTTAGATTGCATCTTTCTGCTGCTCCTGCTCTTTTTCTGTCTTGTCTGCTTCTGTTTCTCCCTGCTTCTTTCAAAGAAAAGCTGATGTGAATCTTCCTCTTGTAACATCACATCCCGTTTGCTAAGTGACAGTTGTCACTGACTTCAAGTTCCTTGTCACGTAATTCACTCTGTGATACTTGCTCACCTAAGCATCTCTCAATGGAAGAAGTTTCTTTGAGGGTGACATAACAGCCTGTATGGGATTTAAAGGAAGGAGCACAGGTTGCAGGTTAAGATTTTGGGAGGGACTCTGGGAAAGACAACTGTGTAAATATGCCAGGTATAACTGCAGAAACAGCAGCACATAAGCAGAGGTCATGGAACCACGAGCATCTTTGAGGTCACATTAAGTGCTTTGCAGCTGGACTGCAGGCCCATGGTGAAGATAAATCTGCAAATTTATCACTGGTGTGTGAATGTGTTGCTGATCTAGGAGAAAGTTTGTGAGAGCTGGTGGCTGAAGGTTACCAAGTTTAGAAATTGGCCCGCTAAGGTCAGAGTCCTTTGGAAAAGGGAGGGTGGAAAATGTGCAGTCAGGAGTTCCCTAAACAGAAGAAGATGAACTTCACTGATTCAAGAGACATCCACAGAAAAGCCTAAATTTTGAAGGGAATATCTGGATGTGGGGTTATGTGTCTGGATGCTCTCTTGGCCCAGTGCTGCTCTGGCCACCCTTTGCCTCCCCTCACGATCACATTCAGTAGCCATAAAATGAAAGATGCAAATTTTATTCTGAGAGATGGACATAGGGACACTCAGCTGTGTGACCACAGACAGGCACGTAGATAAGGACACCAGGCTAAAAGTTTGGAAAGGAAAAAGTTAACATCCTAAAAAATGAAGCACAAGGAAAACACCAGCCAAGGCCTGGAGGATGGCGTGAGAGGAAAGAGAGCACTCAGAGTGAAAATGTGGACTGAGATGAATTGCAGAGGACTCAGCAACTTAGCTGATCAAACATGTCAAAGTGTGTGCCATCAGTGAATTTCAATTAAATGTTCAGCTTTTCAATTTGTTGTTTAGATTAACGCATGAGATCATATGCAATAAATCACAGCTTATTATGTGTGTTTATTAATAGCTTTATATTTAGGCAGTGAGGATCAATAATGTTAACACATGTATATTATTAGAATATAATAAATCAGGTAGCTTGGTTTTATTGGTTTTGCTGGGTAAACAAGTATTCCAGGCTATTTTGCAACCTCCCCTCCTCCTCTGCACAGCATGTTGAAGACTAATATTGATTGACTTTCTTTGGAATGAATGCAGAATTGTAACATCCATTGGTGCTCAGATGAGACCCCAGTTCTGTACACTGAATCAAGTATTTTATTGCAGTCAGTGGGAAGAAGTGCTGGGAAAGGGGGGTTTCTGTTCTAATCCAGTGCCTATTGATATGTACCTGCTGGCATATCATCATGTCATCCCTGTGCAGTGAGAGCCACACTTGCTGTAGTGCAGGTGGTAGCAGGAGAAATAAGATTTTGCAGGATAAAAATTATGTGATTTTGATTTTATTTACTAAAATACTGATGTTTTATCAATAATACAACCACAAGTCCTTTTTACAGTCATGTTTGGTGAAGAGATTTGGGAGAAGGTCAGCTCAGATGACCTTGAATCTTGCAGTTTACTGCATTTTTTCAACCCTGCTTGATTTCCTTAAAATGAAAACACGAATAGCTTGTTCTCACAAGCTACTTATGTTGTTTTTTTCTGTGTTTTCTAAAACTTACCAGTGAGTTTGTTTATGCTACAATGGAACTCCATTTATAATCAAGTAAAATCCTTCTAAAAACAGTAGTCAGATGATAATTGCATTGAACAGACTATGACAGTTTTTAGTTACCATGATAATTACTGCAACCTTAGTGCCTCTGGGACTTTGACATGATGCTCTTCAATTTTATGCTGCATAGAAGAAAGAGTTACATGCCAGCACACTCAACAATTTCTGCAGTCTTGTCTTTGTTTAATTAAACGTCTAATATCTTTTCTTTAGCCCTAATGATAAAGCGGGAATTTTTATGATTATTACTATAACTTCAATTAAAGCATTAAATCTGTTTGCTTGCAAGAAATAAAACAGTTGAGAAGAATTTTTTTTTAATTATGCTGCGCTTGTCCTCTGATGTCAACTCTCTGACATGCTATGGCACTTTATTTGACACGCTTCATGCCTCTGTGAGGTGGAATTCAGTCTAGATGCTGAAGCAAACTATCCTATAAAATGCTCTGTTGTAAATATAAACCTTTATAAACCTCTTGGGAGGACCTTTCTGAGCAAAGAATTAACATGTTCCATGATTCAGTCCAATAAAATGAAAAGTAGCCCTTACTCTGAGTATTAATTTACAGTGCAAACCCCTAAATCTTACCTTACATTGACTTGACTCCTTGGAACTCATACTCAGCATAGCAAAAATTGTCAGCTTTTTTTATGATGCTTTTACTACCAAAAAAAAGCACCTCCAATACTCCAACAGAGACAAACTTGGTCAAACTAATCTGTTTGCAACACACTACATCAAATACACCACCCGTGGAGAGATTATATGATGAGTAGCTTTAAATCAGCACCTGTTTTTCATTTTGCTGGGGCTTTGCTTGTTGACTCCTGTTTGCTTTCCCCTTTCTAAAGAACCACCGTATTTTACGGCCGAGCCCGAGAACCTGATTTTGGCTGAAGTGGAGAAGGACGTGGACATCCTGTGCCAGGCCATGGGTGAGTCTGCAGAGTGTTCCAGCTTGGGTCAATGATTTGTGTATATCTGGTATGGAAGTAATCATCTCCTGTAAACCATCTTATGTAACTGTTTGACGTTTAGAGCTCTCTGTGTTATTGCTGATTATCACAGATCCCAAGTGCAGGGGAGAGGGTTGTCCTTTCCCCTTGGAAAGCTGGGCAGTCCTTGTTGTTTAGTTTAGACATGAGTAATGCCCACATGTTGATGTTTGTCTGTTGGCAGCACAAATCCTGCTCCTGTCTCTCTGGGAGCCTGTCTTTGCTTCATAGTTGTCACTGTATAAGAGACATCAGTGGCTTGAGCCAGAAAATAAGCATGGTCATGGAACCCATCATTTGCAATGCAAACAGTCATTATTTTCATCAATTCAAATGTTCTTTTTTCCTAAAACTTACAGGACTTCTATACTGAATGGAAATGTCAGTAACTGACATCTGAGTGTAGTTATGAAATCTGCAGGAGGACTATTACAGGCGGTTTTTAGTTGGCAGGTGTTTTAATAATATAAAAGACTTCAAATGTCTAGAATTCCACCTAAACCAAAATGTTTTTTTGGATTTAGTTCCAGAGAAATGCAATCACCACCTATTTAAGCCCTTTAGTAAGGTAGGAGACCCTGTGATTAGAGCAGGGTTGTCAAAGTCGCCACATTTCTTCATGAGTTTGGCAAGTGACTGAACGTGTTGTTATCTCACTTCCCCCAGTGTTGAGTTTAAGAAGCAATACATTCAAAAATGCCACGACATCCTTAAGGAAAAAGATCCTTGATTAAAAAGCACCCATATCTAACTAACAGCTTATTTGTATGGTGTCTTTCTCCAGCTCAAAGCCAATAAAGATATTTTTGCTGTGTGATTATATTATTGCCACTATGATTTCAGCATTTTCATGTGTTTTATGTAGGAAAGAGTCAGCACTGCTTTTCTAGAAGGAAGATTTGCCAACTGTGTGATAAGCAAATGTGTGTGTTAAGAGTGCTCTGGCTGATTTGGAATTTCAGAAACCTTTGATGAGGTCTCTTACAAAGAGCTCTTATAGAAATGAAGCTATCAGATTATAAGAGACAATGTCTTGTTGTTAATTAATAGCTTTTTAAACAAAATGCTGCAGGACCTGCTGTCAGTGGAGTTCTCCAGGAATCTCTACTGTTCAATGTAGTCATAAATGCCCTGGAAAAGAGAGTGAAGAGTAAGATGATGGTATTTGCTGATCATATAAAAGTATTCAACAATGTCAACATTAAAACTGACCACAAAGGAGTTGCCAAAGGTCCTGATGATTTGAACTGACTGGTCAATAAACTGGCAGATGAAATTATTGACAGAGATGAAATTTCCTATTATTGTGCAGAAAAGGTTTGTCTTCTGAAAACATCAATTCAGTGCCGAGCTGTGCTTCAGAATGTGAGGTACTGGGAAGAAAGGAATAGAGGAAAAAATAAGAGTGTGACACTGTATCCATGGGGCAACACCCCCATCTCAAATCCTTCACAGAGTTCTTGGAGAGAGGGATGGAGGAAAACTGAAGGGATACTCTAAAGTAGGAATGGTATAGTTAAAGCTCTACCATGGTTTTTGAATAATGAGAAATTAAATTGACTGGAACACTTTGTGAAAGAGATAACTGAAGGGTGGGTGACATATAGGAAGGTGAGTAGGAGAGGATGATTCTGTGTTGCTTAGTACAGGAAGTAGAGGAGACACCCAACTAAATTTTCGTGTGGGAGAGGTATGATGAAGGAAAGAGTTCTTTTTCAGAAAATATAAACTGTGGAGGTCATTGGTGCAGGCAGTAAATAGGACATAAAGAGAAATAAGAAATATTTAGAAAAAACAAACGAAATTTATGGAGGAAAAATCCAGTAAGGGCTTTTAAACACAGCTGTGTGCATGCAAGTGTGGCTGAGGAAATGACCAAAGCACAGATTGCTGGAGCCAGGAAAGTGGGAAAAGCATCCTATCCTTGGGCTGCCTGAGCATCCATGACTAGACAATTTCAGAGGAAGGAATTATGACAAGAAAGACATCTATTCTGGCCATGTGCCACCAATTTTACGTTTCACCATGTGTTATGACAAACATTATGGCTTTTTTTTTTTTTAATTGGAGAAGATTTTTCAAATAGTGGAACTAAATGTATCATTAGAGAAATTGAGTTTAAAAACATTCTGAGATTTATTTTCTTTTAAATGTTTCAATACTACACAACGGTTTGATGAATCTCTGGGCTGTCTCACTGTCAGTGAAAAAAACCTGTCTGCTGTCTCAAATGTTTTTCATGTATTACAAAAACAAACAACCCGGAACAATCAGGGAGAGATGAGGTTGACTTCAACTCTTCCTTCTACCCTAACTCTTGCTTTGGGCAGTTTAGTTCCCAAGGAGGTGGGAACTCTTATTAGACAAAATTATTTATTTCTGCTGCACTCTTCTGGTGCACATCTGATCTGCTGATGAACATGGTGCAGGAGCATGGAAACCTGTCTTCCTGTGGATTATTTTGCTGAGTATCTGTAACACTCTCTTATAAGGGGCAGGTATTAGAATTAAAAGTAGAGGAGTTTAGATCCATTATTACACAATTGCCAGCATTTAAAAGGAGGGTAAATGAAGGTTGCTGTCTCCTTGCTCCAACCTGGGAGCTGCAATAAAGCACTGGGGAACTGCAAAGCTGCCCTGTACCTTTGCTACAGACGGGAAGACAGATTGTATTTCCCCCAGCCCCGTCAGGTTCTGTGCACAAAGCCCATTTGCCAAGTCTTTGTGCACTATGAATGTGTGAGAGACAGATTAATTTCACACTATAAGCAGAGATTAACTGTAAATAAAATTGCAGTTTGCACCAACCAGCTTTCTACTCCCCCGTAATGGAGTTTCAGTGTATCAGGCCATGCAATAACCAGCCTCTGCTGTTTATCTTCCAGCAGTGGTTGATGTTCAGTGGGTTTCCTTTAAATGCTCTTTCTTATTTGCTTATAGAAAGTTTAGAGCTGCAGGCAGTGGTGGTGGTGTCTGGGGAGTGCAGTTAATTGGACTTTAGTTCAACCTGTTTAGAAAAGTAGATGGAAAGATGCTTTTGGAATTCCCCAGTAGCCCACTGGGATCTAGAAAAGGCTGTAAAAAATAAATAACAAAAATGACACAGTGAATATTTTGAGTCTTTCATCCAGGTTCTTAAGTTAAACGTGGCAAAGAGTCAAACAGCTGTTTCACAGATGGGAAAACTGAGCCTCGGGGTCCATAAGTTATTTGCCCAAGGTTACAGAGAAAGTGGCAAAGCCAGAACCAGCATCTCTGTTTCCTGCCTTCCCTTCTTCCCCATGGTACTAGATTAATTTGTCTGGGAAAGATGAATAGTGCTGCACACAGCTCAGAAATAAGGTTATTTTATTTATTATTTCTAGACCACTCTCTCATGTCTCAAACAGTAGAGTAGAGCTGATACTGCTTGCAAAGGTGTAGTGCAAGAGGTCTTTAAAGTGTTTTCTTCATCATTTTTTTCACTAGAAGTTGTTTAGAGAAGCAAAGAAGCAAAATTCCTTTGGGGGTTTGTGGAGAGGAAAGGCTGTGAGGTAGGAGAGGAAGAGGAGAAAAGGAGCTGGGTTTAACCATTTTTACAACCAAACAGGTAGCAAAATTATAAAAGAACATGTGTACAACTTGGAAGACAAATCTCTCTGGGAAGATCACTAAAGCCCAAATGAATGCTGCTGACAGGCATCAGAGTGCTTAGATAAGATCCTATTATTCAGACTCATAACTTTGAGTAGAGGAAGATATCCGTAACTGAAATGTAGAGAAATAGAGATGGTAATATTCAGTTTGTCAGCTGAGTTGGTGATAGGAAGGTGTATCTCACAGTGATTATAGGATTAGAAGGTTTGCCAATACTGTTAGTAGAATGGGATTTATGGAATGACACCAGTGTTAAAGGTTTGAGTGTACTGAATGCAGGATTTCATTATTTCCTCAGTGCCTATCAAGTCTGATGTGTGGGAAAATGGAGTTGCTATTATTTAAACTTGAAATCATTTCCAGGCTTCTCAGCATCAGGAGAACGATTCCATTTTGCATCATCTGTTTCTTCATTACTCAGTGATAATTTGTATTTGCCCAGGAGGATTTTCAGGAGATGAATAACACTCTCACCGAGATTTCTGAACGTTGAAATTTACGCTAATTCTGTATATGGGCTGTTGTATGAAATTTAAATTATGCCTATTGCAAGCTACTACACTCTGTCTATTCTCCATCAGACAATGCACTCTACATAGTGGGTTTCTTCCTGAGATGATTACCTGCAAGATTATGAGTACATTTTACTTTATCAGCAGAACAAAAGCATCACAGGTGATTGAAGTAAATGATACGTGTTTATAAAAGTAACAGCAGCAATTGGATGTTGTTTTTCAATCATTCTATGCATTGTTTGTACATCCTTTCCAGGAGTTAATACAGCTTTTGTCTGTATAAAGGGAATAAGTACATCGAGAGAAGATATGAATGGAAGTATAATACAGTAGTATTTAACTCTGGGAGTTTTAAAATTATAATGATGATTATATAGATCTTCTCATAGCACTTTAGCTCTCAGAACATCAAGTGACTGCCAGCATTGCAGTGAAATTCATTGTCTGCAGATGCTCAATTCATCAGTGACATCCCATCCTCCACGCTTCGGTGACACCCTGCTTTTCTCTTGCCCATGAATTTAAGTCCAACCTTATTGCAAGGGAATGTGGAGCTCTGAGATTTTAAGTGATATGTTTTCCAAAATAGCTACTGATTATAAAAATGCCACCTTTGGGGCTGAGCTTTCTTAAATCAGCCTGATACCCTTGTGTTCCTGTGATTATGAGCCAGCGTGTGCCCAGGTGGCCAAGAAGGCCAGTGGCATCCTGGGCTGTATCAGCAATAGTGGGACCAGCAGGGCAGTGATTGTCCGCCTGTACTTGGCACTGGTGAGGTCACACCTTGAGTTCTGTGCCCAGTTCTGGGGCCCTCAATTCAGGAAGGACATTGAGGGGCTGGAGCATGTTCAGAGAAGGGCAATGGAGCTGGGGAAGGGTCTGGAGCACCAGGAGCAGCTGAGGGAGCTGGGGGGGCTCAGCCTGGAGAAAAGGAGGCTCAGGAGGGACCTTCTCGCTCTCTGCAACTCCCTGACAGGAGAGTGGAACCAGGTGGGGGTCAGGCTCTTCTGGGGAACTTGTGATAGAACAAGAGGAAACAGGCTCAAGCTGAACCAGGGGAGGTTCAAGCTGGACATCAGGAAGAATTTCTTCATGGAAGGGGTTGTCAAGCATTGGAAGGGGCTGCCCGGGGAGTCCCCATCCCTGGAGGTGTTGAAGAAATGCCTGGATGTGGCACTCAGTGCCCTGGTTTAGTTGACCCAGTGGTGTTTGGTCAAAGATTGGACTCGATCTTGAAGGTCTTTTCCAACTTTAATGATTAGCTAATCACATAATAAAATACCTGCCTCACTTCAGATCCCTGCATTGGACCCTCAGCTCTTGATCCATTAGGGATTTCTGGGAGGTAAAGATGAAACATTGTCTGATATGAGGAGTGGGATGGGAACATTTGTGTAAGATTGTTCTAGGCCTCTGACATTTCCTAAGGAAAAGAGAATCCTACACTATTTGTATATACTGAGTTTACAGCCACTTCACCCCAGCTGATGGGGATACGATGCCACAAAAATATGTGTGAAATAACTGTCAGGGTTTGTGGAACATACACATGAAAGACAACAGGAATAAATGCAATTGTGTTATATCTGGGGTAGGATTTTTGTGTCTCTTTATGCCTGCATTTTTCAAATAACAGGTGAAGCTTGAGACTGAATAAAAATAGTCATAATTTAAAGCTATCTCACTGTTGGCAACATGTTGTATGTACATCAGCTCAAACTAAGCTCCTAAATTGGGACTCAAATACAGCCATGTGAACACTTCATTTTTCATTTGTAATTTGCCATTTCCTTTGTGTTTTGACATCTTAGCTACAGGAGCACAGAGGAATCTTATTTGGGATGGAACGGTCTTACAGACTTGCCACACTGCTGCTGTTTAAGTAGCATGATTCTGGCTTTCAACATGAAATTGCTCTAAATCTTATTTTGTGGTAGCATGAAATATGATTGGGTGAAGAAAGTAATTTGATAACATGTTTTCTCAACATTCCCCCTCCAGTGTTTGCTGGTTTTATTCCCTCGTGTTCTGCAGTGTGTTATTACCATTGATGATGTGAGATGCAGCCTCAATTTATCTCAAGCAGCTTGGAAAAGTATAAATAATTGGTGTAGAAAGATGGGAAAAGAGGGATATGACCATAACAGTGCTGAGTGTTTTGACTACCTAAAAAATGTTTTGCACAGACTAAGAGTGAAGTTATTATTTTATTTTTCTTTATAGGTGTTCCCATTCCCACCCTGGTGTGGTACAAGGACTCTGTTCCCCTCAGCAAGCTGGAAAACCCCCGTTACAAAGTGCTGCTGAGTGGTGGACTGAGGATCCACTCCCTGCGCCCTCAGGATGCTGGAATCTTCCAGTGCTTTGCCAGTAACAAAGCTGGGGAGATCCAGACATACACCTACCTGGATGTGACCAGTGAGTAAGGAGCTGTGATACGAGATCCATGAGCTGTCATTTGTGTAGGTGACTCTGCATCCACCAGATTCTCCACCACTCTGTGCCGCTTTAATTCAACCCACAGAAGCTTGATTTTCTATCCAGCGTAGCTGCCCCAGCTGTAGGGAACCCCAAAATGCCCCTGTGGCCTCAAAACCATCTGCTGAAGGTTGTGGGAAAACTCTCCATGATATTAGGGGCTTGAGGGGAACACTCCTATTTCACACAGCAAGGGATCTTAGTGAAAGGAAAAAAAAAAAAAAGAAAAAGGAAGTGAAGGAAGTGTTAATTCTGAAATAACTTCATCTTTTCTTTATACTTCAGTAATTATTTCTACTCTCATGTAATTCTGTTCTGAACTTCAGCTGCTGCTTCATGATTGTGCATGTTATTATTTTATTTGCCTTTGTCTACTACTGCATTTAGCAGAGGGAAAGAAAGAAAGCTCAAGTTAGATGTCTTTTTTTGGCCAAAAAGTCTGAATAAATGGTTTTGTTGATGAAGTGCACGCTTCTCTATGGGAGAATTACGAATCCTAGTAGTCTCTTTTAAAGGTGATTATTAACAGTCATTTTTGTAATATTAAACTTCTCTTCAGGAAACTGATTTTTAGCCCAAGAGCAGTTTGCACATACTGATCAGAATTCCTACTGGCCCCAGAAAATAGATCAGCCCCAGTTCAATATATATCTAGGAAACTAGAGGAAAAAAACTGTAATAAAATGTAACTGGGGGAAAATGTAAGAGAGAAAGAAACTTGGAAAGTGTCTTGGATAAGACTCAGGTTCTAAATTCTTTTGGCTGACATTTAAGTTTCAAAGTTAATGCCTTTCTCAAGTTGCTTTTCATCCTAAAGAATTCTATTATGAAGATGAAGGAAAATAGTTTTGTTTATCTAGATTTCTCAACCTCCCCCCAAACACTCATTTTGAGCTTTATCTTCCATCTTCTGTAACCCATCTGACTTGTACAGGTACAGGCACTGATAGATTTTTATTTTCCATGTAGGTAATAAACAGGATTAGACAATTCCTAGGAGATGAATAAGGAAAGGTTACAGTCACTGCTGAAAGGTTTTCATGTCTTATTGTCATGTCCTTCTCCATGATCAGCTCTATAAAAGTGGATGTAAAGTAGTCCGTGATAATAGGTAAAGGATCTTTCTGAGAGCTGATGCACTGAGTTTTTTGAACTTTTGATTCTAGACATTAAACCAGCATTTATCCAGCCTCCAGAGGATACCACAGTCACGGAGGGCATGACTGCAGTGCTGACCTGTGAAGTATCAGGGGCTCCAAGACCTGCCATCTCATGGAAGAAAGGTAACATTATTAACTTGTGGCAAAGCTGTAATCCACGTTTTTCTGTCCATTGCTATTACTGAGGTTCTGTAGATCCATTTAGTGCCTCTTTCTTCCTTCCTGTGGCACCATGAGCAGTGGGTTTGCTGTGGGGCTGCCGTGAACCGGTGGCCTGGGCAGGCTGGAACAGTTTGTTGGAAGAACTGGAATTGCAGAGCTTAATCCCTGAGCCTACGTGACACTAATCATGCTGCTTCTCCCTCCTGTGTTTCAGGGAAGCAGATCTTAGCCAGTGGCTCAGTTCAGATTCCTCGCTTCGTTCTTCTTGAATCTGGAGGGCTCCAGATAACACCCGTTTTCCTCCAGGATGCTGGCAATTATACTTGCTGTGCAGTCAACTCTGAAGGAGCTCTGAATGCTTTTGTGATGCTGACAGTGTGGAGTAAGGATAATGCTTTGTTTAAAGTCTAACTTTAATCAAGTATTAATCAGTTTTTGTTGTATGCTCAGGAAATTTTCATAAGTAATTATGCTTTTCTCGTTAATAGAGATACTTGTATGATTTAATGGGAATAATGTATCTATTTTAAGAATCCCATCACAAATACCCTTTTTGTTTGTAAAATTATGCATATAAATCTCTATTTTGTGAAAGGAGGTGTATTTAAATAGAGCTTCAATCACACAGTTTTACTCAGGTTTTGCTTTGGTGTCTTGCATTGGAAGTCAGACCTTTTAACTGTGTGGTGCATATTTAGCATTTGTTAATCCCCAAACTGCAAGCTGAATCAGCCACATTTTTCCTCTTGAACTTGGGAATACCTGAAAACATTACTAGTAGTAACTGTAATATACTTGTGTCATATGGCCATTTTTGTTTTGACAGTTATGGAGTTGACAATATGGATATCAGGATGCTGTAAACTGAATAATATCCAGGTGTATGGATCAAGTAAAGGAGATCCTTCCTATTTATTCTCAAAGCTATGATTCTTTTATGTACTAAGATAGTTCCTAGTCATTGTACTGCTTCAGAGGAGGGAAAGAAAAGTGAATATAACCTAATGTTTGTGTGGCAACAGCACCATCATAAAACCAGAAGTCATGCATAGGTACATCAGGAATAATGCTAAAAATTCCATGCTGTAAGAGTCAGCTTTTGATTTTGCTGATGATTCCTTCTTGTGCATGTATGAGGTGTCTCATGCTGATTATCTCTGCAGGGATTTGGGACTGATTAACATTATCCACATATCTTCCATACTCATCCTGGTTGTCTCCCTGCCTCAACTGATACTATCTGCTGCTGCTCCTGCGTGTTACACATAATAGAGATCTTCCACACTGGATCCCGTTGCTGTAGTTACAGCAATTATTGTGTTCTGGGGCTCCAGGAGGGGCCTGAATAAAGATGTTCTGAAATGTTTGAGTAAACAACATACCTTTATTATGTGAAAAATTTGTCTATTAGAAGCTCCTCCTCCTTTAACCTCTGTCCTGGATTTGATGAGATCGTAGGGTGCCACTTAAGTTTCTCATTCTTGGTCTTTTTCTAGTGCATTCTTCTCTGGGCAAGTTTTCTTTGGTTTTGTTTGTGTTTTCCCTGCTCCAAACAGTGTGACTCGTTTCCTGACTCTTTGCATGCTCAGATTCCTTCATAATACACCACAAACATGCTTGTTGCCATATGACTTTAGGGAGTTGCCCCCAGCCAAGTGAGAGTTCACACAGCTTTAGCTTCTTCTGCTCTCACCACCCTGGGCTCGTGCTCGTGCCCTCTGCTGCTCTGTCTCTCTGCACCCCACAGTGTGTCACCTCTCCTTGCCACAGTGACTTTAGAGGGAGGGGGAGCCTTCACAGCAGAGGCTTGAAGAGCTTGCTTTGAATGACAAAAGCTCGGTGGCCGCTCTCTGAGTGAATATCCAAGTCAAAATGCCGCAGTTTCACCTGAGCCGTGGCTTGTGCTGCTTTCAGATCGCACCTCCATCGTCCGCCCTCCCGAGGACAGCACCGTGATCAAAGGAACCACAGCCACCCTGCACTGCGAGGCCACTCACGATCCCAGAATTTCAATCAGGTTGGTGGTGTCACTCCCTGTTTGTGTGGTTTATCCCAGCTTAATTTTGTAATCTGTGTGAATAGCATTAGGTGAAAAGTTTCGGGACCCCAGATTTTCGCAGCAGACCCCTGATTACTGCATTATAAGGTTGTACACTGTATCATTAATCATATAAATCCCATCTTCCATTTCAGCCTTATGTATTATTTACAATGAGCTATGTTCCACTTCATGACTTCAATATAGCCTTCCATGATTTTACTGTCAAGGTTAATACACTATCAATAAAACCAACTTGTCAGAAGCCGATACTTAATGAGAGTAAAAGCCAAAGAGAAGGAATAGGATTTCAGAAGTGTTTACTCTGGGGTGCATAAAAGCCACACAAGAGATGCCCATGTTTTTGGAAACACATCAGTAACTTGGGCTTATATTCTGCTTTAACTGTATAAAGGAAAGCAAAATTTGTATGAACTTTAAAATTCATACTAGACCATTTAGAGGAAGCTCAGAATCTTAAAATCAATTTACCATGAACATTTATGTAGTCTGAAAGCAACTGCAAGGGAGAGGTTGGAGGGTGCTCAGAGGGTGAACTGCAGAAAGAACTTCAGAAAGAGAAATACAGGCATAAAAATTTTGTGTAGAGATAGGTAATTGTGAAACCATGGGTTATACACATCCCTGGGAAACGCTGGTGTGTGATGGGCTTATGAACTTGGACGTATTTGAATATTTCACCTTTTCCATGTAAAATATATATAATATTGTTTGTAAAATATAGAATATCTTGGTTGGAATTACTTTTCTCTTTCTGATCACTTGATCTGAAACTTAAATTTGTAAGAGGCACTGCTCTTGAAGTAACTGTAGGGACCTGTCCTCTTTAACACGTGATGACAGAAGCTGATACCTTATAGCAGAGTTCAGATAAATCTATTTTGACATTCTTATGAGTAATCAATAACTGAAACATTGTAATACTCAGGTATCTTTGGAAGAAGGACAGTGTTGTAATAAATCCATCCAGCAGTTCCAGGATCACAGTGGAGAAAGATGGAACCCTCCTCATCAGCCAGACGTGGTCAGGTGACATTGGAGATTATACCTGTGAGGTCATTTCTTCTGGAGGAAACGACTCCAGAATGGCTCGACTAGAAGTGATGTGAGTATTCCATCTTAGATAAACTCTACACTTGATTTCAGATGTATTTTTCTAGCATTTAATTCTGGGTACTCTGGACAGTTTGGACTTTTTTAGGGGAAATTAAGCCTGGTTCATTTCTAATTAAATTACCTCTAAATGTCCTGCCCTTTGCATGCTGCCATGCTGCTTGGGCTTCCACACAGCTGGAGCCTTGGAAGTTACTCCAACTGCATCTCTCTGAATCACTACATCTGCATTTCCAGCTGGTGTGAGTGAGCTCAGGGGGTAAAGATTGAGAGGTGGTGGTCCACCTGTAGATAGTACAAGTGGACAACCACAGGGGACTGTAGAGTGTGTAGGTGGCACAAAATGGATGGGGGAGAGTTGATACATTCAAGGGTAGGGCCACCATTGAGAAGGAATTAATTAGATTGAGAAATGGTCCCGGAAGAACCTTACAAAATTCAGCGTGGACAAATGCAATGTCTGCATCTGGGGAGGAATAACCTTTTGCAGGAACACAGTCTGGGCACTGATCCCCTGGTAGCAGTTCTGCTGGAAAGAACCTGGGGATCTTGGTAGGCAGCAGCTGAACATGATTCAGCTGTGGACCTGTGGGCACAGAGCAGGCTGTGAACATCCTGGGCTGTGCTTACACAGGCAGAGCAGATTGAGGGACATGAGTCCCTCTTCCTGTTTGACATTTATTAGTCTACGTCTGGAATACTGTCTCCAGTTTTGACTTAATAAACTGGTCTGATCTGATGGCTGACCCTGCTTTGAGCACAAGTTTGGACCAGAGACCTCCTGAGGTCCTTTCAAACCTGGATCCTTCTATCATCCCATGCTATAGGACTTTCCCATAAAACCCAGGTGCTGTGCTGTGATGCCAAGGTTTGAAAACAAGAAAATGTTTCCTTCTTTTTAGTGTTTTTTCTCTGTTAAACATTTATCAGAATAGCTGGTCCCTGGACAGGCATTGCTTACTCTTGCATTCTTTTGATACATCATTTTTCCGGGGAAAAAAAAAATATTTATGTATGACTCTTTATTTCTACGGATCTTTAAGAATAAAAACAAGGAGATGCTTAAAGTGCCGTTCAATTCTGGAAAAGGATTATAAAAATGTCATTACAGGGTTCCATATTTTCTATTTCTGTCATCCCACTGGGGTGAAGTGCACTTCCGTTTTATTTTTATCACTAAAAGCAACAGCTGTGGTTTTGGTACGTGTGTGGAGCAGATCAAATGAAAGAGAAGGTGATGTTTTATGTAGACATTTATTTATTTATTCATTTGCTTGAGTAGTGCCGCGTGCTTTAATTGAACTAAAATCGCGTCCGTTTCTGCTGGTCATGCCTGACGTCTCTGAGAAGACGGCAACTTGTGCAGTTGGCAGCGTAATGAGTTCACCCCTGAGATTTGCTATGCAGAGGGCTGTTTGATACAGCATTATTCTGACAGTGCCAAGGCTACATCAGATGCCCATTTTCAGAGAGCGGTCATACATTCTTTTTCTAATTAAGCGCTCCTCAGCTCTCCTCCCGGAGTGCGTTTCACTGCTGGTTTGCATCCAAGAGCACGAGACAATTCAAAATATATCGCTGCCACAGAACCACGCTCGCTCTTCTCTGAGGCGCGTTTTGAATGGAGAGCAGAAAATTACGGAGTAAAGACTGAAAAGAATGGTAAAACCTGGGTTTTGAAGCAAAGCCATAAATATGTGCTAAACACTTCAGCGGGGTGATGGTTTTTTAATCCTTGATAGCAAAAGATGCCCTGTGCAGCAAAGCAGATGTGTTTACTTGCAGTTCCCTCTTGACTGGTGAGGAGCCTTTTTATGGTCCATAAAATCTGGGCTAGAAGTTGGCTGGGAGAGGCACATCTTGTGTGCATTGCTGAGGCACCCCAGCTGTTCCAGTTGTTCTGGGTGGCTCTCCATGCACTGGGACTGGCTCTTAATCCTGTATCTCTGCTTCCTGTGATGTTCTGTTGCTGATCAGCCATTACCTGTTTTTCCTGGAGGAGTTAAAGAAATCTATCAGACCCACTCTTTTAGAGGACTTGAGTAACTGATAAGTCACTCAATAATACCTTGAATTGTGACATTTCATTTCAAAGCAGTGCTGCAGGTAGTGCAATACTGCCAAAGAATATTGCATTTCTTTGCTGCTTTCATCATTATCATTTGGCTCAGCAGCACAGATCTGTGAGAAGGAGAGATACATGATACAACAGGAGTGAAATGAAGAAGAAAATATGTGGAAAGAAAATGTCTGAAGTAAAGCCGAAATTGAATTCCAGCTTGTATACGAATGACAGATCTATAACATTCCCTATTCTCCCGGATAATTCTCTTGTGCAGAACATTAACAAACAGGGCATGTACATTCCCATCGATGAGCACTTACACTTCAGTGCCTTGAGTAGCACTAATGTCAGACAAATGTTCAAAGGAGGCCTCTCAACCAATTACAGGCTGGAGCAGTCACCAGTGGATAATATCATACCCTACCTTGCCTCGTCTGACAACTCCAATTGTCTCTCCACCTTTTTTCCCCCAGGAACGAACACGTTCCTCCTCTACCTCTGTGCACGTCAAGAGGAATTTCCAAAGGCACAAATAAGTTTGTTACTGATTTCTGTTCAAACTGATTCAATTCAAAACCATTGACCTTCAGGGCGACCTTCAGTTATTTAATCTCTGAGTGGACTGGTTTTCTAATCTGTGAAAAGAAGGAAAGAAAGCTTTCTTCTTTTGTCTTCCCTTGTTGAAAGACAGGCTTGGGGAGAAAGGCAGTGTTCCTGGCTGCAAGAACCTACACTGATAGCACAGCATATACACATTGGTGGTGCAACCAGGATGGATCATTTTTCTCAGCAGGAAAGAAGAAATAAAATATTTGAAAAGAAAAGCCAGAAAACTAATGAAGAACTTGCAAAAGTGCAGCCAAAGGTTACCTTGCTCATCAATTTTGCACTGATGGTACTTGGGCACAGAAACTAATTGCTAGTCAAGATACTCTATTCATTTGTCTTCCCTCTAAATGTGTTTATTCTTCATGTACATCACTTGATTTGATTTGCACGAGGTAAAACATTTGCGAGTGATGTTTCTCTTCTACAAGAGATAGATTTTAATTTTGTACTTACTTTTTTTTTTCTCCTACCAGAGTTTCTCAGCTGCATATACAGAAACATTTGCAGGTCTTTTGGTGGTGAGCTTCTGCCTCTCTTGCATCCCTCCAAGTCATAGGATTTGATCCTGAAAATAATTGCATGTTATGAAACATCCCAGCTTCATTTAAACTTACTTTTATAGTCCTGTAAATACCCCCTTGAAATACATATAGAGGAAAAAAGACTCGTTCCTAAAGCTGCATAAGCTGAGTTATCACAATGTATCACTCACCTGATGGGAAACTGTGCTGATTCCAGCTCAAAGTATCCTGAGGATTCTCAGTATATATAAAATATGCAGAATTACCACTATCTGTGCCTGATGATACCCACTGCTCAATATCAGCCCGTCTGCAGCCCATGCTAAAGAATCTCTTTGTTGTATGAATGTGACTGAAAAGTATGGTAATGCTGCATTGTTGGAAAATCAAAGCCCTCTACAAGCCTCTGTTATGTCACAACATATAGTAAAACCTTTTAGGCTCTTTTTCTATGCAAAAATATGGGAAGGACAATGTAATACAAAAATAGACAATTTATTCCTGGCAGCAAGTTCATCTTCTTTCAGTTCCCTTTCATCAGAGAAAGAACTATTATTGTTCTGTCTTCTTCAAAAGCAGGAGAGGGGAGCTAACCACTTATAATAAACCCCAGTGGGTTGCCAAGAATGCATAGTATTGCCTTTGTCAACCATCCATACATGAATTTTGATGCCCTTTTTACTAGAGTATTTATAATTGCTGCTTCTTCCAATTTCTTCCTGATATATCCCATAAAAAATAGTTTGATTACTAAAATTAAAATCAGTATGACCAACACAGAGTAAGAGATCAAAATGACATCCCATTACAAATGTATCTTCATCTGGATCCCATATCCCTCAGTTCCAATAGCCCACCTCTTCTCCTTTCTGCAGGGAGTGAAAGCAGGAAGAATGTCAAACTTGAAAATATATTATTCCTTCCTCACTGGAAAGAAAGCTTCTATTTATTTTTCCAAGCTCTCTATTGAGATGTCATCCAAGAAGCAAGGTTCACTGCTGAGTCTAAATGCACTTGATACTCAAAAGAGAAATATCACCCAGAAATGCACTCAGAAATAAATGCCATTGTGTCTGTTTGTCATTGAAGGTATAGCAGAAATGTAGGTGTTTTCAGCAAAAAGAAAGCATAAAATTCAAAACCCTGTTGGTGACCAACAAAATAAAATGGGAAATAAATCTGAGTGCTCTGGAACTTGGCAACTCTTTAATTTCAGAAATTTGCCCCTTTATAGACCTACGAGAGACAAAAAACCTCAAGACTCGGGGCTGCCTTGAAAGAGTCCTTCCTGTGTTTAGAAATTGGAGAGGATTCTTTTGCAAGGGAAACTGGAGAGACCCGAGCAAGAGTCGACACGTTTCTTAATTTAAAACATTATGAACTTTTATGAGCGGAGCCATCAGGGCTGAGAGCTCTGTCAGCCCTCCTGCCTCGGCTTCTCGCCGCGTTATCGGCCGGAGCAGATGAACCACCTGCTCCTGAGCAGAACCCTCGTGGTGGACCTGATTTAGGAAATCATTTCTGAAATAGGAGCAGGGCTTTTCATAAACTGACAAGAAAACTTGTTTAATCTCCTGTGCCTTTTTAGTAATCCCCTCTTCAGTCACAGTCTCTCTAATTACCTGCTGTTGGACCATTTTTCTCAGAAGTCTCTCCAAACCATGTCTGGTTTATTTTCCTCAGCAAATAGTCTGCTTTTAGCTAATTTTATAAAACGCTCTGTGTGTTTGCTGAGTGAATTTTTCAGCTGCCCTCTGGCAGTGATGAGCTGACTCAAAACATTAGGGTTTCTGTTTTGAACATGTATCATTTGCAATGGGCTAATATTTCTCTCCTAGATTGTCACAACGACTTCGTGTTCTTTTCTTGCAAATCTACTATTTTAATTGCTTTGTCAGAGTCCCCTCAGGTCACCTTGGTGGCAATGCCATTAACCCTGGGCTTATCTATCAATTACAGATTTTTAAAGTGTCCATGGACATATTTTTCTATCATACAAAGTAAGTTATGGAAAACTTGCCTCCATACAACTCTTCAGCATTAGAGGAGTGAGGTCTTCCAATATTCTGTATTGAAAAACTTTCATATATTTCCTATTTGGGGCTTCAGTGAACAAAAGAAAGATAATAATGCTAGAATTACACTGCCAGTGTCTGGTCAAGGGGTGTTGAGTGCCCTGGGTGTTATTGTACTAAACCTCATCCGCTTTCGTGGTGCATAAGAAGGTGAGCAGTTCTAGTCTGAGGTCCTTCTCATCCTGAAAAGGGGTTGAAATTAGCATTCCCTGCAATAATTTCTTGGATGTTATAGCAGCAAGGGAAAGTAATTCTCTTAAAGGAAAAATAGAAGCAATGATCTCTTTGGGGAACGTGAATATTCATATGGTGGTACAGGTCTCATTTATCATCCCTTCCACACAGTATGTGGTAGAAAATGAGAAGGAGACAAAGTGTAAGTGCTTGCTATAGTAGAAATTACCACTTATTAATCTCTGCTTTTGTATACTACAAAGAGAGAAGTACACTTCTGTGCCGAAATGTCGTTGTAGTTTTAAATATTTATTTCTGCCCAGGTGTGTGTCTTAAGCACTTGTTCTGTCTGCCTTGAGGGACTTAAATCTGTAAGCACCATCTGTTGCTGGTTGGTGTGGACACATGGCTAAAGACTATGGTATCAGTGAGAAGGTGTCCTGTATGGCTGCAGCTCATGCTGCTCAATCTCTGAACAGAAAGTGCTTGTTTCCTTCACCCTGCTGACTGATTATCATTGTCAATCGAACAGAATAATCAACTAAACCCAAATCCTGAGTAAACAAAACCCCATGTTTAAACTCGGTTTGTGTGTTAAAAGAAAAACAGGAAAGAGGGAATGTCCACTGTTCTTCAAAAGTCTTCTGAGACTTGTACATTAAGAAAAAGAGGCTCAGCTTTAAGTCTTGTAGCCTCTGTCTTCAAGTGAGCTGTTGATTGAGCCCTTCTAATGTATGGGAGATCAAGATTAGTAAATGCACATCCTGAAAATATCCTTAATATGTACCAGGAGTGCTTTTTTACTTCCCAGAAAAGCAGCTACATGGGGATAAGTTTGCTGTGAGCTCCCCCTCAGCTATTCCTACATTGCTACTTCTGTGACCATCATCTTCCAGAAGGAGCTGAAACCATGACCCATCTCTGAGCTCTTCCCCACAGGGAGTGTTGATAAATAACATGGGGACTGGGACTTCAGTGAACCATGTAGCAACAAGACGTTTCACTCTTTCCTTCAGTAATTATCTTTGCCAGCTTAATCACAAAAACTTTTCCAACCAGCTTGCTTAGGACATAATGATAAATTGTAGCAGAGGTTTAATGTTTATTATAATTTAATGTTTCATTCAAAATTAAGTAGCACACTCCTGTAGTCCCTGGGTAAATGGCCGTATCTTACACTCCCTCTCCACACTTTTCAATGACAGCCTTTCTCTGCCATTCTCTCTCAGACCAGCTGCCCTTCTGCTTTGTTTCCAGGTCCCCTTCATCCCTAAACTTAACTCATCCAAAATTTTACAGTGCTGTGTTCAAAATCTGCTTCCTTGGGGCCCAACCCAAAAGTGGCCCTGTCTGAGCTGTCAGTGCGTGCCCAGATCTAAGGGAGAGCTCAATCAGCCCAAACTCCTCACGATCAAGGCATCTCAAGCAAGTGATTTAATGAAGTTAAGATCTGAATCACACCCTGAGGTGTCATTCCATGTTTACTACAGAAAGAGCCTGGGGTCGCCCTGCTGCTAATTTCGTTATGCATTTAAAGTCAAATGAGACGAGACAAGACTTTAAGTCTCGGGTTTAGCCTTAGGAAGCATCAACCCTTCTAGCCTGGAGAGAGGTGGGCAGGGAAGTGCCTTCTACTTGCGTTGCCTCATTAGCTCTGTGTTTTTCTTACCACTCCTTGGCTCTCCCAGCGATCTTTATTTTTTTGGGTGCTAACTCCACAGTGTGTCTCCCTCAGAAACACGTAAACAAAAGCATTCGCAGTTTTAACAGAAAAATAATAAAGCTATTGTCTGGCTCTCCATATGTTCCTCAATCTTCCCGTAGAAGCCGAAATCCAGGACATATTTATTGTTCTGGCCTAAAGCCAGAGCCTGTATTTACTTTTGTGAGTGGCTGAGGAGTTTGTGGTTTTTAAATAACTGTGAGCCTTCAGTACATGATACATTACACCCAGGAATTACTGTGTTTTTAAATTAAGCCTGTGAAGTACCCTTGTGGCTTTCTGCCCTGGCCAGGAACTGTGGAAGGGTCACCCTCAGCTTTCCCGGTGAGGAGGGAAGGTTGAATGGGTAAAAACTGTCCCTCCTTGCTTTTCCTTCACTATGAGATCCTTGTCCTCCTTAGGAACAGGATGATAAGGAGCAGAAATCATGCTCAAGTATAATGCTGAAGGGCTTTTATCTCTTAAAACACATCAGCATCGAAGGGTTGCAGCAGAATTTAGTGTTCTCACTGCACTGTGCAGCCTCCCACTTCCAGCCAATGGGTACAAATGAAATGTTTTTCCACAAATTTCCTTTATGTGGAGAAATTACACATTTTAATTGAGCTGCTGTTTTATTTTTGTTTTTTAATGTTTCATTTGGTATTTCCATGGGGTTTCTGCAGGCATTTTTGCTACATTTTCTGGTTGGGTGCTCCCAAAAAAACCCTTATTATAGGAAGGAAGGATTCTACCCATGACAGGATAAGCCTGAATCCGCAAGTAAATCAAGCTGTTCTGTAGCCTAGGAATACATATGGTAATTTTGATTAGTAGCTCTGTGTGGATAGTGTCAATGTCTTCTGCTTCCTTGAGTATGAAAAATTCCATGTTAAATCATATCTCCCATGTGTTTTACTGTTTATATGTATTATGGCTGTCACATTGCTGGGACATCATTGTAAGAAGGGAGAAAAAGTGAGAGAGGAAATTTATTGACCAAGTTGCTCAGTCACAAACCGTATGAAAATTGGCTTTTTTCCACATTTAGCAACATTTCCATTAGCTGTTCTAAGCATCAGCCTTGGGACTTTCAGCATAAATTATTTTTTTCCCCCCAAAGAGGATAAAATTGTGAAGAACTCAGAGATGTCTTTCATTTATTTAATTGTACAATAGCTGCTGGTGGTTTTATATCTATCATCGTACAAGGCTGGTGTCGTCTGCCTTTCACTGCCTGTAAGACTGTATAGCTGAATGAAATGTAGATTAATTTTTCTGTGCTTTTTTTTTTTCCCTCCCTTTCTCTTTTCCTTGACAGTGAGCTGCCTCATTCCCCTCAGAATCTTCTGGCCACTCTGAATTCCTCCCACAGCCGGAGCGTGATGCTCTCCTGGGTGCGCCCCTTTGATGGCAACAGCCCTGTGCTCTACTATGTGGTCGAGCTCTCTGAGAACAGTAAGTAAAGTCAGATATATTTCAACCTCACGTTGTTCTTAATTGTTCAGACACACCTTTTACCAGAGCTGCTAACAAAATGCTGTTGTAGTTTGCTAAATGAGAGACATCACGCACAAAGGGGAAACTCTGGGTTTTTAAACTCAGCTGTTTGCACACTGAAAGAATCAGACAACAAAGAAGCCTGAGATGGTGAAATTGTTACACAGGAAAGGCTTAGTTCCACCTCCAGTGTTGCCAGCCAGACTTGAGGCACAACAGCTCACTCCTCAGTGCTGTAAACCAACAGTAATCTGTTTCTTCCCATTGTTGTCTTTTTCTCCAATTTCTTAGATATCTTGATGCATTCAGAGCCCCAATTTCACCTCAAAGTTGCAGGCAGGGTGATAATACAAGGAACTGGTGGTCTGTCAAAGGAAAAAAACTTGGATTTCAGTAGGAGCTACTGTCTTACCTGTATATGGGCTCATATATTTTCTCTGCTTTCCCTAGATTATCATTTTACGTTGTTCTTTTAGGTGGGTGGTTGAGGATGCTTGAGTGAGATATCCAGGTATCTTCTTGGGTTACAAACCTGACCATTGTGAATTGCCACTTCTTCCAGATTTATCATGCTCTGTGCCTGGGCCTCCGTGGCTCTCAGTTTGCAAGGTTATTCAGGGACATTGCTGATGCCTCCTTAGGAGTTGATGGAAAGATGAGGTTATATGGAAATCGGTCACCTTGGCAATACTTTCTAATCTCTATCACCCTAGGAGCTGGAAATCCAAGCTGAACAATTGATTCCTGATGAAAAAATTAAGAGCATCACTTTTTCTGACATGTGGAAATTAGTCACTGCATAGCTGAACGTGAAGCACTCCTGATTTCTGATTATCTAGAGAGCAGCAGTTTGTTTTGCCACACAGAGAGCCTGAGAGGAAACTTGGGTTTCAGATCACATACAACCCTTTTGCTTTGCAGGCTGAAGTGCATAACTTTTCAGATGTGGAGGTCCCAGAACTGATGATCTTGACAACTGTTAAGCAAAGTGCAGGTTTCTAATCCAAGTAGAAATCCAAAGTCATGCCTGGAACTGCTGTCCTTAAAATAGTTCTGTTCAGGCAAAGACTCCTGATCTTTCTGTAATGAATGATTAAGCAAAACCAGTGTCCTGCATTCCCCCTCTACCTTTTTATCACGACCTTCCTTTTCACTCTTCTCTGCTTTCTTACTATTGACTACAGGCAAGTAACTACCTTTCTGCTTTTCCTTCCCTATTCTTTCACCCAAGGATGAAACATCCTTGTGTTTCTTGTTTTCCAGTGGCTTTGACAATGACAAGCCAAAGAAGTCCCAGTCTGGGAGGTCCTAGGGCTGTATTTACACAGACACAGCACAGAGCTGGCAATACATGTGAACCTGGGTCCTGCAGTGGGCTGCATTGGCTGGGGAGAGCCCCTAAAAGAAGAGGTGCAGTTCACTCAGTGCCAGGAGAATCATGGAATTGCTTGAGTCGGAAGGGACCTTAAAGGTCATCTCGTTCCATCATCCATCTTGTGTCATGGGGAAGTTTGAAGACCTTTCAAGTCCCTTTCTAGCAAGGATGCCTTGCAGTTGTATAGCAACGGGGTAAATGTGCTGTCGTTTTATAATTTTATAATTAATTCACTGAAATTTGTCAAAGGCTCAGCAAAAATCAACAGTAATTCTTCGGAAATGGTGCAGACAATCCCTCAGAACTCCACAGGATGCTGTGAACCATTGCTCACTCCACGATAGATAAAATAATTTTGGCTGATGGCATTGCAATCTGCCACTGAGAGGGTCTCATTATCCCAAATCCCAGGTATATGTACTTCAGCAGCTTGCAGCTGCAAAAGCCAGCCACACACTGGGTTTGCTGTGAATTGAGCATCTTAACTCCCAGATATACTCTAGGTCTTGCTGTCCTTTAAATTTTTGTCTTTATTTACTTTGCTTATATGTGCAGTGTCCAAATGGCTACCCACAGAAGTAGGACTTGAATATTCCCTTGAATGTTCCACTCTTGCTGTGCTCTCTCATTTCATATATTCTTGCTCAGCTTTACGGTTGCCAACAGAATAGCACAACATCATCAGTGACTCTGGTTTGGAAAGCTGACTGTAACGTCTGCATATTGTCACTGTCTTGGTTTAGTTTTTATTTTCCTGAAGTTTGTTTTTCAGAGTTATTTTGATCTCAGTGGGGCGTGGTTAATATTTAGTTTCTCCAGACCTCCTACGCCTCTGGAAACCACCACCTTCCCTTTGTTCCCACCCTTCCCAAGCGCTGTTTGTGAACGAAGCTGACGTTTGATCTTGTGTGGGTATAGTTTGGCCTGATAGGACTGTGCAGGAGCTCTCTTTGCTTTTCAAAGACAATTTCCTTTTGGGTTTTGTGCTGCAGAAAGAGCGACTGTCGGGGAGGCAGCGAACACCCTCCATGAGCTCCTGCGCCGGCGTCGGGAGCTCTGTCACTGTCACAGCAGCACAAAACACAATGTGCTTCACATCCCAATCCCCCTTGGCTTTCACACGTGTGAAGGGTAGGGAGGGACATCAGAATTATGATTTATTTTCCAGTTAGCAAATCTGCACAGAAGACTTTGTTGTTAGTTCTGTGGAGTTTGAATATGCGGGGTTTGCTTTGCAGTCACAGGTGCCAAAACATAGCCCTGTTTTGTTCCCTTTTTTTTTTTTTTAGCTGTTTTGCTTCGGATAATTTTCTAATAGCTTTAGGATCCATTGTAGGTTTTGAAGCACGTACCATAAATGAATACACAATAACAATATCTGTTGCAGAGAAATAGCTGAAGAGGGTTCAAAATAATGAGTATGAATTTCAGGGGTTTAATTACCAGCTGCATTAGAGAGAGGCGTGTCACTCCACCTGGCATGGATTAGAACTCCTTTTCATTAATATCAATTCAGTAAAGAGATATAAAAACCTTATTTTAATTAGAGGGAAAAAACAGTGGCAGATCGTGCACATAAATTGCTGGAAATATGAACGACTCTAGCCACCTAATTTTTAAAATGAATGTATTTGGCACAATGCAATAATTCTCAAATTACAAGTATTCACAGTAGACTGTGTCTGTGGGTGACTTGAGACATATGGCCTTAAACATTTGGGGGCAAATTTATAATCTAATTTGAAAAACACAGTTCCAGGGAAACACAGTCATTAAGTATTCCTGCCCACACAGAGCCAAGAATGTGAACCTTGATTTGAAATAGGATTTTCAAATAAATAGTACCATGCATTGCTGTCATTTGCACTAATATAATTTTGGATGTTTCATGACCTGTTTAGCCCCTGTTGCGATTATACCCAGGAATTCCAATGAAGTCTCTTCATGGTGTTAGAAGGGGATATGCTTAATTTTATTCCAAGGAGGTTTAGACTTAAGGAATTAATCAAAAAATATTCTGAATAGGCTTTTAACTGAAGAAATGAATTAAGGCTTAAAGAATTCTGCTGAGTACAATTAAGATAAAAGCCCATTTTTGTTTTATTGTATTCTGGGATATCTGTGCTGTGTGATGTAATGATATAACTCAGATTCATCACATTGTGCCAATGAGGAGATAATAAAAGCTCCTGTGAAAAGCATCTGTACGTGCTTAACTTAAAACCTATGAACTGTCATCCCAAATTTGGTAGGAATATTCAAGTGGCAAAAACTTAAAACATTGATAAACCATTGCAAAAATCAAAGTAAAACTGTTTGTTACAATTGTGACTCACATCTAAACAGGATAATGTTAAGATACTTTTTCTCAGGCCACTGGTAGTCCTTGTTTAAGTCCTACCAAACAAAGGATGAACCACCTAGCTTTTATGTGGATTTTTTGCAATATCATTTTGTTATGAAGGTTTGAAAGATGGATTTAGTGAACTCCAGCAGTACAGCAAATTCCAATACTACCCATCTATGCAAAACCCCCTGGAGATGGAAAGAGATGGAAATGTGCTCCAAACCTGCAAAAATCAGCTTTCTGCAGTAGATCTAAACTGTAATATCAAATTAGAAATGATTTTTGAGGAATTTGCAATTAATGCATGAACTGAAAGGTGGATGGGGAAATACAGAAGCAACACCTCTCAACCAGTAAACCAGAGTTACTGAATGCATCACAAGCACATCCAAAAATTTTTGACAGATCAAAAGTAATTTCTAAAACCCCACCATGACATTGTAAACTAGAGAGCGGCCTGTGAGATTCTTCATTTCCAATAAATGAACTTGCAGAGGCAATCAGAGTTAATTCAAAATACCCAATATCCCTAAGACAGCTAAACATGGAAGTTGTTCAGACAGTAGCAATTACAGGGGACGAGCAAGCAGAGCCCAGAGTACATTCTGGGAAGCTTAAGTTAAATGAAGGATTAGCACAGCCTGTTCACTCTAACAGAGGCTTATTTAATAGTTTGACCTGGCAAGTCTTTTGTCACCATGGAGCTTCTCCAGGCTTCCTGGGACAGGTGAGTGACAGCCATCCCTGGAGGAGAGGAGAGTTGGTGTTGAAAATTTTATGGCATGTTTCCAGTGTCAGAACTGTTCTTCTCTCCAGTAAAACGAGCTGCTGCACAATTCTGGGGTTTGTTGTTGCGTGGCTAAAGAGGGAGATGAGCTTTTTGAAGTGTTTTGTTTATTGATTGTCAAAAAAAAAAAGGACATTTAAATTTTAAAGATACTCTGCACACTCACTGTATCCACTGCTCTGTGAGTGAGCAAATGCTCCCCAAACTACCCTCCTTTACGAGTCAGAGCGCCCAGGAGATGAATAGGCTTCGTTTATATTAGTTTTCAGTTTAATCTCTCTTCCTGCCAGATCTTTTATCTTCCACCAGGAGAGGAAAAAGAATTAATAAAGTATTCTACAGATGCAGCATATAAACAGAGCAAAGCCCCAAGGTGCTGAGGAGATTAATAGGGCCTGTTGTTGAATCAAACTGCTCACTACATTGAGCTGCTTGGGTTAAGCACTCTCAGGTGGTGTTTACACTAGCAGTAAACAAATGAAATGCTTTAGGAAACGGACCACTGCCCAAGTAGCTCATACAAGGGTGTTTCACTCTCCTGTTGCTGTCTGCTCTTCCATTTTCCTCAGGAAGCTGCTTCAGGCAACGGACTAGGTCAGCCATACCTTAACTTCAGCTTACCTTGATTTGTTATTGTGCACTCTGGCTTTAACAAGGTTGGTTGTGAAGTCTTAAGGGAGGAAGTTTGAGAAAATTCAGAAGGAACTAGGATGCAAAAAAAACTCCAAAGCAGTGCTTTTCTGGATAGCACAGGTGTGTTCCTCTAAGTGTACTCTAAGAAAAATTCAATGTTCAACTAAGATAAATTGGCATCAAGATCTTGCAGCCAAAGTGACTGTTACTAAATCAACAACTGGCAAGGACAGAACTTGACTGCTGTGCAAATGTCCCTCTCCAGCATTCCCAGTATTCTGCTGTGTCAGTTTTCCTGCTAAAAAAGACTTTGTTCTGGCAAAGCCGTTACTGGAATAAATACATTTGGAGTAACTCAAAGATGCAGTGTTTATAGCCCAAATGGCATCATACCCTGGAGGGCTTAAACTTGCTAAGGAATCTGCCAGAAAAACGCTAAATTAGTGGTTTCTGCCTTGGTGTGAATTTTAGCAGCCTTCCACATTTGGGACATCTCATCTTCATTTTCAAGCAGACGTTGAGGTGACCTGCCAGGAGCCACGATGCACTTCTGATGAGCAACGTGCACAGATAACAGTGCCAAAATCTACAGCTAGCTCCTCAGCAATTTCCAGAAGTGTTAGCAATTTTGAGCAGGGAGCATGAAAACAGCTGGTATTATTTAAAAACTGAACAAATCTTTAAATTGGCTGATTCCATTGCTGTGGTGTTGCAACACAGACCAAATGTCACCTCTCCCTCACTATTTCAGCCATGACTTCAGGGAGAATTTGTGTCACCAGACTGTGGAGAAAAGAAGTCAGAATATTTGATTTTCAACATGTTTAATTTCTGACCTCTTTGAAAACTTGAAAATGTAATTTGGGCATCAGAGGAGCTCGGTGTAGAACTGACAACCAGGGTTTTATAGCACTGCCAGGGCTGTTTCTACCAGGGAATTTTCCTAGGACAATTAGACTCAATGCTGAATTGTATCACTAGGAAAAAAAAAAAAGATTCAGACATGTAGAATCCACAGCAGAAGCTTTCTCAGGTCTTACAGCAAAAGGCTGATTTGGCACAGAGAGTCACGCTCCTACACCTGCTTGCAAGCTGGGGAGGAAGATATTCCAAACCGACCATGAATTTCATTAGAGTCCTTCCACCAGAGCCACTCATGGGTGTGGTGGTGTGATGGCCTGCCAAACAGATGGGTTGTGAAATACACAGCCCATCTGTCTTTATCATGCTTGTTTCCTCTTTTATTAAAATGTTAATGAATATAGTTTTTATTTATTATGCCATGACATGTGCAGCATCACTTTCCACTAGACAAATGTGCAATCTGCATAACCGTGTGGGCTGACAGGAAGGTTCCTTCTGCTGAAAAGAAACTTCTTCCCAAAGTTCCTCTGATGAAAACAAGCTCAAGAGCTCTGAGCAGTCAGAGGCTTTTTCTCGCTTCTTCAGGGCTTTTGACAAGCACTTCCATCTTTTTTTTTTTATTATTATTATTTCACATGTTAATTATTCCAACAGACTCTCCCTGGAAGGTTCACCTCTCCAACCTTGACCCCAAGATGACCAGTGTCACCGTGAGTGGACTCACCCCAGCCCGGACCTACCAGTTCAGGGTGTGTGCAGTCAACCAGGTGGGAAAGGGCCAGTACAGCACTGAGACCAGCAGGTACAGTAACAATCAATATTTGTGTGCCAAAGGCACAGTAACCTACAGTTATTGGGAGGAAAAAAGCTCTGGTTGTGAATGAATGGATCAAATATCTTTGGGGAGTGGGGCAGTTGGCATTACCCAGGCCCCTGGAGCCAGGAGTGATTGGTGATGATGGCAGTGAGGTCATGCAGGAGATCAGCACATGATGGAAGAGGTGTCCTCGTGCTTCCAGTTGAGCAGGATCTTGGAAATAATTTTTTGCTCTTGTGCTAAGCCCCAGCAGTTAGCCCGGGCAGGAGTACAGCATCCACCCTGTCATCACAATGTCACTTCTGGAACTCACCCAGAGGTGACATAGAAGGATGGCTTCATCAGACTTAGTTTCAAATGCATCCCCCTTCTTCTGTGAACCAAGGCTTGCTGCGAGCTTGAATTGCAGAACAGCTGAACTCTAAATGGCTTTTTCAAAATGTAGGAGTTTGATATGAAAAATATTGAAAGAGCTGAAAGAAACAATTTGGAAGAAGTCACAGACACTGGACCTGAGCTCTTACTCATTCAGGCTTGTAATCTTTTTAAAGAGTTGTAGCAGCCTGGGTGATTCAGAGAGAATAGGGTTACCTCAGCTGTCTGTCTTGTTGCTTGCTTAACTGATTTCCCATTATGTTGATTTGTTGTAACTATTTCATGCATGTCTTCAGCAGTTTGATCAGTGTTATATTTCTTGCTAGTCATCAGGCTGTGATAAAAGAAACTAGTTCACTTGGGCTGGATACAGGAAGTAGAAGTATTATTTCTAATTTATTTCAACACTCATGTCCATCACATTCTTTTGTACTCAGGTTGATGTTACCAGAGGAGCCCCCCAGTGCCCCACCAAAAAACATAGTGGCCAGTGGACGAACCAATCAGTCTATTATGGTGCAGTGGCAGCCTCCTCCTGAGAGTGAGCATAATGGAGTTCTTCATGGGTACATCCTAAGGTAAGTGCTTTCCTAACCTGGAAAGTCCAGAGACTGGTCCGAGTGTGCACGAGGGAATTCAAACGGTGCGACTTAAGAGTGTAATAAAAACTGTCTCTAAAAATTTGTCTCATTAAATGCATTAGTTATTATTTGCAAATGCTGTGGCAGCCTTGGTTTGTTAAATATGAGAGAGGGGTCACAAGGGTGAAGGCACTTTAAATTCTGGCCTGTCTGTACTAGAGAGTCAGTGAGCTGGGAGCTCCCTTAGCTGCTCCAAATGCACTGCCTGAGTGGACCAGCTCCCTGTGGAGACTCACAGCATCCAGATAGCTTTTTTCCATATTCAAAGGGAATTGAAGCACCGAGTACTAGAAGTGTTCATGTGGGAAGCTGGTACAGTGCAGCCTATGCAGATGTATATTTGCTTATTAGAATCTCAGCTTCCTGCTCGAAAGGTTAATTAAATTTATCAAAGACACAACAGGGCTCCTGCCCTACAGAGGAGCAACAAAAGAATCAATAAACTTCAGTTTTGTGCCAAACAAAATGGAGAGAGGGAATGACAGGTCAGATGCTTCATGGCAGACCTTGATTTGGTTTTGAAAATCAGCCAGTTGAGTAAGATTCTTTCAGCCCCATTGCTGTTTATTAATGTGAAACACATTCAGGTAGGTAACTGGGAATCCTGAATACATCCAGTCTTTCTGCTTGCACAGGACTGGTTGTGTTGGAAAGGGTGTTGCTACACTGTGACTCTTTGCAGAGCATTTCCCTTCTGTAATTTTTTGGGACTCAGTATTCACTCCTACCCAATTCAACTACAGTTTACTGCTCATTTGGCATCCTACATATCCTGTAGTGGCAGCAGCCAGCTAGGGCCACACCTCTAGTGAGGGAGGCATTATCTAAATTAGAGTTTTTGTGGGAAACTCCCAGCCACTGACATATTTCCAAGTGATGGTTGCAGCCTCCTGTGGGCAGGCTGCTGACATTTTTAATACAGTGTCCTCCAGAACTGTAAAAGATAACTAAATGCTCCAGTTTAAATGCCAACATCCTGTTCATGCTGTGCTCCTACTTTTGCTGGCATGGATGGAAAGGCTTTTGTTATGTTAAGAGCATTGGTGAGCTCCCAAAATTGTGCTGGAAAGTTCCTTCTCTCTGCAGGCAGAGTTGAAGTCTGTTAATCTCCCTGTCACCTGCACAGGCCCATTAACACTGGTGAGCCACTTGTACAAGTGCCTGTTTGTGCAAGTTTTTAGAGCTGGACTCAGTTTGGAAGCTGTGCCAGACATCACTGACAGGTGGGGAAAGGTGTTTTAGGTTCTCCCTATGGATAGAACCTTGTCCTGAGCCTTGGGTACCCATTTGCAGAGGGTACAGATGTTCTTTGCTTCAAACTGGTCTCTTCACCAGTAGGATCACTTCCTTAGATATTCCCAGTGAGTCTTTCCCAGTCTCAGCATTAAGTCCTTTAAAAAGCAATCCTACAGCCTCCTACTTCTGGCAATCTGTGCTGTTTTCTCCATAGAGCATTTTCAGTAATGTTTAACTTTAGTATTTTCTCCATCATCTATCAGCGTAATTGATCCCTGTCCTTGCCATAACATCTCTTTCCATTTTAATAGTGATCATATTCATTATGCTCAAATTGTGAACATTTTTGATGTCTGCATGCTTTGTCTTTACTACAGAGCAGAGAAACCATTTATTCAACAGGAATTTAAGATTATCACATAAAAGCACAACTGTCCCAGGTAATAAACCAGGCAGTCCTTCCAAGTCGAATTGTGTGGTCACAGTGATATGCACCGAAGGAAAGCCTTTGTGCACTGGTTTCTGTAGGATTAGGCTGTAGCAGAATGAAAAGCACCAGGCATCCCAGAGACCCAAAGCTCAAGACATGCGAGATACTAAATTGATGGAACACCTGATCTTTAAAAGTGAAGGTGCACTGCACAAGTCATATGGAGTGTACATCAAACTCCATGGTGAGAAAAATCGTGAAGACATGACATTTCTGAACTGGCCTCCTTCCTCTGCCCTTTTTCTCACCGCCACTATTGCATTTAGAGGTCTGCCATGCTAACAGCATAACAGATTAAATCACAGGAGCACTCCACGCCTTGTCTGCTAGGTATGAGACAAAACATTGCTGCACTAAGAACTGACCTTGCCAGGGAGCGTAAACCCTGCACACGAGGCAAGAGAGAGAGAAAGGGGGATATTGCACAGAGCAGAGGAAGATCAAGACGTTCAGTAAACTCAGCTGAGGGCTGATATTTATTTCCATTTGTATTTCATAAATGGAATAACAGCAGTGTAGCATTACTGATATTAAATGTGCTAAAATATGGTCAGGCAAGGAGCTCCTCAGAAGAAAATAGAGGTGTTGTCAGTGACTGAGAACTGATCTCTCTATAGGAAGACTTTGGAACAAAAATCTGTGCCGAAATACATGAAGTTGTCTAGTCATAAACTGCACCAATTTAACCTAGATGAATTTAAAGTCTGACTGTAAGACATCACTGAAATTGTTCTGTGTCAATAGATTGCAGTGAAGCAAAGGGTGACTAAGAGTACATCAAAGTTGTGTGGTGAATAAAAATACAAATGTTTCCATATTTGTCTCTTTCATGGAATAGTAATGTCTTGTGTCCCTTATTTGGCCTCTGGTTTTCTGATTTTTTCGTGAATTAGCATATTGTAAGCATCCACTGTACCACTTTCTGAAAGGAAGGGAAACAAACAGTATTATTCACATTCACAGATTTGCAAGGTTTGTTTGTTTTCTGTAATTTAGTTCTTCTCTGTGGTTTCTTGGCCTGAAGAGACACATCAAAGGGGCTTTGTTTTCTGGAATACAGTTTGTACATGGGAAAATATATTCAGTGTTTCAGTTTCTCATGTCTGAGCAGAAAGTTTGTCAGGATATTTACCATGTATCTGTATTTGGCACAGCCCTTCTTCTGGGACTCCAGTGCTTACCCAACCCCTCAGTCTCAACTGTATTCCATCCTTATTTTAAGCATTCTGTGAGGTAAATCCTGGTGGAAGCCAGAGATGCCAATGCCTGTGATTCCAGAAGGTCAGAGCCCTCTGAGCTTTTCCTTTTCAGATTTCAGAGGAGAAGAAAAAAAACATTTCTCAAGCTGATTTACAGCAGCACTCTGATAAAAATCACATCTGGGCTATTTTTTGTACTAAATCATAGCTTTTACCAGACAAGCCACATTTAAAAAGCTGTAATTTTTCTGCAACCATAAAACAGGATAAAATACCCATTTTGTTTAGCCCTGAGCCTGTAATCTAAGCGAGATCAGATTATAAATACTATAGCAGTCAAACATGATATGGTCTTATCAGGAGCTACTCTGTTCTTTCTGATTATTTTTCATTATTCTTTGTATAATTCTGCTGTAAAACTTTGCATATTGCCTCTTCACAAAGGGAGCTGTTTTGCCAGTCAGGGTATTTGCTTTAATTGATACCATCTAATTAACTAGCTAATTTTTCTCCCCATATGGTAGGTATCGCCTGGCCGGCCTCCCTGGAGAATACCAGTATAAGAACATCACCAGTGCAGAAATCAACTACTGCTTAGTGAAAGACCTGATCATTTGGACCCAGTATGAAATCCAGGTGGCATCTTACAATGGAGCTGGGCTGGGAGCCTTCAGCAGACCCGTGACAGAGTACACTTTACAGGGAGGTGAGCAAATGAGACCAATATCTCCATTCTATTTCCAGTTTATGGCAGAGTTTCCTTAGGAGATGTGCTGTCTGGTTGTCCCACCTAACAGCTTGTGAAATGGATGGTCATTTCAGTCATATTTGATGGACAGCTTGGAGTAGGAAACACCTGCACATTTCAAATGCTTGAGCAGAGGCAAGTCTCTGCTTCTGTCTCTTTTGTAGGAAAAGTTCTGAGTGAATTCAAAAATTATCTATTTTTGTTGACCCTCATAATGACATGTTGCCACACTTGCAGGTCAGAGTCAGCTGCAGCATAAGTAATAAATAGAAATGCTGACGAGAGTGGGGTCCTGGGGAATGGATTTATAGGACCTGTGACAGGCAGGGGCTGAGGTTACTCTGCCAGGAGAGTTAGAGAAAATATGGCAGGGAATTGGTTTTATCATGGCCAAGATATGCAATATGCTGCATATGCAATATGGGAGACAGAGGCAGAGTAAACCAGCTGTGTTAGTTCTGATAATCACAGAATACCTTGTTTTAGAAATATGGAATAAGTTGTAAGGAAAGTGCAGGGAGGGAAATACAGCCTGTGGAGACAGTGTTCTGAAGCATTTCAGGAATGCTGCAGACATTTGCAAAGAGGAAGATAAAATGATCTGTAAAGCCCTGATTTTTATGCTACAGCTCCCCCACACCTTTCTAAGTGCTTTAAGAAGAGTATAAATTACATCAACAAAAGGATATGTAATTACTTTTTACAACCAGTGTAAGGCATGTTTACACCTCTAGATTGGTATAAAAATCTGTAGGGTAATTAAGTACCAGGCCCTTAAAGCTTTCATATATTCCCATAATTGCAGGGTTGTACTGGATGCTGAGCACTGGACAGTACATGGGCTCTACTTCATTGGACGTGAAACAATTACACTGTTTTAAAAACTTGCAGATTTATAGTACATCAGTTAATTTTCAATCTGTGAAGAATATGTACTTGTTTGCTAATTGTTGCTAGGAGTACTTTATAACATGATTAGATACAGTTTGAGGTGTGGGAAGATCTTTAAGAAAAGATTATTCATATGCAACACTAATTAACTACAACAATTAAAGGAAGGACTATCTATATTTTTTTCTTAGGGCATGTGAAGTCTCATAGTTTAGAGGAGCCTCGACACACTCAACCTCATTCTAGAAGTATTTATAGCAGACCTTGAAATGTTTTTCTTAAAGTCTTCTCCTTGCAGCCAGGATTAATGTTTTCTATCCCACTAAAGACCCGATCTCTGCAGAGAATTGGTTTGCACACAGAATTTGAATCTCTTTTGTGAATATGCTTGTAATTCATTACTTTGTTTATTTGCCCATTTTAAGCTATCATAGCACCTTAACCTTCCATCCATTAAGGCTCAGGTTTGGACTTCACACTCTTTTTTCTTAAACCCTGTAATTGACTCTAATTTCCCTGGATATTATGTGCTGTTATTATCATCCTTTATTGATTGGCTGTCTGTTGTCATTTATAAGGATATAAATCCTCTGTTATAAATTAGCTGTAGTCAGTCCTGCATTCATATTAATCAGGAAGGGTGTTTAGACTGCAGGCCAACCTGCAGTGGCCTGTTTGTCTTTATGTAGTTCCTGAATGCTCAGTGCTGGGTAGAAGAAAAACTGGGTATTTCTCATTTATTTTATATCAATATTTTCTAATAGCTGTAAATAACTGCTTCATGGATGCTGCCATCTCCTAATGAATGCTTTGCTGGGTTTCTGTGCAAATCACCAAGGGCATACAGCCTGTTCTGTAAAGAGTTTGAAGCCTTTCTGCATTCAGAACTGGAAAGGGAGACTGGTTGGGATCAGTATCATTTGAAACTGGATTAATATCAAGTCTCCATATGTCATATGCTACTGTCTGAAACTCTGCTCCTTTATGGGAGTTGGGAAAAGACAGGAAAAGCCAGTGACTGTTTCTTGCTCCAGAATGTCCTTCCTAAACCGAACCAGCAGGAGTAAGAAAAAGCCACGTGTAAAACTGCCTTGTAAATCATATTCTGATTTTAATATGAGCAGAGATAAATGTCAAAGACACACACTCCCATCCATCCCCCTCTCCTACTACCAGCACCACTGCCTCTGTTCTGACATGCATTAAATGATGTGAGCTCTGCTGGCAAGAACCTGTCTGTCTGCAGATGAAAAATACCTGCACCACCTCACACTAATCAAACGTGCTCTGCACTCAGACCCTGGGAGGAAATGAACCCCAGGAGCAGATCAACCCATTGGCAGGAGCACATCAGCATATTGGCATCTTTGTCATAGGGGATATTGACTGGCCATATAAGCTGTGGATTTATACCAGGAGCTAGTCTATTAATCCCTTATTAGTCCTCTGGCATTGCTTTAGCCACTGAAAACTAATCAGCTACTCAAAGCTCATCAAAAATCACCAACTGGTAGAATGCAGCCAAACTCACGAGATGCTGAGGGATCTAAACTTGTAGGCAACTGATGCATAATGTCAGATAAAATGTCAGAGAGACTTAGTGGCAAAGCACTGAACATCCAAGCACTGGGGTCAGGCAGGTTGACTGTCTCTAAAATCTTGAAAGTCCTTTCAGAGTGATATTCAGCCTAATCCTTTGATGCTGTGTATATATAGGTCTTCCTTCATCAGAGTTTCTCCAGCTGTTCTTTGCTTTGATGTTACTTTTCACAGGGATTTTTGCCAGCCTTCTGCATAGGGCAATTTTACTTATTTAAACAGTGTCCTGCAGGACTTTCCATTGCCAGGTGAAAAATTGAAGTTTCCGAATACCTTCTCATGGAAGAATAGCTTTGTGAGAGGTATAAACATCTTTCTGTGGTGACTGCATTGTTTCTGCTCTGTGCTATTGGACAGGTTTACCTTTTTCTTCAGGTTGATTTGATAAAACAGCAGCTTCTGTCCTTTACTTTGGGTCTGTCCCTTTTATCTCTCTAGTGTGAGTATTTCTGAACTTCCTTCTCTTTGAAAAACTCCCACTGCACCTTAGGTTTAGGCAGGGCATGCTTTACAAGGAGAGACATCACTTCCATCAGCCTCTTTGCATTGACATTAACCCACTTCTATTTCTTCTTTAAGTGCTTGTCTTTCTTCTGATGCATATCCCAAAAGCCAGTCTTATTTCCTGAAGTTCACAGATCTCAACATGTAGTTCAATGTTGGTTTATTTTCCCTTCTGTGCTGTGCATCAACACCTCTCCAGGCCAAGCAACTCTGAGCAAAAGGCCCTTCCTGAATAAAAGAGTGGGTGAGACACCAAACTAGTGAGTCTTGATAGTGTGGAGAGAGGGATAAAATCAAGACAAGTCTGTTCAGCCAGGCCCAAAGTGATGTCTTGCTCAGGCAATAGGAGATGAATCAGAGAAATTTATATGACTGAGGTAGAAGAGCCAGAGAAAAACCAGTTAACTGAAAGCTTCCTGCTTTATGGAGGAAATAATCTTGAAAAAGGACTCTCTGAATGCAGAGTGTCCTCTGCAACCATTCATTTTTATCTCAGTAAAAAGATACTTCCATTAATTTTTCCTGGGGCTTTCTTGGCAAAAACATCTTAAAGATCCTCATTCACTTCCTTTGGGGAACCTCCCAATAGCCTTGGAGTGTCCATAGCTGTTTTGGACCCAGCTTCTCCTGTGCAAAAGCAGGCTGGAGTTGTAGTGGCTCGATTTTTATCACTGTTAAGTGTCCTTTGCCATCTACTGCTTTTATTTTATTTTTAAGGTATTTTATAAGGTGGTGAAGTTAGCAGTTGTCTCAGTCAGGCCCCTGGCCCCCAGCTCTTAACAAAGAAATAAAATCTTGTCCATGTGAGAGACATGCAGGAGAGGAAGGAGGCATTTCCCAGCTGCAAGAAGCAAAACTCATCTGTTAGTGCCAAATCTCACACTACTGAATTTCAGAATTCAAATTTTCAAATGTGTGGAATTACAAAGACCAGTTTTCCTGTGCACCCACAGAGCACAGTCCAGAATGTCAGCTGGGAGCAGAGGGAATAGACTTCACAGGAGGAATTACTTGCCTCCACATCCCCACTGAGATGTGCAACTCAGCACCTCGAGCTGGTGCATTAAGGGAACAGCCAAATCCTCACAAAGAGGAAAACCTGCAGTTCCCCCAGCCTGCCTTACTGAGACAGGGAAGCTGTCACCTCAAAGGTCAGGAGCTCCAGAGGAGCAGGAGACTTTTCTCCAGGCCTCTGTTGGAGATCTATATTTAGGGCCAGGAGTCCGGCTGTCAGAAACTCTGCGGGATTTACATGCTATTTGCACATAGCTGGAGACAGAATAATTACATGTACACATGCTTAACCTTAATGCCTTCTCTCCTCTCAATTATCCTGTCAGCGAAACCCTTTTAATGGTTTTTATCTCCAGTGCTTCCATGACCTTTTCTGCTTGGAATGCTGCACATTAACCCGCAGTCCCGGGGGCTGAGCTCTCCATAGATTTCCAACCACGTGAACTTTATCGGGGGGAAAGTAATGGTTGGGTTTTTTCTGGCCAGTTTGACCTGAAATTCCGAGATGACTCCCAGATGGGTCTCTGCTGTGAGATGGTTTTGGAATACTTGCAAGCATGATGAAGTACAGGTTTAAAAACTGGGAATGTTAATGCTTTGGGATTACTCTTGGAACACCTATTTGACATTGGCAGCTTCTGTACAGCTTCACAACAAACTTGTAGGAAGAGGATAGATATCCACCACTAAATTAGAAAATCCTTTATGTGGACAGTCACAGCTCCAGTAAGTTACTATCCGTGATCTTGGAAAAGTATTTGAGATTTGAAGTGACCAGAAGGTCAATTCTGATTTAGCTTCTGTCAAACTTTTTTTCTTTTTTTAAATGCAAAACTGTTCAGATACCCAAGGAAGTCTTTAATATCAGGACATAAAAGGAGAATTTTATACTGGCACTTTGAAGTAAATTTGAGATTATAATGCCAATATTTTACTGATTAAAAATATAAAAATGTGTTACATTATGTCTTCTGCAGCATAATTAAGCCTATGCATGTCAGATGGACCATGTTCTTTCCATCTTTTAAATGCATTAATTGAGATGTAGATGTTGAATTTTCAATGAAGATGTCCAAAGAGGAGTTGTGATATAAATCATGATTTCCAGTGTTCTGAAGGCTTTATGTTTTCTGTTCATAATTTTTATCATTTTTCATATTGCAGCAGGTACTTTTTTTGCTATGATTGTATATTCTTGTTTCAGGAAATTACCTCCTAATGACTAAAAAATATTTCCCTTTTTAAAAGAAATAAATAATGCATTTGGTCATCCACATTTCTAAAACTGTAGTAAACCTATCCTCAAGTGCTTGCCTGAGCTTTTTTGAGGGCTGTAAGGACCACAAATGAAAACTTGAAGCTTGTTGATGCAAATTTTTCTTCTCTTAAAAAATTTGCAGTATTTTGGATTGTATCTAAAAGACTCATCAGGCTCTTATAAATAAAATCCATGTGATATTGAAATCACTGGAAATTTGCTATTCATTGTACAATATTTATGGGATCCTCCCCTAAAGGAAATTATCACTCTCCACATCTCCCTGACAGGAGGGTGTAGCCAGTTGGGGGTCAGGCTCTTCTCCCTATTAACAAACAACAGGACAAGAGGAAACGACCTCAAGTTGTGCCAGGGGAGGTTTAAGTTGGATATTGGGAACAATTTCTCCGCCAGAAGGGTTGTCCAGCCCTGGCACAGCTGCCCAGGGCAGTGGTGGACTCACCACCCCAGGAGGGATTTAAAAGCCATGTGGATGTGGCACTTGGGGACAGGCTTTAGCTGCAGCCTTGGCAGTGCTGGGGGAACGGTTGGACTCGATGCTCTCAGAGATCTTTTCCAACCTGAACGATTCTCTGATTCCACATAGATGGAGTTGTAATGTAGCAGTTCGACAGAAGGAAGAGGAATGAGTGGAGAGGTTTGATGCTCAGCTGATTTAGCCTTCCTGACAGGAGGAGATGAATCTATCAGTGATATCCTGGTGACTTTCTGATAACAAACCAACACGAAGGCTTGTAATACAATTTTATCCTGCACAGTAATGAATCTCTGGCAGTTACAATGTCTGAATATGCTAATATGCAGGAAAGTAAGAATTTTGATTTAAAAAATTTTATGCATGTTAACCATTAATTATATGAAGCATTGCACACAGAAGCAAATTCAAATATATCTTGTGGCTCTCATAATAAACAGTTTCATCAAAGAACATGAATTAAAAAAAAAAATGCATTTAGTAGGGGACTGTAGCCAAAGCAACTCATTATGGCTGTAGAGTGACTTTAATATTTATGACTGTATCTCAGGATGATTTGGTGAATCTCTTAACTACAAAAACTTTATGATGTCTACAGGTCATTCAGATAATAGTATAACCTTCCAGAAGCACACAAGGAATTATGACACATGGCAGGAAGTAGGGCCTGGATTTTAATGAAAATTTAGAGTACTATCAGATAAACTCTGGTTTCAGAACTCAATAATTATGGATAGTTCATAAATTGTGACATCAAGTTTTAAATTAGGGCAAGAAAGTTGTGACTAATATGCAGTTACTGAGGTTAAAAAAATGTGCAGAGCTAAATTGTTGAGCCATGGTTTAGTCTTCAGGGAGTTTTAGTGACAGAGGGCATGAAAGTGGATGTTCTTGTCATTTCAAACCTACATCTTTGAGGATTTCTCCATTTTTGTGTGTTGATATTTCTAGACTGTGGATGTCTCTGATAACTGTGCACTGTCCTAGCTCTGTTGGTTCCAGTCTTACTGTAGTGTGTACCCCAGTTAAGAATAATGCCCCTTTATGTCTCTTCCAAACAAAAATAGCTTTTGGTGGGAAAAGGGGCAGTTTTTCATTTTTGAGCTTATTTTCTTCATTTCTTCTCCATGCAAAGACTCATCTTCCAAAGGTGGTTTGAAGCTTTAAAAGTTTGGGACCTGTTTTTGAAAAGTATGGAGCAAAACACCATTTCTCAGTGGGAATTGTGGATATTCTTTAGAAGCACAGATCATTGGGCTTTGGTAGAAATTCTCCCTTGGAAGCAGAAGGAACAAAGCCTTCCAGGCTTCAAAACCACTTGTGGATAGTTCCTCTTTCATAGAATACAAATGCCCATGCTTGTCAATAGTAATATATTTGAAGCATTATTAAACTTCTTTTATAGGATTTAAAGTGTCTTAGTCCATTTTACTTACTCAAGTAGCAGTTTTCTTCTTAAACTTACTATAAGCTCGATAATTTCAGAAAAATAGACCTGTCTATTAATATTCTTTCCACTGAGAACTATAGAAATGACATCTTAAAGCAGCAAGTTGAAGAAATTGCCTGGAAGGAGACATTATATTAAATGGCAAAATATTTAAGTGCTATTTTTGGTTGTTTGAAGACAGGATGCCTTTATGTTCCATGCTTTCTTTTGTATTGAGAAAACATCTGTCTAATTAAATCTTTGGCATAAAATGTTTATGCAACTTTTAGTAGATTAGAGGATGTATTGGCTCAGGATATATATAATCAATTCAATATACATGAATGCATATCATATCAAGATAAAATGAGAACATCTCCCAATTCCCAAGAAGAATCTTTATTGCATGTGATATGACTGGTCCTAATTCTTTAAGCAGCAGTAAATAATAAACAGATGCTGTTGCCAGATTATAATTCACAATTAGAACCTTAACTGTGGGAACTCCATGTTTTGTTGTCTGATCTGGGGAACTGAGTGGTATTAAAAGACTCAAGAAGTTTCTTTCAGAAACTGTTCATTGTCTGTGCAGTTATGGATAACTGAAAGAGCTGTGCTCACCTGTCCTTACCCAGCTTCTGTATCAAGTCTTTCTGAGAAGCTCATCTGCAGAATAATAAGCTGCAGAAACCATTTCTTCTCCTCCCCTGGAAAGAATCTCCAGTGCAGAATGAGGAATTAGTGCAATTACCCTGCTCTCCAACACACTGCTGCTTCCCAAGAAGTGCATCCTTCTCTCAAGGTTGTTATTACTCTGTGACTCACAAGTGACAGTCAGTGGTTTCTGGGTTCATTTTTCTCTTTTTCCTCCCCCTTCCTCCTCCACTGTGTTTTATTCCATGTCCCTCTCTGCTGACTGGGAGCAGTGCCCACGGCTCCACCGCAGAACGTGCAAGTCGAAGCCGTGAACTCCACAACCATCCAGTTCCTCTGGAACCCTCCACCCCAGCAGTTCATCAATGGCATTAACCAAGGATACAAGGTAAATAGAAACAAGGTTTCTGTAACTTCAGTGTTTGCCTTAACAGTCCTGGTATAAAAAGAAGTTGAATCTGATAACCTCTGAATCTCCAAAGTGACCGTGTAATTTCAGGAGTGTCTTACATGGGTAAAACAAAGGGAGAAGTGAGCAGTTGTTGCTCCTAGCAGGGCTTGGAGCCACCTGGTCTAGTGGAAGATGTCCCTGTAGGACCTTGCAGGGGGTTGGAACTGGGTAATCTTTAAAATCCCTTCCAACCCAAACCTTTCTGTGATTCTAACATTTGCAATTTAGCTAAGTTCTGAAAAGGGAATGTGTCATAGGCTAGAAGTCCTAATACTTTTGTCATCTTCCTGGGAAGTTTCCAAAAACAAAAAGCAGTTCAATGTCAGTTTGGAAACTCACCACATGTCATTGTGCCACTGAAAACCAGCCTGAGATTTCTATTTACACTAATGCGGAATTCCCATTCGTTTCACTAGGAACCAAGACATCACACTAAATATTTGTCTTAACTTTCCCACTGTGATGATTCGGGAGGTATAAGAGTGTAAAGTTTATTAAGCATGCCCTGATGGCATGGAGTTACCATGGTAAGTCCCTGCTGATGGGACAACTGGTAATATCTATTACAGAGTGGGGAGTGTTTAACGGAGCCCTCACTGGTCCTCTGGCAAGTGGAGTGTGGGCTAAAGAGGCAGTTGGAGTGGTTTATTCCTGCCCCTCAGGAAAATTTGCTTGACAGAAACTCCATCAATGGTTTGGCAGTCAGGGCATAATAAATGAAGGGTTTAAAAGTGTTCATGGAAAGAACGAAGAGAAATCTGGTAGGAAGGGGAGAAAGGTTTGGTTTATGAGCAGGGAGGAGGAAGGTTGATTTAGGTGTTGGGTGAAGGAATGTGGAGTGGGCTGAGAAGAATTTGTAGTAAGAAAACAGGTTGTGAATTAAGAGAATGATCATGGATTTGAGATGTTTCAGAAGACTTGATCCTTCTCCAAGAATGTCTCAAAGTGATGGAGAAACTGAGACAAACAGAGGTATGCGTGGGTGTTCCAGTATTTTTGCCCACATCTATGTATTTTTCATAAAGACCAGCAGTGGTTTCAGAATCCCACTGCTGAAGACCTAAATACCTTTAGAGGTGTATGTCTGCTGTTCCCAGAGATAGAATCAGCTCTCAAGGCTCAGTGACTGACAGGGCTGCAGGACAATATCCTAAAAGCTCAATACAGAAGTAGTACTTGGCTTCTGTTCAGACTCTGGAGAATAAAAGCACTTTTGGGGCTCAGTGGACTTCAGTGCAATACAATTTTCTGCTGCAATTCCAAGCACAGTGAGCCCAGATTTGCAGAAGTCTTATTTCAGATTTTTATTCTCTGTTGTATTCAGAGTTTCAGTCTTAAGATCCTTCGTCTCATTCCATAGCTACCTCTAATTTATGTTTTCATTTCTTGAGCAATGGTATAAAATAACTGAAATCATAAATTGTATCTGTCAGCGGACAGTGAAAACCTTTGAAATTATCAAAATTTCTATTTCTTTGGATTTTTTTGATTGCACTAGATTGCTACAGTTTTACCATTCCTGTTTCTCACAGGGATTGTGAATTGCAGTACAAAGATCATGTGAGAACATTTCTGTCACTTACTTTTATAGCCTAGCTTTGTGTATGATTTATAAATTGCTAGTAGTCAAAGTTAGGCCTTTGTGTTTTTTAAGGATTAAACCTTTTTTAAGGTTTTTCCTTAAACTGACAGAATTGTTCACCTGTGTTTTCTGCATGTTTCCTGAAGAACGTGCAATGAAATGCACTCAAAAAAGAAGTCAGTCCTCCAAAGTTATAAATGCCAGTTGTAATCCACAGAGGTGATTTAGAAAAGAAAATAAAACTTAGTATCCTCTTCAAGCACTCTCCATTTTTATCTTTTCTTTGAAATTTATTTGCATTTCAATAAGCTGTAAAGTACACCTTCTCAAATATGAAATATTTCTAACAAAATTACTCCTTATAGTCCACTAACTGTGCTTTTTGATTTTCAGAGACTAGACACTGGCTAAATGTGTCAAATATGGCTCATTAATTTCAGGTATCTATTCATGTTTATGAGCCTGAAATCAATACAAGTAGCAGGATTTACACGGATACTGAGTCAGGCCTAGAATTTTAACACGTTCTATAAGCTACAGGGTAAGGATTTTTTGGACAAAATAAAAATTTCACAAGCTTTCAAGCTTTAGACCCCCTAAGCCTTTAAGGCAATTCCAAAAATTGTTTCAAAATTTCAAAGGCATTTGCCAGAAATGAATTTTTTAAGCCCTCATTTAGGTACCAACACATAAGGTATTGCACTCTCAAAGATATTGATCTCCCAGAACATCAGCTGAGATGAATGAGACCTGGAGGAACTGAGCTCATCTGACAAGCACCCTATTTTAAATGCATGAAAATATGTCTTCAGGAGTCTAACTTTTGGGACTCGGGTGTTGGAAATTGTAGTAATCATCTTTACAACCATTTTCTATTCTTTCTGTAGCTCCAGAACCGCTCGAATCATTCACAGTGGGGATGTCCTCAGTCCACCGATGGTTTTAGTGCTCTCAGCCTGTTAGGCAGGGCTGCTCAGGGGGGTGCTGGGCTGGCTCTGGGAGGGGAAGGAGGATGTGTGTGTCCCCTAATCTCACTAACCTCCCCAGACAGTGGGATCTGTAAAGGAACCCCAAAATAAGATAAAGCATTTATGTCAGAGTAGCACTGAAAGTACTTTTCTTCCTTCAGCTTCCTTTCAGCAGCAGAGAGTGGCCAGGCTGATGAAAGGCCCATGTCATACGGGTAATAATTTGCAACAATTTTGGCACTGTTCAGTAGCAGACATTGAGAATTGCAATATTGGTGTATCCCCCATCACTGGTGAGTGTTACAGACATCCCTCCAGTATCACAGTATCACTGCTTCATCCATCTGTTCAGCATCAGAGCTGACAGTAGTTTACCAGCATTGCTTGGTTCTTTACAATCAGATTAAGATGGTTTTGGCAGCCAAACATACTTTGCCTCCAAATAGACACAACTTCTGATGAGAGCTCATCCATATTTAAATTTTCCAGCTCCTGGCCTGGCCAGTGGACGCTCCAGAGAGTGTGACTGTGGTCACCATCGCTCCGGATTTCCATGGAGTCCACAGTGGCTGCATCACCAACCTGAAGAAATACACCACTTACTACACCTCAGTTCTGTGTTTCACCACGCCAGGGGACGGCCCCCGGAGCACACCCCAGCTCCTGAGCACCCTGGAGGACAGTGAGTATCCCCAGCACTGCCAGGGAACCTCAGCACTCAGGTTTGGGTGGGTTGGATAGAAAAGCCAGAATTTTTAAATCTCTGTGCTTAAATTTTGATCTCAGCTTCATGATCAGTTGGCAGTCTCTTCTCAAGTTACCTTTCGGATGGTTACCTTTCAGATGGTGTGTTCTTTTAGCCTGTGGCAAATATTTGATTTTTTTCTTTTTTTCATTATGGGCTGAACCTGGATGAATTTTTTCACATTGATCATTAGCTGAGAACTTCACAGTCCGGTACAGCCAACACACAATGCGTTGTTTGTGTCTGTGAATCCTTGTGCTCTTAAATCCATGTTCAGGCACCCAAATAAATATCAATTGATCTTCTTAGGAAGTGAGCACTGAAACTTCCTGTGGAGGTCAGTGATTAATTTGTGATTGTTTCCTTCTATTGTTCAATATATTGAAAATGTCTGTTTGTATACTATATTGCAAACGTTTGTGTAAAAGAACCAGGATCATAACAAGGCAGTATCTTTTATTCTGAAAAACTGGAGGCAGGGTGAAGTAAAATGAGCTGGATAGTTTAGCATATAAATTGTTTCCTGAATCAGAAAATGGTTTGGCCTCTGTGACCCCTTGGAAGTGTTTGCTCAAGACATATTTGGGACTTGCAAGTCTCACGTGTGCCTGATTCAGATAAGGACTAAACTACAGTGGCCTCGCACTTATTGTGTCCACAGTGATCTTGGCTCTGGCCAGTGCTTTGGTATATTTCTGTATTGGAGCATCATAAACACTGCTGCCCATTTACAGACTCAAATCAGAATAAAAAGTGTCTAATACATCCATTAAGATATTGTTTTTAGAAATACTGCTTTGCCTTAATAGGGATCTTTTAGGTTGGTCAGTGTTCCCGTAAAGAAAAATCCGATTGTCATTAACATTCACAGAAGTGAGGCTCAAAGTGCTAATCCAATTTTTCATGACATACTCTTGAAAGACCATGGAGAAAATTACTTTCCCATGGATTTTCCTGTTGTGGTTAGTCTCCTCTATATGCTAGAGCTGTGTCCCCAGAGCAGGCTGTAGACTTAAACCAGAGATAGCAATTTAACTACCAGAAGTCTTTGTGACTCACTAATATGAACTCAAACTTGTTTATCTGGGGTTAAAGTAAAAGGTGTGGTGGAAAGAGAAACATGCATTAGGTTCCTGTGTGCAGTATCAACTTTTTTGCCTGTTTTCCTAAGGAAACAAAGCTTTAGACAAGGATGGTTTGTAAATGTGTTCAACTGTCCTTCTTGGGTTCATCTGTCTTCTCTCTCCAAGGACAGTTGAACCCTGTGGCAAATTTCAGTGAAGAATAAGAAACCAAAGATAAAAGACTCCCAAGATTTTGCAAAAATTAATCAACTGGGAAGAGGAGAAGCTGTTGATATTTCTGCTGAAGAAAAGGCTGAAGAAAGGAGCCTTGCAGAATTTCCACAAAGTGAGAGAAGAGGCAGAGCCAAGACTTTGAGACTATCTCAGGGAAATGTTGAGATCGCCTGCCATTTTAAACACCAGAAAATTCCATCAGGAAACATAAAACAAGGGAAAACCAGACTTGTATTTTGTAAAGCATTTGATGCATTCCCTGGTGTATGCAGCTGTATGCTGCAAGGAGCCTCAGCAGGGCATTTTTTAATTTATTTATTTTTTAATAAAATAGAATTGCTTCCCTCATTTTTCAGAGTGGCTGAGAAGTTATGTGCAGGATGGTATAATGCATCTTTGTGGAGAACTCGTTGACTCTTAAGTTGCTTCAGGATTTATGTGGTGGGAAAAAAGATTTGAAAGGACTGTCATTCATGTTTGCAGGTGATAGTTTGCAGTCTATATAGCAGAGTTAGGCAATCCTCTAGAAAAAACTTGTGCAAACGGATCTGTTTGCTGATGAACTGTAGGTCAGATAAAATTTAACATCCAGTCAGAAGTATCTTGTCCTGGCTTGGAGTCACTTGCACCTGTGTTTCGTGGTGACATTAAAATTGGGCTGCAACTGCAGGGGCTAATTGGAGCCAAGCTTTGTGTGGGTTCTGTGTCTGCACATCCCTGGTCCCAAATAGTGCACAACTGCCATGCTCTTGTTGGGTATTCCTGGGATCACTTCAGGATCAGCAGTTCTTCTGTGGAGCTTTGACTGCTTGGTTTCGCAGAGTGGATTTGGAAACTTTCCTCACTAGGACTGCAGAATTGCAAATGGGGTTGTATCTGACCTACTGGCAGGGTTTGAGCTTTTTTTGTCATAGCTGGAGGGGAATGAGAGACTGGACTAAATTGAAGAGGAAACAAAATATGAAATTGCAGACAAGAAATTGCCAACTGATGTCAGTGGAGCTGGAGGATACTCGGGCAGGGATCCAATGACAGAAGCACTGTGAATATAAAGTGAACAAAATCTCCTTTTTCCAGTACATCGATTGAGGACAGAACAGTATTTGGATCAAAAATCAGTCAGGTTGTCTTCCTTGAAGGCCAAAATTGAGGGAGGATGGCATATTCTTGACAGTCATTCCATTTTATGCTCTTTCATTGCACACTGGGGAGCTGAATTTTTAAGAGCTCTTTAGCTGCATCATAAAAACCCTTTAAAATTTTCACACACTTGTATTCATTTTACAGAAGACAGTTGCCATTATGCTGGACATTTTTAGATTTGTTTTGAGAGAACTTACCCAAGCAGTGGCTTGGTGACTCTGTCCTTGCTGTGACCTTGCATAGGGAAAAAGCTCTTCCCAGATGAGGGGGTTGCTGGTGGTGTTGCTACAGACCTGGGTCCACAAAAGCTGCACAGCAGTGAACACCACACACCTGCCACTGAGGGGAAAAATGGCAAACACCATCACCTTCAGGATTGCCAGCTTGATTGTGCTAATTAGGTTAGATGAAGAAGAGAGGAAAGAACAAGTTGTGTGCACGTCTCCTGTTTCCACTCTCTTTAGCTCTCCAGACAATTGGGATGATGGCCGGGTGAAATAATTTATGTGATGACAAGACAGAGTGTTTCTTCCCAGCTTGTCTTCTCCCTCTCAGTGATGTTTTCAGCTTCCCTTGGCCCTGGCTCAGTGCTGTATTTCTTCATCCCTAACCTTGCCATGTGAATTAGATCACAATTAAGAGGGGTTCTCCAATTAACAGTTTTTCTTTCCTGATCTCCAGAGCCGGGAGCAGTGGGACACCTGAGTTTCACCGAGATCCTCGACACCTCGCTCAAGGTCAGCTGGCAAGAACCTGTAGAGAAAAATGGCATCATCACAGGTATCAGCTGCTATGTCTGCTTTTATTTCTTTTCTGTTAAGTGTGTGTGAGGTGGAATGAATCACTGCAGTGAAAAACTGTTTGTGTAACAGAGCATTTAGGGAGAACTGGCCGCTTCGGGCGCTGGTGTCCTGGTCCTTCTTTTGGGTAATTGAGATGTCACCAGGGCACATTATACAAGGTTTGGGTCCAGTTACTGGCAGCTCATGATTGTGGTGACTGGAAAGGCAGTTTGTTTTGGAAATCAGCTCCCCACAGGGTTTCTGGTCCTGTTAAATCTTCCATAACCTCCACCTGCGTTACTAAATTTGTGGAAATTTGTGAGACCGTGCTTGGCCTTTGCCCCAAGGGTGGGGGGTCCCTGCACAGAGTTTACAGCTGCAAAATCTGGATTGGCATTGTTAAGATTTGCAATCAGGACCAAGCCTGAAATCAGCAGTGCCCTTCATCTGTGATCAAGTGGCCTGGCTGTGGACTGCGTGACAGAATTTGCATGTCATTACTTAATCTGTTATAAACCACCACAAGGGTTCAGAACTCTCTTGTTTCCCTTTGATGAGTCTGCCATTTGACAAGCTGTTTATCTATTTACTGTATGCCAGTGTAGATACAACATCAGCAACTTCATTATTTTTCATAAAGGAAGCTATAAATACTTGAGAAAACCTCTAGTTCTTATCAACAGAGGCAATATTGTTTTCAGAGGGGAAACTGTTACAGCTCCACAGGACGGACATTCCATTTAAGAAAGGTTTCAAGGTTTTGAAGCACAAGAAAGCTCCCAGATTTTAAGTTACTGGAGCTAAAAAGCACAGTTGGGAAGGGAGAGGATCGTTTCATGTGGATCAAAATATTTTAATTTGGGAGCATTGACATTGAAATGTTTAATTTTTTGAAAAAAATTATTATAATTTGTAAGAAAATACACTTTAGGGGTTAAAAAAAATCAGACTTCCTGACCCTTGACCATTTAAATGTTATATCAGTCTAATTTCCTGAAGCATTTTAACTTTGACAGGTCTAATCATTTTGATAGGACTGGTACTTGTCAGTGTTTTCTCTATGTATCTGTAACGTTTGTATGTGTGTGTTCTGTGCTGTTTGTAGTGTGTGTGGAGTCCTTGTGCAGATCATCTCCTGCCTTTACACCACGGTCACCTTCCTGAAATATGCACTGATTTAAGTGGTTTGAGAATAGAAACTAATGACTTCTGAAAGCAGAGCAGTATTGATTCAGTGAAGATGGCCAAAGCCTTTCAAGCCCGAGAGCTTAAATTTAGGGACCTACATCCAAGCCTATCCAAGATGATGTAATACTGATCCTTGTTAAGCATCAGGGAGCAGCACCATGTTGGTGTTGTAGAATTGCTTTGCTGGAAACAAGCTGCTGCCTCCCAGGTTGGGTTGAAACCTGCTGGAACTTGATGATGGACTGTCTTATATTTGGGGTAAATTGTTCCAGAAAGACTTAACTAAACAAGCTCTATTGTTCATGACAAAACACCAATGTGAAAATGCCCAGCAGAGTTTATAAGGAAAAAGAAACATCCTTAATGATGCAAATTGCATTTGGGATGGAAGAATAGGAAAATTGTTTATGCCCTTTGAGCACCTCAGAGGTTTAAAGAGGGCTGCTTGGAGGTCTGAGTGCTCAGGGAAGCAATTATTCATCATTTCTGCTCATTGATGTCTTTAGTGGACCTTCTTGTTCCCTGCACCAGCAATGGGAGGAGGGAAGAGCCGACAGGGTACCCAGCAGCCAACCTGAGCTGGGAAATTGCCCATTACTCTGCTGTAAATCTCAGTATCTTCCTCGTTCCCTCAGTAAACGTTGATTTATGAGGCCCTGGATGTAGACAGACAGTTTGTGATTGGGTGTACTGCTCCTGTGTACAGAATTTACTCCATATCACCAGAAAATTATTTCTGAAACTCCTCTGGTCATTAGTTCCCGTTAGGCAGCATTTTGAGGAGTGCCAAAGCACAGGGGAAGGCTCTGTGGCACCTTTCCTGTTCTCACTCACACCAGAGCCAGAGGAAAACCCTCTCTGCCCCCCGCCACGTTTCTGGCAGGGATCACGTCTGTAACACAGGGAGTGTGTTTCCACCAACCACATGTCCCAAAGTTCTGCCCATCTGTCAGCCAGCGTGGCTTAAGTGCTACTTGGGGGTACAGTGGTTGTTGTTCCTTTCCTTCAGCGGTTTTTTTTCATCTGTTTTTGTTATGCCTGGTTGCTTTTGGCTTTGTGTCTGCTCGCCGTGTACGTACAGATTTTCTCTTCTCATCTTTTATATGACTAGAATTTAACTATACATCCAGGGCTGAAATATCTGGCAGCAAGTGCTGCCTGTTTGCCTTTTCTTCAATTTACACACGTGAACTCAGGACTGTTTTCCTGGTGAACACTTTCTCAGAAAATAAATACGTAGAGACTCTGTGCCTAATGGGCAAGAAAGCTGGGGCTCATCCTGTGGTCACCAGGGAGAAAACATAAAATGTCCAAAGAATAATCACCAGCGTTTGATATATAACCTGAGCTTATCTAGATGGGAGAGGAGATACCTCAATCACTGAAGATTGCCTGGTGCATGGTGAATGACACTTTCTATTGTCTGTAAGCAACAAATGGACAGAGGGAGCATTAAAAGTCCCCCGCTTATCTTCCTCTGGTTATTTATTGTCTGGAACAAACTGCACCCACAGCTAATGAAAGAAAAGGGTGTTTGTGATGGTCCTTCTGTTTGCAACTCCTCCGTGCCTCTTCACTGAGCACCAAAGGCAGGAGACAATCATCCCCCACCTTTCTGCTCATCCTCTGTTAATAGAGGCAACAGAGTCCTTAAATTTTGTCAAAATGTTCCTACAGATTATAATCCTGCCTGTGCTACATCAACTCTGATCTGATAAATGATTCTTAAGCCTTTTCAGAAGGCAGCAGAACACCACAGTGTTTCCAAGACATTGGTAATTTACTGAGTTAATTAATTCCTACTCAGACACTTGTTTAAAACCAGTTCCAGATGAGCGTTCAGGAGTTTCTCCCCTTCCCCTCTGTAGTTCACAGTCAAAGAAGCCTTTGTGGTGTAGATGGAATTGTTGAAGCATCACCTCTCTTTATCACTGCCCCCTCACCTGAAAAGTTAATTAGTGACTATGTGAGCACTCCGGGCCCATTTTCATGCAAAATCAGGTTAAGATGAATCTCCATCAGTAATGGCAGCTCACAGAGAGGACAGAGAACATCTCACACCTCTCAAACTCTCACAGAAATATTTGTCTCACCATGCTTTTAGCTCATGAGATGATGCTTTCTTGTTGATTAATACCATAAGGGATTTTGCTACGTCAATTCATATATGTTAATCAGCTTATCATGATTTTTTATTAAAAAAAAATGGGGAAAAAAAAGCCTCAAGCCTCTCAGCTGGTCTGAATTCCTCATCTTAGATGATGGGAACATGAACCCAGTAGGGAGTTTCTCTAGCCAGTTTGCCTCGTGCCTGGTTCACACAGTGGGATTCCTTTCTGTTAGTCCTTTTCACTCACTCCAATTTCACAGGCATTCAAGAGCTATGTGTATTTTTTTTTTTCACCCTCTGAGTCAAATCACAAAGAAAGCTGCAATCAAGCAAACTTTTCAGACACGCTCTCTGGAGACTGGCACAGCAAGGTTCACATAGGTTCAAACGAGAATAAAGTAGGACTGGGCAGGAGGAGGACAAGCAGATTTGGAGGCAAAATTGAGCAAATCAGACAGTAGAAAGTTTCAAAAGTTCTTGGAAGGCAAGTGGTTATCAAAGTGATAAAAAGGAAGCCTGGTGATGATAGAAGAATAATATGGAGGTCAGGGCAAGTGCAGCTTTGGACAATGCATTGGCTCCATGATGGTTTTGAAAGAAAGGATAATGATTCACCCTGCTGAAGGATTTGTGCGAGGAAGAAGCAGTGGGGAGTAGAGGTTTTTCAGTTCCTGGAAGATTCCCACAATGTTCCTGCCTGATTGTTATTGTCAGATTTCTAAGTATTTCTAGATATACAGCAGTGAAGGTTACTTCAGCCTGGAAAGGGAGTAGCCCTACTAAGCACATATAGATTTTTAATTAGATATTCCAGCTGGTGAGCAGATATTATATTTTCCAAAGCCCTTGTTTCTTCCTGTTTGCTTCACAGAGTTCACAGAGTGAAAGTCCTGTGAGATTATCCCCAGGTTTCCAAGGCATTTCTTAGCAAGCACTGTATTGTCACAGCAAAAAGAGACAGTCTGTTGAGACCTCATGTCCTCCCTCGTCTGTAATCTGATAGGCAGATGATGCCCCATAGGGTACCTACATCAGTTGTTTATTGGGAATAACAATATCAAAAAAATATTTGGGTATTTTAGCCAGTTTAGTTTACATTTAGTTTACATTACTTTAGTTTACATTTACTTCAGTTTACATTTACTTCAAGGGTTTTTTCTCTGCTTATAAAAGGTGACCACAGTGGGGTAGAGTAAGGAATGATGATCCACCATGGACCACAGGCAAATCGTGCTGCCACAGGAATTTACCAGTCTGTGGGCTGTGGAAGGAAAACTACAACCCCCTTGACTTGTGTGTGGTTGTTTCTCAGGGTACCAGATCTCCTGGGAGATGTATGGCAGGAACGAGTCTCGCCTTGCCCGCACGCTGTCCAACACAACCCTGGAGTACAAGATCACGGGGCTCTCGTCCCTCACCACCTACACCATCGAGGTGGCAGCTGTGACCGCGAAAGGGAGCGGGTGGGTCACGTCCTCCACCATCTCCTCTGGTGTGCCCCCAGGTTGGTATAACTGCATGAAACAGAAGAAAAGGTGCCAATACCTCGTGTTTCGTTGTTCCCGTCGCGGGTTACTTCGGAAGTAATAAAAACGGTTTTATTTGTGAAGCGTCGAAATTCTTGACCGCGTAATTTAAATTTGATCTGTGGGACAGATTGAAATGTGAGCACGGACACACTCACAGTTTGAAAATTCCAGAAAGTTGAGGCTGTTTAATACAAATACAAAAGTTGGAAGTATGACAATGGAATGGACAAAGTAATAAAGTGGGTACAACACAGAATCCCTTGACATTTACAAAGTAACATACGAACTAAGCCTGAATCTATTCAAAAAGCGTTGCTTTGGGGGGAAAGATAAGGTTTAGATGCTAAAAAGGAAAGTTTTTTCCTTGTAGGAGCAGTATAGGTTATTTCAACCATGAGAGGTCACTTGGATAGTGAAACTACAATCTTATTTACAAGATTTTCAAGTTGTGGCCTGAGAAAGATTTGGGAAGAGGTTTTTTTTGTCCCACATTGTCTGAGTTACCATTTGGGCACTGTACATTTACCCATTTTGCATTTCATTTTAAAAATTCTACACTCTCCCTCATCCAGTAAAAAAGCAAACTGAATAGCCAATTCATACCTCAGACAAGCAGTTTCAGTTAATATATAGGTTATAGAAGCAGAATTTTCCAAAGTGGAGCAGTTATTGTACGTTGCTGAGAATAATCCAGTTTTTCCTTTCTGCAGTATTTTTGAAGTTTTCTATATGTCCTGAAGTATGTTTGCCTTTCTTTTCCCCAATCATAGGTAATTGTGACAATCTGTAGACTGGATCAATGCCATGCTCCCTGTTGTTAGCCAGATAACAGCAATATTCTACTTGGGCAGGGTTAGTTTATCGATCACGGTTCCCACAAATGTGAAGTAAGAATAAAGAAATATTGTGTATTCCTGCATGCTTGAAAGACACGCCAAAAACCTGCCCATTTTCAGCCTGTTGCACTTGCACAGAGTGCAACATTGTCATAGAATCACAGAATTGTTTGGGTTGGAAGTGACCTTAAAGATCATCTGGTTCCAAGCCCCTGTAATGGGCAGGGCCACCTTCCACTAGGTAATTACTGATTACAGTAGTTATTTCTATTTCTTAAAAATGCAGGTGCTACTGAGAATTTATTCTAAACAATCTATATTTAATATCTCTTTCCTGGATTTGCTTTTGTTGTTAGTTCAGATGATATAAGAAATGTAAATGCCACTGTAAGTTTGACTAATGCAAGGCAAAGATTTGATTGGGGCTACCTTTGTAGGATGGTCACCCTCTTTGTTTGCTACAGGAATTTTAAAATTGTTATAATTGTTACCAAGTTATTTTATATGTTGAAACACTGAATTTCAGCTTGTGTTACAGGGCCCTAGACAAAGAGTCTTTCTACCTCTCATATACATTTCTGTTTCTCCAGAACTTCCAGGTGCTCCATCCAACCTGGTGATTTCCAACATCAGCCCTCGCTCTGCCACACTTCAATTCCGTCCAGGATACGACGGCAAAACCTCCATCTCCAAGTGGATAGTTGAAGGCCAGGTATGTCCCTGACAAAAATCTCTTAATGAAGTCTCTGAGGGTCCAAATAGTGAATTGCTGTTTGGGTTACAGTTTTTGTTTAACTTTGGATCACGTCTCCTCTATAAATGGCCTGGTGGTAGCTGTTCAGGGGGTCCTGGGAAGGTTGGGATGCCAGGGAGCTTGAGAGGCTCAGCTGGGAAATGTTTGTGTGTCAGCCAGGGAAAAAAGGGCCACATGAATACTGTGAATTCTGTTCCAAGGAATAAAAGGAAAATGTGATTTATAATATATATATATATATGTGAGAATGCTTATCCTTTAAAGAAATCACATGGATTTTTGTAAAGCTGGTTTGTTTATTTCCAGAACACCACCAGACACATCATAAGCAACACACAGAGCAGAGCTTTAGTCCATCCATTGATTTTTAAAAAGGATTTGAAACCTGTGTTTAGGTTCTGTGAGGTGTCTTTTCAAATCACATGCAAACCTGGAATTATCATCTCGTAGACTCAGAAGTATAGAAGAAATTGCACTGAACAGTAAAGATACCATTATTCGTGAGATTGAGTGTATTTTTCTGTCTTGTAATGGAATATACCAAGGTTTTCTATTCAGGCCTGTAGATATGAATAGGATGAATTCTCATCTTCATCAGCTTTAAACAATATCCCTCTTTCTGCTGTCATTCTGCCTTGGAGGAGTTATGTATTCCTCATTTGTTCTCCTGACAGATGAGCTTTGCTTCTTCCTTTCCACCCACAGATCTTTATAAATAATATAATCTGTTTTTAAGACCAAATGTTGGACTTCTTAAATCACCATCACCACTTAGACATGTTGATACAATCACTTCACTTGGTAATGAGATTGTTGTGAACAAGTTGGTACATTTCGTGCCATTTATATACACATTATTGCATATTACAGAATTAAACACTGAAATCCAATAATATGGTGTCTTAGCACATTCTGAGAAGCATTTTCCTGCTGGAACACCACATTGATATTGCTGGGAATTTGCTAATTCAGTGAGTTGCAAAATGCCACTGAAGTGAAATAAATTTGAATGCTTTAAAAATGCAGTAATAATTACCGTGAAGTTCATCTGCATCCTTGAAGAGCCCTGGGTACCAGCAGTGGTTGGAATGGTCCTTGGTGGTGCAAGGAGGGAAGGGAGGGTCTTTCTTGTTCACAAACCCTCATCAATATCTTATGCATTGCTGCTAAAGTCAAGGGGTTTGTGATTCTGGTAGATCCTGAAATTATTTGCTCCATCTGGGGAAGGAGCACCCCAGATGTCCTTGTAGAGTCTGGGCAGTCTTTTTCAGCACACCACACCTCACTGTTCAGCTTGGGCACAACAAATGTGGTTCCTAGTGGATTTAATAAAAAAAGAAAAATTCTTTTCTCACCTGATTAACAAAAGTCTTTTCAGGTATGCAGAGAAATTGGTGAGTCCTTAAGGATACAGCAAATCCTGTTTCCAGGATGACAGCTGCATATAATCCTTTGTTCACAGCCCCTTTCTGCCAGCACTCCTCTCAAACTCTTTCTCTCCTGAAGTGCAATTTCACAGCACCTTTTGCCGATCTAAACCAGAACTCTTGTTGTCCTGCTCCCATTTCCTCTCCCCATCCCCATCCCACTTACCAAGACTTTCCTCCTCCTGCCTCCCACGTGCCCTGACTCAGGCAGGATCATACACAGGGTGGCTGCGAGCCTTGATCCAGCCCAGAACAAAGGAGTTTCAGACAGATCAACTCTCTGCACGGGATGTGTGTTATCAGAGGAGCATCACTGTAAGGGGAAGGGGTGAGACCATGGCACTGGGAGCAGAGATCAGGGCAGAAATCCCTCCATCCTCACTTGGATTTAAGCTGCCTTGGACCTGCCTTGTGGACCTCACAGATTTCCCTGCCCACTTTTCACAGAGAGGTGAGCTTTTGCAAAAGAGCTGCCAGTGACACCCTAGTCCTCATTTCTGCCTTTCATGGAGTCTCTTCTAAGCTGGGATATTTCTGTGCTGAGGTGCAGACTGCTGTTGGAACATCTGTATTTTAGCATAGACATCCATAATTGTTCCTTAAGACTGTGTTAAAGATTGAAGGGCAGTGGTTATACCTCACCTACAGCAGTATTTCCTGAACAGAACTGTAGGGAGGATTTTTGTCCTTCTGGATCTTTCATTCACTGACCCATTTACAGCTTTTAATAGCAGTGTTAAGTGTTTCATGCCTTAGCATTAAATTAAAAGCCACTTAAGGGGTGGTTTTGCATACTATGATTTTAAAACAGATGGTATTGCCAAGTGATAGGATCGCATTTAATTATAAAATACTAATCTGTACGTTGTGCACTTCACTTCTGTCCCCCTCTGTAAGCTGGGCAATAGCTTTGCATTGGGCATCCCTTATTTTCTGACTCTTCTCTTCCATCTCTACTGGGAATATACCTTTCACTCTGAAAGGCCGAGTCCTTACAGACAAAATTCAGCTGTTTTATATTCACACACACGCAAACAACCTGCCACCAACGTGGTTTTCTTCTTTGTTCCTTGATTTGGCAGAAAGCTTCCTTGGTGAGGGCAGGTCTAGGAAAATGTTCCAAATACTCCAGTTTGGCTAAGAGCCATTTTTGAAGTCTGATACTTCATGAAACAATTTGGATGAAAAACACAGCTGGGAATTCCAGTTGACGTGACAGTTTGGGCATCTGGCCTTGGTTTCTGCTTTCTGTGCCGGGGTGTAAATTCACGGGAGCCGCTGTGGAACTAATTCTCAATTATGTCAATGAACATGAGAGGAGATCAGGTCGTTAAGAGTTTAGTGTTGGTAGATACTGAAATATCAAGTGTTACAAATCCCATTTCTGTGTTTCTGGTGAAGCTGCATTCTGTGCTTTTGAAGGGATTTCTTAAAATTATCACTAGGTTGTTTCTTTTCCATCTTCTTATCTAGACTCAGGACTGGAGAAACTGGATGTATTAATGCTATTTAAAAAATACTTCTAACATTTTTTTTCCCATCACATAGAGTAGAATCTAAAGAGAAGAGGGTCAAAGGTAATATAAAGGTTCTGCTGACACTTGTTCAGAGGGACCAGCAGTAGCTGCCTCGTGGCACTGACACTCACAGGTAACTTGTTCCTGCACAAGGAATTTCAGTAAATCCTTCCAGCCATCCTGTACTCTCAGCTGCAGTCAGGAAATATATTGCAGACATTTTTTCTGGCAATTTTCAGCCAAGAATGACCATGAATCCCTGCTGGTGCTCATGTAGTTTCATGTTTGCAATCCAATTTCAGCTTATTTTTCTTGTGTTGGATTGTTCCTGGGGTTTTGTCAGGAGAAGTACATAAATGAATCATAGAATGGTTTGGGTTGGAAGGAACCTTAATGATACATCCAATTTCAACCCATCATGACTTTGCCTTGGTGGGTGCTCAATCCATACCATTGAGCTTTCCAGTGGCTGATTAGAAAAGCTGGGATAACTTCTGCCCAGTTTGGTGCATTTTTCTGGTGATTAATGTCATTTGCAGGCAGCAGAAGACCTGTGGAACAGCTGAAAGCCATTTCTGAAGAGGTATTACATTTCCTGGAGCCACGAGTACATGGGCTATTATAGAGAGTTTTTGCTTAAAGCCTTTCTGCTGTTTTTAGAGAGATTTTGTGTGAATGTCATGGTGAGCAGTAGCAGAGTTTCAAAGTGGTAAAACCTTTAAAGTATTATCACATGTATTCCCTTCTAAAGCTGTGAGTTGGGAAAGGGGTTGCAACTTTACCTGTGAGTTTATCTGGTTCCGTGGGTTAAGTCAGCGACCCAGATAGGATTCATCCCTTGTGCCAGGTGATTCTCCTGATGTCCTTTTCACTTTGGGGCTGGTAAATAAAGTGTCTGAAACTCTGACAATTTTATGCCTTTGACAATCTTTAAATCAAAAATGGCTGAATCGATTTAGGGATTTAGTGAGGAAAAAAAATTGCACCCGGGCTGACATCCCGTGAACCGAATTTCTCCCAAAGCGATTTCAAATGTGTGAGTTATGGACCTCTTAAATGAAAACTCTGACACATCTTGAACTATAGTGGAACACAGGGTACCTCTATAATGTACAGAAACATTGTGTTATCCTTTCTTGCAGTTAGTGCTTTGTAACTGTTCAAAATTTCGGCGGCAGTGCTGTCTTGTACAAGTGATTTTTTTGTTCCAAATTTTATTTATTTTTGTGGGTTTTTTTTAAGTCAGAATTCTGCAAATTTTCTCATACAGTGCATTCCATCAGAAAATGTTAAGTCATTTTATAAAATATGTAACATTTTCCTTTTAAGAAAAGGAGAAACTAATGCACAGAGAAGTAAAAGGTTCCGACATCACTTCCAATATTGTTTTATGCTGTCTCATTTCTGCAATAATAAGGGAATATGCAGTTTTATTGAGTGTAATGCCTTGGGAGCAGCTGAGAGATGGGAATGAATATGTGCTAACTAGTGATGGCTGATTGTTATGGAGCGTTATATGAAGTGTCTCGGGGGACATGGGTGTTTTTATTGTGGCAGTCCTGGGGTCCCTGGGGATTGTGGCCCTGTTCCACAGGGAATTGGGAAGATGCAGAGTGCATCCCTTGAGGAGTTTTTATGCTGGTGATAACAGAAAAGCAGTCGGTGTCTCATCTGCCTCCCAAAACAATGCACCCACGAATACGTGTGTGTCTGTCAACAAACACGATCCTTCTCTGAAGTTTGCACACACTGTTATCCAAAAAAACAGCTACAAGAAAGAAGCCTTTAACTTCACTTGATTTTATGCAGAGCTGCTCAGAGTGGGCTCTCTTGCCCCTCAAAGGACTCTTTTATCCCTACCACTGCCCGTGGTTCTTTTTGCCCCGTGGGAATCCCTTTGTACTCGGATTCTTGAAACTGATACGTTTCCTCTGATCTGACATCAGAGTGTTTCAGCAAAAAATAATTTCCTTTTCCTTCCAGAGCCTGAAACTTGGAATCTGCTATAGATCTCAGAGAAGTTAAAAACACAGAAGCCCATCACTGAAGGTTTTCTTCCAAGATTCACTTGAGAATATATATTCACACACACACATATATATATATATTATATATAAAATAAATAAGTGAAACTTCTTTTGAGTAACACAGACCTAGGATTGCTTGGCCACACAAGTTAGAGGTCATGCAGAAGTCCCCACGCTGTTCACCAAGCTGCCCTACAGCTATTAACCATTCAATCCTCTTGCTGTGAAAAAACTCCCTACAAAAAAATCTAAAATATGCTACTGATTTCAATAGAAGTTAATTTCCCAATTGCTGGCGGCAGATCCAGGGAACATTACGAGGTATTATTCTAACTAAAGCAAGTTCCTGATGTATTTTTCTTAAAATCTTTTCCTAAATCACAGAAATATGCCTGTGGTTGTTTTTTTTTTTTTTTGCTGCCTCTCTGACGGTAATTTAAAAACAAGTCTCAAAGTGGTTAATTTGGGACTGCCTGTGCTGCCACTTTGCCCATGGTCCTCCACATCCCAGAACAGGTATCAACCAACTGTTACCAGCTGGCTCCTGAGCCTGGGAACAACCAACGTTCTGGGCTTGGTTAGAATCTGCCATTTCCTCATAGACTGCACCCATCATCCCAGAAATCTGCCTCCTGGGTGGCTTCTGAGGCGCTTGCCGGAGTCCTGCTTCTCAAACAGCACAGGATCCTCAATATTTCCCCCTTTCCAGCCCACCTGTAAATGTCTCTCTGCAAACCAGGCAGGGGTTTGGACTTGTCTCACGCTTGAGTCCATGTCAGGTGTTCACAGCCCTGTGGTCCTTAATGTGTATTAATGACTTGCCTGCTACTGCACAGCAACTGCAACCTGGGTGCCTTTTGGGGGTTTTTTTGCTCCTTTTTTTTTTTCTTTTATGTAAGAAATATTTTGAAAAGCTCTTACTGCTCTTAGAATATAAAAAGGCGACTTAGTCACCACTGGAGATTATTTGCAGCCTCCAGAGTGCTGTGGATTGTTGCTACATAATTACTGCAGCCCTTGGAGGTGATGCTGTTAAGTGGAAGATTTGCAAAAGTAAGCATTTACTGTAGACTTTCTACAGTATTAATAGAAAACTCATTTAATAAGAAGTATTCTCTGTTTCTTTGACTGAAATGAACCCTCTCATCCTTTCTTTGTTCGTGTAGGTTCTTGGGGTTTTTTAGTTCTCTTTATCATCTGTTTCTTCTCTGGCTTCAGTTTAGGGATGTTCTGTTTTACCATTCAGACCTGTCTCAACTTGTTTCCCTCAAGCTTCTGCATCCGTGAGCTTTAGTACAATTTATGGAGCTTGGTTAGGACTGGGAATTTTAAGAGGTCCATAATCTTCACTACCATCTATTTTATATGTTGTTTGCTATGTGGCAGTGACCTTGATCACCAACAAGACTGAAAGGCCCATCAAGACCTGTTCAGCCACATCCTTCCATGAAAGCAGTGCTCTGCTGGGAAGATCACAGAGGCTTCTTTCCACAGTGCAATGCAGAACTTATTACTGTGGCCTAATTTTCTTTTGTGTCCTTTCTTCATGCACAAACATAAATATGCAGCACACCAAGTCCTGGGTGAGCGAAGAACTAAAACATCTATAAATAAATCAGGCTACTTCTCCTGAAGGGGAAAAAAAATGAGTGAATGAAACTTAATTTTCTATTTGAAGTACTTGGGGTATGTGAGATACTTTGGGCTATGGTGCCTATCAAGTGCTCTGACAGTGTCTGTGGCTGTAACTTGTATACAGAACTCGTAAGGGATCTGGTTAAAAAAGATTAAAGGAAATAGCTCTTTACACAGTGGGTTGAGAGCTTCTGGAATTTGTTGCCACAGCAGTCTGTGGGAGTAGATAATGTCAGCAGGTTGAAAAAAGATAGGGCATCTTCATGGTTATCTGGTCTGTAAATAGACACTGAAGGGAATAACTGCCCATGTATCCTCTCATATCCTTCAGCCCTTGGCTGTGGATACCAGGACGAGGGAATTGGGCACAGGTATTGTCTTTTGTGGCAGGGTTGAAACACCAGAGTAACTGTGCACAGTGCTAGGGAATTACAGCAGGGAGCCTTGCCTGAGCTGCCCTGGGAATCTCCACAGTGAAGCCCAGCAATCTTCTCCCATTCTCCACGCTCCTCCTGTGTCTCATCCATGACCCACGGATGCTGCCACGTTCCAGAGTCCCAGGTCAGGCTCTGGCCTTTCACTCGTGCTTTATTGGCTTCCTTTTAAGCCCTGATTCATCTTCATTTAATCTCCAGGAAGCTGCATGGAAAGCAATGCTCAATTCTCATCACCATTTAGTCCCTTCTAACACTGCCGGAGCTGAGGGACCATGTTGGGCAACATGTTGTGATTAATTAATACAAAGAATTGCACATGGAAAAGTCTGGTCTAAGTGCAGAGCAGCAGATGAGGTTAAAACACTTTTGTTCTTTGACTTTGTTCTTGTTTCTCTGTCTTCATTTCCGTGGCATTTTGCCTCCATTGAGACTTATTTAGTATGCATCAGTTCCTGCGAGTTATTATCAAGGCTATTTTTCATTTTCTTATATTACTACTTGATACTTTCGTATTGTGGCAGCAAAATTGAACAGGGTATTACCACTCTCATAGTGTTTTTCTGGAATAGATCTTATCACAGGACCCAGTAAAGTCCCAACAGGTACAAGAAAACTTGGCTAACTTGGCTGTGTTTTCTCTTTACAAATAACTAGTGCCTTGTCGTGTAAGAAATTAGTATTAACTGGATAGTACGTGTTTAACAGCATTTGTGCCTCCACTGCTGTGATGACATACATTGTAAAAGAGGTTATATATATTTATTTTTATATGTATGTATAGTCTGATTTGTATTCCTTCTTACCTTTCCCTTGTACAGGTTGGTGTGCTGGGTGATGAGGAAGAATGGGTGAGTCTTCATGAGGTGGAGAATGAACCTGATGCTCAGATGCTGGAGGTACCAAACCTTACTCCTTATACTCATTACAGGTAAGAACAGCAGGTAATTAGCTGCAACATAAAAAAAAAAATAATGAATAAATAGCAACATGGAACAGCTTCCCTAATCAGAAACAGCTGGCTGGGTTTTATAATCTGAACAAAAAGGAAAAGGTTTGCTGTTTTCATAGTTAATACTTAAAATTGCTAATCTGATGTTGTTAATTGTAATTTGCATACAGTGCAGTTCATAACATTAAAAAGGAAATTCAAGTGCACAGTGAAATGTTTTTAGGAGTAACTGCTGCCCTGTGACTTCCTTCCTCTGAAGGGAACACCAGTGTAACATCAGCCCAGTGACAAATCAATTGTAGTTAAGCTGGTGCAAACCTGTAATTACATATTTACATCAGTTTAAACATCTTTTTATTGATTTAACTTAATTTGGTAACATCAGTTAGATGAAACCTTTGTTTATAAGAATTTACCAAGTTAAGCTTAATAGATATATGCAGTGCTTAAAGTGATTGAAGTGGATCTGCATTATGGGTGCACCCCAGTTAAACAAGATTGATTTTTAAATCAATTCAATCCAAGCCATGCACTGCTGTAGTATAGACAAGACTGGAGAATTTGAGGTACTCAATCCTAATGAAAAATACTTCCATGAACCAGCTTGCTAATGTAAAGGCTGGTTGCAAGGAGATCTAGTGGCAAGTGTTAAATCAGCTTACTAGAAACTTGTCCATTTTGTGCTGGCTGAAGGGCCTATTAACTAACCCATGTGCTGTTGTAAGCTGGTAGTAGGTGCAACCAAGTAGAGCTCACATAATTTACAGCTGATCCAGTGCTGGCTAATTTTCTTCTCTTGGTCACAAACGTAAGAACACACTGAATTTCTCACTAACTCTCCACTGAAGTGTTTTAAACCTCATCTTCCAGAGCTAAACGTTTCACTAAGAGCTCTTTGAAAATTTTTTTGAACTTGACCAGAGATTTCTGGTGCAGAGGTTTAGGAAAATTTATCTTCAGGTTAAGAGGATTTTGCTGTCCTCATAAAGGTGGATCCTTAAGGCTGAAAGCAGTAAAGTGCAGGTTGTACCAGAGTTCAAGGTTCACTGTCCATGAAGAGTAAGGAAGACTTGCACACCCAGCCAGGTGCATGGAGAAATGTCTTTGGGATAGAAAGTAGTGAGGAAGTATATGAGAGATTTGGGGGAATTAGATTTTTCTGTTTTTAAAATTTTCAGTTTAATCTTATTCCTGTATCTCGTTTCTCTCTTGTATTCATTAAATTCTGGAGGGATCCAAATTATGCTGAGATCTTTCACACATCCAGTTCTTCTCTGAGAGGAGAATTGTATTTCAGTTTTTTCATTGTAAAGCAGCTCCTTGAATTTTGCCTGGGTTTTTTCCTCTCATGCAGGCACAGAAAGGAGCTTTTTTTGGGTTTGCTGCACTTTTCAGCAATTTTATACAGATTTTTGAAACCTAGAAAGTTGTTGCCGAATGGATTTTTTTGTCCCTTGGTCAGCTTTAGTCACTACCCACTGAGGAAAGACACCATGAGAGCTGATTATCAGACACATCTTTACAGGCCATCTGCTTTTCTATATTTTGGGCTAATGCTTGAGTATGAAATGAGGACAGTATTTGTTTAATATGTTTCCTTTAGTGCAATTTGCAGGGAGATAAGAGCAGGTAAATAAACACTGCTGTGTTAACTAGCTCATCCTTTTCCCAAGCTCAGTCGTTAGGTCTCAAAATTAAGTGTTTAGTGTGTATGAACAGGTCAAGTTTATGTGCAAGTGCTGGGTACTTCCAATTGCTTATGACTGGTGAGAGTATCTGAAATGTACAGCACATCTTAATTACTTGGTGCTGCCTGTAAAAGAGATTTCCCTAAATCTTTTGTGACCCAATAGGGGATTTCTATTGTGGGAGAGACAGTTTCAAGCAGACAGGGTATTTTTTAAAGATGCATATCCATATTAAATAACTTAATCTTTCTTGTGCAGGAAGGCTGAATATGCAGCACGGGGATAAATCAGCCTCTTTCAATGAGTAATTGAGGGGAAATGTTATCACTAGAATATTCTTTATATTGACAGGGAATGAGACTATCCAAAGTTTGATATTTTAATACCTTTCTGAATGTATTGTATAAGCATCGCAAGAGAAAATCACTTACTGCCAGCATAAGCTCATCAGGCCTGGTATAATTAACATAAATTTCTCACACAAATACCTAAGTTTCTAATAGACCCTAAGCTAATCTCATTTTCATTTTTTAAATACCTGAGAGGATCTGAGAGCAGTTACCATAAAGCTTTCAGCAGCGAATACAAAGGGGACCTGCATGCAACGACCTTTGTGGAACATTTTAGAGAGCCCTAATTTGTATTCTCCCCTCTTTTCCCCCATCCTGGAAATGGGAAATGGTTGGCTGAGGTCTTACAAGCACACGCTGCAATCTCTGCTCCCGCTCCAGGTTCCGGATGAGGCAGGTGAACGTGGTGGGTCCCAGCCCCCTGAGCCAGCCCTCCAGGGTCATCCAGACACTGCAGGCCCCTCCAGATGTGTCCCCTGGGAGCGTCACCGTGCGCACGGCCAGCGAGACCAGCCTGTGGCTGCGATGGGTGGTGAGCAGCACGGGGGGGACAGGGATGGAGGGGAGCCGGGTACCGGGGCTTGGGATGTGGCTGCTTCCCCCCGGGGTCAGGCCAGCACTCCAGAGTGCCTCCTGCTTGCATCCAGCACGAGGACTAACAGCAAAATTATTTCCTTTCTCTGAATGGTCGGAAATCTGAGACTTACCTTAAGTGCCTTATTAATCAAATAAATTGCCTACTGCTGCTATTTCTGCCGCCTCATCAGGGGAATGGGCGCCTGTGTGTGAAACCTCGGCTTTGAGGCTCTCCAGTACCACCCTCTGGGTCAACACGTGGGGCAGGAATGTAACACTTGAGCCAATTTGCAGCTTTCCAGGGCTGGGTTGTTTGCTCTGTACAAAACGGTCCCCAGAAGGTGCATCCTGGCCGTTGGCAGCCGTCCCGTGGTACTGAGAGCTGGGGTCCAACAGCGGCAAAGCTGGCACGTTACACCCCTGTAGGAAGATTGTGTTTATTTGAAAGGGTGGGGAATTGTGTGATAAAATGCAGAAATGAATGATTAATGGGGAAGATGCTGTGGTTGCTGACATCCTTTTACCCCTTTGGCTGTCTCAGTTACCTGCAGAGCTGCCACGCTGGGATTTACTTGGCAATTAACCTGCTCCAGAATGGTTTTTCTTCACCCCTGTTAGGCAGAATTTTCCACCGGGGTTACTGTGGTGTGAAGTTGATGAAGCACAGGTTTCCTTTTGCCCAAATGTTAGCTTTTCCATGCATAAACTCATTATGGCTGGAAGTCAAAATCAGGCTGGAAACAAGAGGGCTTTTCTCCTGATCAGAAAGGAATAATTCCAGTTTCTCAGCAGGATGCTGCACTTAATTCTGAACCTTGCAAGACCAAAATATCAGACTTGAAGGTGTCACCTCACCATCCATAGAAGAGCCATTGCAGTTCCTTTGATAGGACACATGTAACTCTCTGGTGGCTTTTGTGTGTGAATAACATGCCCACATTGTTACACCTCTGGTTCTGTATCCAGACCTACATATCTCCCATCAAAATTAACTCAAGGTTGTTTTAAGAGACAGCCTTGACTTTAAAACATTTTAAAAGAGACTTTAAAGCATTAAGACTGTGCTACCTGGAAGGCTGTTTTTCTTTAGTCAAACCGTGCAGGGTTCAGGAGGAACAGCAACCACGTTTAAAAATGACCTGATAAACCATTTCCATGCTTAATAACATCAATATTTGAAAGTGTTCAATCTCTTTTATTTCAAGACCTGCAGGTGAATTTGTGTCCCCCTGGGAGCTGGGAATTCCTCCCTTCCTACAGAATAAGGGTCACGTTTCTAGCCCTGCTTGCCTGCAGGGTACAGTCTTTTAAGCTGTGAAATGTTAATGTGTATCCAGCTTTCCCAGTGAATCAGAACTGAATCTCAGCCATCCGTGGCATCATGCAGTTAGTTTTACAGCAGAAAAACTCTAAACTTCGTGAAGTAGGCTAATTATTTCATATTTTAATCTCTGAAATTGCTTGGGGAGTTAGAATACTAGAATGAATCTCTGCTGATAAATGAGTAGGCAGAGAGTCAGTAAAAAAATAAAAAAAAAGAAATAAAGTACGATAAATGAATTTGTCACATGCTTCAGCAATTTATCATTCATTTCCATAATTAATCACAAAGCTCTGAAATATATTATATTCGTATCATCTCTGTTGATACACCCACAGCAAATGGCTTGGTTTTGTGAGCATATCTATTTAGCTCAAAATGAAGGTAAAAATTAAAAGAAAATTTCAAGCAGCGCAGAAATGAAATATAAAACAGAAAATCACCCTTTTGATCTTTTTTGCCTTCCTATGGCCTTACATGAGTCCGGGCAACCTTGGAATATAGTTTGGAAAGCCCTGGCAGTGTGTTCCGATAGGAATCCTGTGTTTCTCCTTGTCGTTTCCAGCCCCTCCCTGACACGCAGTACAACGGCAACCCAGAGTCCGTGGGGTACAGGATCAGGTTCTGGCGTGTGGACCTGCAGTCCCCTGTCCTCACGAAGGTCATTAATGACAGACTGGAGAGGGAGTACACGGTTGAAGACCTGGAGGAGTGGACAGAGTACGAGCTGCAGATCCAGGCCTTCAACGCCATCGGGGCAGGGCCGTGGAGCGAAGCCGTGAGGGGCCGCACCCGGGAGTCTGGTGAGTGGAAACACCAAATCTTCTGGGACAGGCACACCTGAGAATTCACTGCTTTTCTGCCCTTTTGTTCAGCTTTTAATTAATTTTTTTTTTTTGGTTTGGTGTGTTGTTGCTGTTGGGTGGGGTTTTTTTGCTTGCTGATCCGTTAAATCAAAAGCGAAATTAAAAAAGCCCAATCTCTAGATGCACTAAAGGTAAAAAGACATATAGAGAGACATTTGGAGGAGTTATTTATTTTTCATTCCTACCCTGCTGTCATGCACAAACCTGCAGGTTATTCATTTAGAGCAAACAAAACAACCTCTCCCCATTCCTGCCCCAGTTTGGCAGCAGTATGGACAACACAAGGAGAAGCTTGTATACAGATTTCTCTGGTTGAGTTGCTTTCTCCTACCTCCTCTTCCTCCCCAGTACCCCATTGCCCCTAATTTTCCCTCTTTCCTCTGAGGCAGATTTTCTCACAACTGTGGTTACCTGAAGTTTCATTTCAAGCATCGAATATTTCTAAAAGGGCACAAGTCACTTCAGAGAGATGATTACACAGACAGAAATGAAATAATTATCTGAGATTTTGATGGCACGTTTTCAAACCTGCCTTCCAAAATTGTGTGTACAAGGCTTTATAGATATAACCTGCTTATAGACTTAGAGCACAAGGACTGTATTGTCAACTTGAATTGTCCAGGCAAGCACAGAGACTTCAAATATCAGAAGGAAACTGTCACTCTCAGGAAACAGTAAATTGCTGTTTGCTCAAGTAGCAACAATAAAGGCAGATGTTGAAAAGCTGCTCTCTAGCAGTTGACTTCCACAAAACCTATTTCCAAACCTGCCCTATGTGCATCAGGGAAATTAAAATTTATATTTCAAGTAAGTAACAAAGTAGGTGACATATATGGTTTAAAAGTTTAATAGTAACAGCTCTTTATGACCCGTATTTATGCAAGATTCAACACCAATATTTTTTCTTGTTATTTTTTCCGATTTTTCTTCCTTAAAAAAGTTTGGGGATTTAATCCTATGCATACCCTACCCTTACATATGCATGTCTGTGCACTGGGTACCACGCAGTGTTACTTGGTGGGAAGCATGAACACTCACGGCAGGGTTTGGTCTGCTGGTTCAGATAACTCCCCTTTGAACTAGCCAGGGAGAAGGCTAAACAAAGTCATCCCCCTCCATTAAAGTGCAGCTTTTTGGGAAATAGTAATTGGAAAGCTGTTGCCAGAGGTATTTTAAACAAGGCTTGTGCTGGAGTTAGAGATAGCACGACCCAGGCAAAACAGTTCTGAAGTGTTCTGTGTCATAATAAAAAGATATCTCATCCTCCACTTTCTCCTTTCCGCTGCTCTTCAAACACTTCTTTTGAAATGTAGTAAATGCTGAGATTAAGTCATTTCATAAAACCTTAGGATTACAGTGCTCCTGCTCAGCATCTAAAGATCAGAGGTTACTCGTGGATGTGGCATTTTCTCTGGCAGTATTAAGAGAAGGTTGACTTGAAACTGATTGTAGGAGGCACACACAGAAAGCGGGATCAAAATAGCACAAAGCTGTGATTTGGGCGTAAGGACTCATTTGGTTTTTTCCAAGTGTTTTCTTTGATACTGACATCTGATTCCCTGCACAGAGCAAGTCAGGGCTCAGACTTTTGGCTGTATCTTCTTAGATTTAGAATATACAAGACATGCTGGCATAGCAGCAGGCTGTATGAAAGCACTTCAGGGAATCTGGAATTAACCTGTATGCACAGTCAAATGGGGTTAAAATGCAAATAAAAGATATTTAAAGCCAGAGAGAAAGGTCAAAGCACTTTTAGGTCTGTCTTCTGAACTATAAGAAAAATTCTGTTTATCGCTTATGTTTTCAAAGCGCTTCAAAAGCAGGTGTCCTAAATATTTCTCTTTCGATTTTTTTAGATACAGAGTCAGGGAAGTTGTTTTTGCTGGTGCTGTGGATTGTAAACATCCCTCACAGCTGGCCAGAGGAGCCTTGGCCAGGATTATGTGGTGGTTCATTGACAGAACTCACAGTTCTATTTGACGTTGTCCAAGGAGTTCAGGAGTTAAAGCCTGGGCACTAAACCAGGTCATGGCACCTGATGACAGTGCAGCCACTGAAGTTCAAAATCTTTATTGAAAATAAAGCTGTACTTGAGCACTTCTGTTTATTTTAGGTTGTGCAATCCCATCACTAATAGCTGAGCACACATGCCAACAATAGTGGAGTGTGTCATTACAGGTACTCACTGCTTTCTGATGCTCTTGAGTATAAAAACAAAGAAACTATGAGAGAATAAATAATCCTGTAGGCTTTGGTAACCCAGGCTTGACAAACAGTTAGAAAACCCTAAAATGAAAATCTGAGGTAGGGTTGCAAGCAGCTGAAGATGAAGGGAGATTAATTAGAATTTTTAAACAGGATGGGTTTTATCAATCCAAAATGGTTTTTATAACAATTAGAAATTAAATAGCTCATTAAATTTTACAGTGTAAAATAACTGCAGAGTAACAAGCTCAGATTCCACTCAATAAATTGACAACAGTTGTAGGAAAATATAGAGAAAGGAAGAAAATACAAAGACATCTGATGTATTAGAACAGCCTTGGCAGGGCTGCTTCCTCTTACAGACCCTCTTGTTCTCAAAAAATTCATCTCCAATGCACCTAACCCAGCGCCTTAATGGATTTTTGTGCTCTTAATATTCAGCTGCATGAATGTGTATACTCTTCTTACAGGATGAGCTGCTCTAGGAGCATGGTCACACATCCATGGCAAGGATCAATCTCCTGGTGCTTTGGAGACTGACCTTCACGAAGCACTTACTGTGCTGGGATAAAGCACCGCCTGCTAATTCAAATGTGGTCCAATGTCACTGTGGGAATTTATCAGTTTATACAAGCTGAGAATTTGGCCTGCAATATCTAATTTTATGGGCAAAATGGATGTGTGCTGTAGCTATGCTGCTTTTGCCACATAGCTTGCTGGAAGTTTGCACTTCTTAGTTGACATCAGAGGTACAATATGCCGCTCTGATTTTTGCTTGCAAAAAAGAGTGAGGGATGTGCAGCTAAAATGAGCTGCAAAAATGGAGAGAACCACTGCATCCCACTCTGTAGCTTTCTTAGAAAGCCAGAATACAGGCTAGCTTATTAAAAGCTTCTTTTGGCCCAGTTAGAGACATAAAACGACATAATTTGCTATACATCAAATGTGGCTATGTCAGATGTAGAAAGAGGATGCATGATCTTAGATGCCAACATGGATAACCTTAAAACTTGAGCTCTTATTGAAGTTGCAGTGCAAAGTGCCAGTAACTCTATAATTTCCTACGTTTGATCTTCAGAAGTGCACCGTGCAGCTGGCAGTTTGCTGGATTAGCTCATCGTTTAGTTTCAGCGTTTCCGGTTCATTTTGTTAAAGCTCTGGGATTTTTTTGGACACTGTTGCTTGGCTTCTGTACTATTCTTGCAGGTTACTAATGAGAACTCAGCTTTGGAGCTTATAACAAAGTCTTCAGTGCAACAGTTAAGGAAACCAGCATTAGAGAAGGGAGCTTGCAGAGGAAAGAGGGATTATGTGCCTCACTCACTAATTAGTCTTAGCAAACTATAATTTCTTTGAATCGTGGCTTCCTGAGAGAGGAGAAGGGTCAGAAAAATGAAGGTTATGTTTCAATTCATTCTTAAAGGGTCGATCAAAGTCTGTTACTTGATAAAAGACTGGCAACAATAAGATCCATAAAATCATTTGCAGGTCCTGAATTCATCCGTCCATATTAGAATAAAATTCTCAGCGCTGATATGAGAACTGAACAGTTAAAGGACACTCAATGAACACGAGGATTTTTGCCATTTAGGCATTGGATTTAGATTCCCTTCCAGGAGAGGGGACATTTAGCTGCTCTGTCACTGGGAATTGAGCAGAGTCTGGGCTAATGAACCTTCAGACAGACCATTCTCTCCTTTGTCAGCTTTTGAGTGCCCCTGCCAGCAGCCTGATCACACACACCTCAAAGTGAGGGTGCACTCAGGGCCAGCCCGGGCACAGCCTCCACCTTCTGTGAATTCAGGACAGCTCATGGCTGCTGATCAAAGAGGAAAAGAAATATTTGTAAAATAAAGTAACTTTTTTCTCTCTCAAAAGGCTTCAAAACAGATAAAATAAAAATAAATGTGGCTGGAAAGGGCTTCTTTCCTCTACACATCCTGGTTCCCTGCGACCCACCTCCACCCTTTCTCTCTCCAGAAGTGATTCATGTGGGAGTAACTCTTTGTGAAGATCTACAGATAAAGTAATGGCAGCTATCCAAAGACATTCATGGCTCCTGGCAATCTATTTTCCTTAAACATAATTATATCCTTGTGGGGGATAAATCTAGCAAAAGATTTAAGAAAGAAAAAAAGTCACTTCAGTGTTGGAGGGGAAAAAAAATTGGATTTTAGTCTGCTGCAGTGTTGTGTGATGGTGCTCTGTTTCTCATGTCCCAGATAATTGGTAACAGGGAAATTGTTTCAGAAATTACTATCTCTGCTGTTAACCTTGAGTGCACAAGGGTGGGAGTGGTACATTTTGGGGAGGGGGGGGGAGAGGTTTCAATTTATATTAATTCTGGTGTCATACTCATTATCTCATTCATGTTGCTAGGAGCTTCAGGAGCTCGCCTGCAAAACAGAAGGTCTGTTCTTTCATTTGGACAGCCAGGAAAGCATTCCTTTTGGCAGAAATTTGGGCTCCTTTTTGTGATAGATTCAGGACCTAATCAAGCCTTACTGTCCCTAAGTGCTTGTGTAACATAACTTGGGGAATGTTCTCTTGAGGTCTGACAGGTGTATCAGGCTTTAGAAAAGATTGTACCCTTCAGATGTTGGAAATGCCACAGGGAAAGAATGCGAAAGGGCAGCATAAAATGTGAACTCTTAAAAATAGCCTCAGATCCTGCTTGCATAACGTGACATGCTATTAGGCTTGCCTACAAAAGCCTGCAGTTGTGTGGTTCTGCAGCTCTCTGAGTTTTAATGGCACAGGGAAAATGCAAGTTTGCTCTTCTCTGGAGTCAGAGAAAATTACAGTGTTCCTGTGCCATCAGTTCTGATGATGTTTCTGGTTTCATAAGAGCCGATTTTGCAACATAAATGAAATAGGCATCTCTCATTGACACCGTATCAATCCCTGAAAATACACCTCGTGTTAATGTATCCGTCTGTAATTGATGTATTGCAAATGTTGAGCGCTCTCACATCATCAAGAGGCTCAGAGGTTAAAGAACTTCTTACTGAACTGGGAGTGCAATCCAGTGGGGGAAATTATTGCTAGCTCCAGACAAGATGCTATAATTTCCTTTCAGATAATATAGGAAGCCAGGATGGCGTAAAACTTCTTGTTAAAACAGATCGTGCTATAAGATAAACTCCCATTCAGAAAGATTTCCAGCTTTTGGCATAGGGAAATAAAATGTGTGGGAAAGAAATACTAGGAGATAGACTTCTGGAGAAGTCCAGCAATTTAAACTTGGTTCTAATTACTGCAAATATATAGAGCTTGAAATTTATTCTTAGCTGTCAATATTTACTGTCTGTCTGTAGACACTGAAAAGTATTACATGTTTAGCTCTTTACAAACATTGTCATTTCTGAGATGAACTGGCAAGAAATTGTGAGACAGGCTGAAATATAAAGATGATGTAGAATGAATACAAGAGGAGAAGGGGTTGTCTAGAATGTATTCCAGTCTTTTTGGGTCTGAATACTCTTCTGTGGGAGTCTGGGAGAATCCTAAGCAGATGGAGCAAAATGATCTGATCTGTCTTACCTGTTTCTGCTCTTTGGTAATGCCATGTTATTCCAGTTCCCTCTGCTCCTCCTGAGAATGTCACTGCTGAAGCCGTGAGTTCCACCCAGATCCTGCTGACGTGGGCTGCAGTACCCGAGTCTGAGCAGAATGGTCTCATCCTGGGGTACAAGGTATGGAGTTTCACATTTATTTGATTTTTAATGCATTAACAGGAAATGATTTTGTTATATTTGTTATATAATATTCACCTGCCGCATATTCATATTATTCCAAAGTCAGCTGGAGAAGATACAGAAAATGTGTTGTCTTTGAAAGGAGTGAGAGGTGAATATAATCTCATTTTACACTGCGTGAAAAGGAGGGATCTAAAATGCGTGTCCCTCTGTCTGGTCCTCGTGCAACAATCTCCTTCCTTCTGTATTTCATCCACGTTTATCCTGCAGATACTTTTCAAAGCAAAAGATTTGGACTCTGAACCCAAGAGCCAGACAGTGAGAGGGAACCACACCCAGTCTGTCCTGCTCTCCGGCCTGCGGAAATTCGTCCTCTACGAGATCCAGGTGCTGGCGTTCACTCGGATTGGGGATGGAGTCCCCAGCTCTCCTGCAGTGATAGAGAGAACCAAGGATGATGGTGAGTTCCAAGGTCACCAAAACAACCATTTTACTTGGTCCAGCCTTTTACCACTGCTTTGTTTTAGTGGTGCAAGTGTAGCTGACAACTACTCTAAGGCTGCTTGGATTTTGGGGGGGATTTTTTTTTTTCCAACTTTGATCCCAAAGGACTTCAGCCATACATAGGATAACTCAGCACTATTCCATTGGTCATGGGCTCCTTCCCTGCAGCTAGTGAAGAGGACAAAAACTTACAAAATTGAACTCTGAAGCTTGGTGTAGATAATTTCTATTGAAAACAACTTTGGAGCCCAATTACAAATTCTTATTGAAGTTCAATCATGCTAAAAAAATAAAAAAGAGTACTGCATCTGAAAGCAATAAACAAATCTGGGTCTGATTGGACTGAAGGAGAAGGATGGCATTTGCAACTTCAGTAATCCATTCTCCTTTTTTTTTTTCCCCAAAAAGAATAAGACATTGACCCTGGAAGATGATCATACCAGCTTCCTTTTGCAGCTGCCTCCAGCGCTTCCCATAAACTCAGAGACTTCCCAGTGCAGTTGGATGCATTGAAGGAACCCAAGCAAGCCCCTTGCCCCAGTGCTCCCTGGGCACACTGGTGTGGTGGGAGCATTCCTGATGATGGAATTCTACAGAAATTTAGTTCAACTCTTAAAATATTTTTGCCTTTGTGGATGCTAAAACTAGTTTTAGTTTTGTTACCTTTTCAGGAATAAATAGATTCATATCAGTGTGGGAGGCTTCTATTTATAAAGTCTCTCTCTTTTGCATCAAAATTTTTCTCAATAGTAAAGGAATAAACATTGGTTTCTACTAGCAACTTCATTAAGGTACTCTGGTTGGGCTGAAAACATTCCCACATCTGGCTTAATGAAACATTTTCTGTGCAGGGAAGAAAGGAGTAGGAGCATGAAGGGACAAGAACAGGGACAGCAGCTCCCTGACATTTTTTTAGCCTTTTTCTTAGCATACTGCCGGTGTGGGGACCTGGCTTCTCTATGAAAGGAAAAATTAGAAAAATTACTGTTAGCAGAACTCTTCAGGGAGAGAAAAAGCACTCCATGAAATGTACATATTGGGCTGTAATGAGAAATACTTAGAACTGTTTGTTTTGGATAACCCCATTATAGCAGTTCCCTCCTTAAGTGCATGTTGGCAAATGAAACAAATTGTTCTTCCATCTCCATACCCCTGACATAAATATGTTGTGTCTCCTCTGGGCTCGACTTAATTAAAAGTATCACCAGGAGTAATGCAGGTGGAATTTGTGCTGAAGGGGAAATTTCGTGGATGCTAATGTATGAATTAGCATCTCCTCACCTCGTGGACCCGGGATGGTCAGCACAGCCTGTGTTAATGTGCATCTCACCTGCCTCGGGTTCTCCTGCTCACACCTAAGTGTTTAAGATGCAAATGTTATGTCAGGAAGCAGTTCAAAGCCAGTGCTGATGACACAGAGAGGGGATATTATTCAATTCCAACAGGTATGAAGTGGATTAAGCTATATAATTCTGTAAAGGCAGCTCAGTGGCTTGCTTTTTATAGTATGTTCTCAGCTACACCAGTGGTGATGCTGCTGTGAGAAAAATCATTCAGGGTTCAGAGCTCCTGGTGCAGTAGAAAAACACTGTAAGGTGCACTGATTCTGTGTCATGTTTGGTATTCCTGCGTGTTGGAGACATTGGCCATGGACAGGACTCCTCAGAATAAATTTATATTATGTACATGCATAGGTGCTCCCAACCATTTACTTACTGGGGATCTACAGCCTGGGCTGTAATTCTGTACAGGGTGAGCAGAACACTTGTAACCCCTCTGACATACAGTCCTTGCTGCCATGATCTCTGTTTTTCTTTCCAGCCCCTGGCCCCCCCGTGAGGCTGGTGTTCCCCGAGGTGAGGCTGACATCCGTGCGGATTGTTTGGCAGCCACCAGAGGAGCCCAATGGAATCATTCTGGGTAAGATGGAGCAGCAAACCCTGGGCTGGGAGGAGAGGGCTGGAGACCAGAGCAAGCTGCAGCCACTGAGTTTTCCTTCCCCTTGCACATAAGCAAATCTGTGGCCTAAAGAAAAGAAAATATGTCGGTGTCAGCTGTGAGACTGTGGTGAGGAGAAAAGTCTGTGTGGCTCCATGGTTTGTGTTTTCTTGAGCCAGAATTTGGCATCATTCAGGCACTGTGTTTGAATGTCATCCCTCTTCCCATCTGCATTTGGGTTGGTAACCTGTCTGGCTGACTGTAGGGTAAACTGCCTGGAGACCTGGATTTTCCCCACCCTTGCCGGGCATGCCTGATGTTTCAGTATCATGTGTGCTTCCTTTTTATTGCTTCCTTTGGATAATACTGTCTGACAGGTCACAAGGAGTTAAATCATATTTGGCTTTTCATCAAGGACATGAGAGGCAGCAAGGCACGACAGGAATCTGTGAAAAACCTTCTCAGCTTCCTGCTCTCGTAACTCTTGGGTTACCTTGACAATATGTTCACCAGCCACTACTTGTACTTAAAACATGAAGACTTTTATAATGTAAGAATCCATTGCTACCTCTAAAATTAATGTAGTTCATAGTTACCCAGGAATTTTGTGTTCTCTGCTGATGTTAAACACATTTTACCGTAGTTCTAGCTGGTGAGTAAAGATTTTTGTCTCAATTCTAAAAACAGAAGCAAAAGCTTTTGGTTTTTTGTCTAGTTCTCAATCTGGCAGACCTTTCTGCTTCTAATTGCACTGCCCATTCAGGTTCATGTGTAGGCTTTTAACAATATTTCCTAAAACCTCCCTTGCTGGGTAGAGGGCACTTGCTTAAAATGCTCCTGCATTGGTGGCATCCCTTAAATACAGGACTGGTCCTGCATTGGGCTTAAATCTTGTGTCCAGAACTCAAAGTGTTTGCTCAGGTGTGTAATTTACCAAAGTGATCCTGGCACCTGAAGATGCAGGAAAGTCATCAAATGGCATCCAAAGGCAGACACTGCAGGATTTTCTGAGCACGAGGAAGAGTCTGTGTGAAGCTTGGCAGCAGTGAGCTGCCAGAGATGGATCCATGCAGGGTTTCTCTGCAGCTCAAGGAAGATTGGCTTCCAGGTTGTCTTGTGGGTTTGATTTGTTGCTTTTTTTTTTAAGGAACTGTGTGGCCTAGAACTTGCTCTCAGCAGAGATTGGGATTTGAATCACAGGATGTGGTTAAGGAGAAAAAAAAAAATCATTTGATAGAAATGATGAGAAAGCACAAAAGACATTTTGCTCCCCCGACTGTGTTCCAACCTCTCACGTTGCTGCACTTTGTCAGCCTCATTTGCTGAAGTTGCAAGCTTGGTGGAGGAGGAACTCTCTTTTATTTTGTCTTTGCAGAATTCTTTGTGCAGTGCATCCCCCCTCAGCTGGTTCTTACTCATTGCCATTATGTTGTGGTAAAATCGTACAAATGCAGGGTTGGAATGAAAGGGGGAGGGTGTCCCTTAAAAAATCTTTGGCATGTTTAGTGTCTGTCATTGTTTCCAATGACTTTCACAGTCCATTCCCAGTAATACATCCCAGTATACTTCATGCAGTCCTTGACTACACTGATGGTGTAACTGAGTAGGTTTATGTCCCACTATTAATTCCTGCCCTTTTCCTCAGTACACTTCCAGGTCAACCAGTCCTTCCTTTACAAGTACATTAAACTTTTTCTCTTTAAGTTAATTCACAGATGCCTTTATTGAATTTCATCTCACTGATTCCAGACCATTTCTTTTCGTTACCAAGATCTCTTTAAATGACACTCTTGTCCTCTAAAGTGCACACAGCCACTCACAGCTTGGTGTCATTTTTGGAGTTTGCAAGCAGACTGGCAATTCCATCAGCCAGACCATTAATGAAAGTATTAGAACCAGACTCATTCATGAGGTCTCATGAGAGCTTACTTAATACATCCTCCCAGGTTGTTAGCAAATCATTGATTACAACATTTTTTTACTTTTTTTTTATCATCTGAAAATGTGCAGTATTTTTCTTAGATTCTATTTCTCTTGTTTGCTTTTGATGGGACTGTGTGCAACCATATTAAAGTCTTACTCAGAGTCAATGTGGATTATATCTGCTCTTCCCACATGGCCAGTTACACTGTCAAAATGGAAAACAGATTATTTGATATTTATTATTTGCTCCAATCAAACAGATATTGGCTGTTCCTTAGCACGTTATTATCCTCATGGATGCTTGTATATTGACTCTTTTTTTTTTTCAGGATCTTTCTGGGTATTGAACTTGAGTTAGATTTGTCCATAATTCCTCTAGTTGGTCTTGCCTCATTTTAAAAGGCAGTGTAGTCTGTTTGCCCTTCTGTAACATTTTGGGATGTCACCTGTCATCTGCAAGATCTTGAAGAGAACAGCTAATTATTCAGAGATGGCTCCCTCTAGTTATAAAAGCACTGCAGGGCAAATTTCATCAGGCCTTTCTGACTTGATTACATTGAGCTTAACTAAATATTTGTTAACCTGCTCTCTATTCTAACCTACATCCCTACTTACATTGTTGTCAGTTTTGATTTGTGTTGAGTCTCTAGTCAGCATCAACTTTCTGTTGTGTTGAAAATGAAGGAATGGAGGTATCAGCCTCACCTGTCTTGTGCTTATCTTTTCTTCCCACTGTTTGACCTGTCCTCCTCCTCTCTCTCGGATTTCTAATGTATTTATAAAATCTTTTTCATTGCTTTTGATGCCCTTAAGGTTATAACTCACCTTGCCCTTTAGCTGTTCTGTTTTTGTCCCTACGTACCTGTGCTGTCTATTTATACACTCCCTTAGACCTCTGTCCTGTTTCAACTTTTGTCCAATTCAGTTTTGATTTTCAGGTCATTAGTGAGCTCTGAATGCAAACATATTGGCCTCTTAACATCTTTTGTCTCTGTTGGAATTGTTGTACCTTTTTTTTTTTTTTTTTTGTCTCTTCAGGTCAGCAAACCTGAATTCCTTCCCAGGGAGGTGTTACCTGCCAGTTCCCCCAGTGCACTTCTTTGAAGTCCATTGTCTTTATTCAGCAGTTCCCACTCTTTCATTTTTTTCCATGGTAGAAATACTGAGGTTCCTGGAGGAAGTAGTTACCTGCCAATGGCAGAGAGAAAAGTGAAAATTGCTCATGCTGGGTACTTCTGTGATCTCTCCTAAGAAGTGAGCTGTGCTTCAAAAATAGGTAACACCTCAACATGTAGCATTCTAAGGAAAGGTTGCAAATTTTGTTTGTTTTTTTTTTCCCGTTCACTTTTTAAATCTCATTACTATAATGAACTTCCAAAACACCTTGTGACCCACCCCGGGTCAAGTGCATCGAAGTAGAGTTATTGGGAAAAATAAGTGAACTCATTTTGTGCAGTGCCCTTCTATTCACTCTTGGGGTTGGAAAGAAAAACCACTTGCGTTGCAAGAGCAACTTATATAGAGAGCCTTTGAACTAATGTTCCTGCTCTGCTTGCCTTGTCCTCTGAGTATACATGCACCTTTGCAGCTAACATTTTTGTAATCTATATAAAAACACGCTCTAGCATTTCGGAGAGAGATTAGCAGGATGAAATACTGGCAGGCGCCAAGAGGGAAAAAACCACTTGTTTGTTTGTTAAATATTTTACTGTGGAAGACTGTTAGATGTTTCCCTTTCTCCTTTTGGGAGTGTTATGGTAACCATCTGAGGCTTCACTCTGTCTTCTTTTCTGCACTCAGTTCAGCCAGCACCCACATAGTTCCTTCAAATACTATGAAAGATAAATGATGCATTAATGTGCATATGTGCACTTCAAGCTATGAGCTTCCCCTGAAAACGGGAGCTTAACCTGCCTCCTCCCGGGCCCTGGTTAGTATTCCTCATGGTACCCTGGTATTTAGCGTTTACCTGAAGCTTTATTGCAAAAAAAAAGTGTAAGAACTCCACCGAGAATTAGAACCGAAGTTGGATGTAATCCATGTTTGCAAATTCCTGTTTTGATCCCAGGCTGCATTTGCACACCCGCTGGCCCTAAAACAGATAAGCAGGGAAGGCAACAAACGGGATTGCTGCTCCGCCCGTAACCTCCCAGGATCGTTTGCCTTTCCCCGAGTCCTGTGACAAATTAATAAGTGTTTGTATCTCTGCAGCACCGTGGCCTGCACGGGCGGGTGCTGTCAGTTCTGAAGGGCTTTTTGTGTGGTGATGAGCTTGAAAGCTTTTTGATATTCATGGTGTGTTGGCATCCTCCCGCCTGTTTGCTCTGGGGAATCCACCGGTTGTGTTACGGTGACCTAACATTTCACAGGCAGTTCAGACTGTTGCCATTTATTGAGTTGAGAAAGTGTAGCTCGTGGAACTGCTTGTAGTTGTGCAAAAAGTACTCAGAAAGATGCTAAAGTAAAAAAAAAAAAAAAAACCTGGGTTCAATGAATAAAGAAATTCCTGAAGAGTTGAACTTTCAGGGGTTTTTTGGGGGTTTTTTTTTGTGATGTTTGGCCTGGTGAATGGCAGCATTCCCAACAGCAGCAGAGATTTGGGATCTGATGCTATGTGGGGAAAAAATTGAGAAAATAATATGAATTCCTCTTATTGGCCATCCAGATACTTCATGTTCTGTAAGATATTCCTTTCCCCAAAAAGTTTCTTCTGATCACCTTTTAAAGATTTGACTTTCATTCATAACATTTGATTTTTTAATTTTTTTTTTTATTCTAAGATATCTGCAACATCTTACTGTCGTAATCTAGTAAGGAAAGGAAGCTGCTTATTCCTCCACTACAGCAATTGCCTTTTACAGCCCTCAAGCATACATTAATTTCTCTTTGAACACTTTCCATTTACCTCTATTGATTTGCCTTGTTTGATTTCACTTAACGTTTCCTTTCTTCTCCCATCCCTTGTTGCTGAATTCATCAACTTAATAATTTTATCTTTTTGATCTTGTGTTAGCCCCAGTTATTATCCAAGCTGTAGTTTAAATGCTGAGTCTTCTGTGCCACTCAGAAAAAGTAAAAATAGTGCTTTTTATGTCAGTCTGTATCCTGGCTGTCCCAAACTGTGTAACAGGGGATGCAGGGGATCAAAATGCAATGCTGGGTGTCTCTTGGGTGGGTTGTAGGTAGCAATAAGAGCGAGATGAATTCAGGTGTAGAAGTTGGTTATCTACCTTAAAATCAGACCCATGGAAGTGTTGATTTCCTTAGGAAATCTGTAAAGGTGACAGCTCTGATTGTGTAAACTCTGCCTGAGATATCCAGGAAAATAGATATTTACCCAGACTGTCAGACAACACGGCAGAGGTAGGAGAGGGCAGTGAGAGCTGATGCTGTTTTTCACAGGGATGCATGTCAGAGAGACAGGCTGTGACAAGTGATTTCCTCTTTCTCATGGCTAAATTAGTTTTTACACTAGCCATGGACCCACTCTTGTGTAAGATATTATAATGGCCTAGATATGTGTTCCTTTGCCTAATCTGAGTGTGTTTGTAATTGGCTTTCCAGCACGAGTACCACCATTTAGCAGTAAATAGTTATCTTTTTATTCCCTCCTTACATTTTAACTACATGTTATATTTTACAAAGGTTTAGAAAAGAGAGGAAATTGCTTGACAAGGATATGTCCCAGATATCATACTTATCTTTTAATGACTAGATAAATCAACTTTTCTATTCTTTTAATATTCTCTGTTTCCCTCCAGGTCTTATTCTTTACGTCTTATGTCCCTTTATCAAGCTTCTTTAGCCATCTTAGTTGCTTCTCCCTTCATCTTTCCTGCTGCTGTAAAAATTTCCCCAGTGCTTTTCTTTGACTGTTTTTCCTCCTTGTTAAGATTCTGCACTGGGGTTTTCACTCCCACATTCTTCACATCAGTATAAACAAAAAAGATCATATGTATCAGTTCCTTCTCCCCATTGCTCTCTGTCTTTCTGTAGACTTTAAAAAAGATCAAAATATTACAGTATTAAAGGCACAGAAATACTTCAGTGGAATATATTGGACCAGTAATGGAAGAGCTAGTCCCATGGATAAAAGGAGGTAATTTGGAGGTGGAAAAATGAAATGCTGAAAGGGTAAGACCCTCAGACTTTGCTGGGATCTAAGCATGCTCAGGAGATCTGAAAAGTCAGGCCACTTTTTTTTTTTTATTACATTAGAATAGACTATTTCAGTTGGAAGGGACCTACAAAGATCATTAAGTCCAGCTGTCTAACCAGTGCAGGGCTGACCAAATTAAAACATTATTAAGGTGTTGGTGCAATCAAATTGTTCCATGTGAAGCAGCAGTGGCTGTTGCCCCACATCCCCGAGCACCTGCCAGAGAAGAAAGGACAAGGATGCAGTGGTGCATTGTCAGTGGCACTGTGAGAGTCAGCACAACAAAATTAATACCATCTGTATCCCAATTAAATTCCACTGTTTATGATAGAGTGCACCACACGCCAGTGGCATTCATTCCAGGGGCTGCAGGAACTCTGGGCACGTGGCAATTGTTGCATATTCACAGTGGGAAATAAATGTCACTGAATTTTGTCTAATAGCCATAGGTAAGATAAAGCCCTCAGATTTCATGCACTGGCCTTCCTGAATGAAGCATGCCGGGTTTGGCTCTCCTTGGTCTTGTTACAGCCAAAATGTGGTGGGAGTTCAAACTCTAGCTGGGATATTAATTCCGTGAGAAAGGGATGGCTCAGGTGCTGCGGATCCCTTTTGTCATTCGCAAGACGAGCAGAGGGTTGGCAGAACTCTGTCATGACTGTTTTGTTTTCAGCTGGTTTGATTTGGATTTGTTGGCTGCCCTCTGCCCTGTGTAACTCCATGAAGCGTTTAATCATACATTCAGCTCGGGCAATAAAACCCCGCATCGGTTCTGGTATTAATTGATTTTGGAAGTCAGCTGCTGGACTGGAAGTTACCACCGAGCTCCAGAAGTGAGAGCCTGATTCAATTGCTGGGTTTACAGAACGGATTTGAACATTTGGCAGACCCTCTTTGGGGGATGGTTGTTGCTTAGTGGTGCGTGAGAACCCTGGAAGCCCTCCTTGCACAGTCGAGTCATTAATAACACGGGCTAAACTATGAGCTCCTGATTGTCAGACAGTGTGGAACGGGGGTTATCACTCACAGGCATCATCAGCAGAATTGACTATTGAGAGCTGCATGGATGAAGCAGGACCACACTGCTTGCAGGCTGCTCCTTGGACTGTGGGCAAGGGCAGTGGTGTTGAATGACAGAAGAAGGGTGGTTTTATTGGCAGTTCTGGCCCCAGTGCACAGTTGCAGGGGCATGGGAGAGCTGGGGAAAAAGCAAATGCAGAAAGGAGGAACAAGCCTTGACTGGTTGATAAGACTGCACAGTTTGGGCAATCCAGCTGCTGGAGCTGCAGCTGGAGAACCTTGAGTTTAAGCCAGTGCTGAAACTGTGAGAGGGCAGAACAACCCCTGAGTGTGGGTGCACACACATGCACACGTGTGCTGGGGTGGAAAGATGAAACTGGAGTGTTGCCTTGAACCGCCTCAACCAGGTGACATATTGCACCAGCTCTCTTTGTTCCTTTGACTGCCAAAAAGGTACCAGTATGCTCAGGAAAGATTAAACTGGTTTTGCATCTTGTTGGTATAAAGGATGGAATGTGAACTGGGTTTTGTGGCAGTTACATTCAGTAGGCCCTTGTGAGCACCGCTGTGTGTGATTTCCCTTGTAGCGTATGGCATCTGCTGTAGAGCAGAGTTTTACAACAGCAAAGGAAGTAAATTACTTTCTTCTGATCTCAGATAAGTAATTATGATAAACTAATAGTTCTGGTGCTCTTTTGTCCCTGCTAGTAAAAGCAGCTCACCCTTTCCCCCTCTCTGGCTGGTGCTGTGCTTGCAGGGTACCAGGTCGCCTATCGCCTGGCCAGCAGCAGCCCCAACAAGTTCACCACGGTGGAGGTCGGCTCGACAGTGCGGCAGTTCACGGCCACAGACCTCACCCCGGAGTCAGCCTACATCTTCAGGACATCTGCCAAGACCAGGCAGGGCTGGGGGGAGCCCCTGGAAGCCACGGTGATCACCACCGAAAAACGAGGTAATGCTTCCAGCTGCGGGTTGAGAGCCTTCCCGTGCCTGCCTTGGAGCCTGAGCTGTGCTTAGGGGAGTTTTAATAACAGCCCACAGCCTGTACACCTCCTCCTTCTCACCCCATAAACCTGCCCCAAACCATAGCAACATCATGATTTGAGAAAGCAAGACAGACTTTTATGAGGCACAGTTCTTCTAACCTGCCGGGCTGTTGGAATTGATTTTTCCATCAGCTGCTATATTGGCCATATGCAGCCTCCTTTTGCAGTCAGATGGCTTTTTTTCAGCTCTCTCGTTTTCTAGAAAGATTGCAGTCTTAAGAAAGTAAGTGATGGATGAATTATATTGATTAAGGAACACAAAATGAGAGGCAGTGGTGTTGCAGAATTTCTCCACAGCTCCTCCATTGTACCTCAGCCCTGACCTAATGTGTCTGTAATTACTCTGGCCTTTCACTGCCACACGCTCGAGCAGAGCGTTTGCATCTGGATTGCCCAGACCTTTTCTGTTTCTTCCATCAACCATAAAATGGTTGTTTGCAATCTGCATCTCTGGTCAAATTCTGTTCTGAAGGGAATCTGCCTGAAGTCAGCATTTATACATGTCTATAAATGAAACCAGATGCTCAGATACCAAACGTATCAAAATGTGAAAGACGTGTAAGGTATTACAGGATCTGCTCTGCATCATTGCTTGTTTTTAATGCTTTGGCTCAAGTAACTGCTCCTTTTTCCAGTTTTAGAACAGAGCTGCCAGATAGAAAAATTGCATTTTCTACTTGTTCATGAAGGTTTGTTTCTGGGGTTTTTTTTTAATTCAGAGCTAAAAGAGGATATTTTGGTGAATATGTTGGTGGAGAACAGGAGGGTGGGTTTTCCTCTGGTCTTGCACCATATGCAAAGGATGTATCTGGTCCCTTGAGCTGACAAAGTCAAAAGCAGCCAGGGTAACTCTACCAGCATCACTGGGTTTTGCGTGACGTGCTGCTCTGACCCATTGTGCTGTCTGGATATTGATCTTTAAGAAAACTACTCACTCAAAAGTCAAAACCATGCAGCTTGTGTGATTTATAAAAATCACTGTTCAGAGAGAAGCACACTTCAGCAGGTCACCAGGGCAGACCTCCTCAGATGTCTTTCAACTATTGTTAGAACTTTTACATGTGCTTCTGGGCCTGGTCTTAGTTCTTGCCCCATTCTTGCACTATGATACAACCAGTTACATTTACTTTTAGTTCTTAAAGTGTGCCTACTAAGTAATCTTTTGTTTAAAGTCCTTTCTACACCTTGCAAATCATTTAGGGCAAGAGTAAGGATTCCCCATTTTATTTGTCCACAATGTCTTCCCTGTTGTTTTCCTCTAACACTTCTAAGAAGAGAGGGCGTTGGTCTGATGCTCAACCACCAGCAGCAAGAACCTGTGAGGTGCATTTCAACTACTTCTGGCCTGTGTGGTTGGAGTTAAAATTCCCACTGGCATAGCCCTCTAGGTCATGTGCAGCCTTCTCCGTGCATAACAGTGCAGTCCTCAGAGAGAGAACCTCTGGAGCTGTATTTGAAACCTGAGAATGCCTCTGCTAAAGATACTGTCCGTCAAAGAGATTTATCTGCTCAAGGTTTCTTCCACCCCTGTCTGATTGCTGTCAAAGGGGAAGTTCAAAGTCCAGCATGTGGAAGCTTCAAAAAAACCCACCGTGCCAAATAAAGTGGAGTCTCAAAGCTCAGAGCCTCTCCTTCTCAATAAAATGTGCTCAAATTTCCCAGACCTTGCACGAGGATACACAATAGCTCAAGTCAGAACTCCCGGCTCTGCTGTGGGAACAATGATCCCTTCTTGCTATCAGTGCTTTAGGGTTATCTTGAGAAGGCAAGTCATAGTATAGTATGAACCCTTTCTCTTTTTGATGGACAGCTCTGCTGTCTCTACACATGCTATGGAACCAAGAGTTAACTGAAGCGATCCTGTGTATAAAGTGTAGGGAGAAGAATGTGTATTCTCACGTCAGCAAGAACAATATAAGGGGGTGATAAAGAAATTTATCCAGTGCAGCTATTCTGCTAACAAGAAATTAACCCAAAACTTGTATATATAACAGTAAATATCCTAGAGTAAAAAAGATATTTTATTTCCATTAATAACAATGCATTTGATATCCTTGTAGTCCTCAATACTGAGGTAGACAGACACAAAAATTCCCTTGAAAATTAGCAAAATTGTTCACTTGTGTCCTTGGATAAGGAAAATACATTATTTTACATTTTACAATGATACCTGTAATTTATAGATCCCAAATTATATTGTGGCTGTGTTCTCGAGAGGTTCTGCTGCAGTGCTTTGGATCTACACAGTGGTACTTCAGAATAATCAACACCAGTGTTCAGGGCAGAACTGAGTCAGAAAATGTAAATGTAGCAAGAAATTAAAAGTAGTCCATAGAGTCATGTGGACTGGTACAGTCAAGCCTTACATTCCTGCACAAACAGCTCACCTTAGCATTTGCTTGTGGCTAAACTCCCATAAATAAACTCTTTATACTAATGGTTTTGTACAAACAGTCAGGGAATATATCTTGCAACACAGAAGATTTTAAGATCTCCCATTAGCAGCGGAAGGAAACCGAGCCGTGGGAGACTGACTGCAAGATCTGACCTGCCCACAACAGCAAAGCACATCAGCAGAGTTTATAAAATCCCTGCATGACACTCACTTCCTTGGATGGAATAACCTGCATACCTGTCTCAGCCTGTCAGTGTAAGGCACTGACCTTTTGCGTTGTACTGCGGCTCGCAGGCTGCTGGCACCCAGGGCTTCCTCCAGCTAATAGCTTACAAGTCTTTGGGCACTGATGTCAGCAAGAGCAGGCTGCAGAGAAATGCCAGAACACACAGGAAATGGTTTTAGGCAGTGGCAGGGAAATGAAGTGCTTGCCATATGGAGCTGTGAGGAACCAGGCAGGCAGAGGTGTGTTTATGGAAACAAGTGCTGATGAAGTTGAATTGAATTGCTTCTCAAAAGCAAGTCACTGCGGTGTCTCCAATCAATTTTTGCTTTATTACATGCCACACATTTTAATCAGAATCAATAATCTTCATGATAAACAATTAAACAATTATTCCTCACTCTATAGAGTTTCTCTATTGAAATCGATGGAGTGCTGAGATGCGGTGACAGGAAAGGAGATCTGTAATGAAACAGTTGGGGACTGGCATGCTTACACCTGCATTACCATTCCCTGCTCATCTCAGAGGTGTGCTGGTAATTACTCTGGAGGGATCTCCCTCAGCACAGGCTGATTTGACTTTGCAGGTTCAAGGTTAGTGGGTACAAAGGGAAGAGCTGGGAAGCTCTGGAAGTGACCTGCAGCAGATGCTCCAGCCCCAGCTCCCCACTAGCTCCAGGCCTGGGTTTGGAAGCAGCAGCACCAGGAGCTGCTGATGGTTCCCAGATCCTTGCCAGAGAGGGCTGGTGCAGGAATTCAGTATCAGCTGTGTGTGCTTGGACTCTGCAACACAACAGCCTGTTCCAGCTCATCCCTTTCTCTCCTTTGTGCCTCGACTGGGCAGCAGCTGGGGGAAAAGGATGCTACATAGCACAGAGAGAACAAAGTCCCTGGTACCAAGGAGTAAGAATAGGTTAAAAAGTGAGCTAATTTATAGGCAAATTCTTTCAAAAGAGCAACTGCAGACAGAAGCACAGGTGAGTTTCAGTAAAGATTGCCTTGCTTTGCTTGACTACCAGTCCTAGTGATTCTTCCTTAACCTTCCAGGCCAAGACCCCTCTCAAGTTTGAGGTTCACTGCTAGGAAGGTGTATATTCAATGCTGACCTTTGATGCAGGGAGATAAGAGTCAGTTTTAGTGCTCCTCTTTGCAGGAGAAGGTTAAGGAATGGGATGGTTGTATACTTCATCCAAAAGTTCAATCTCCTGTGGCATTACCACTATGAAAATCTGATCAGGCTGTCACATTTTACGTTGTCTGGAATTTCCTCTCAAAGCAGCACCGAATTATGGTTTAATTGCAGAACGACCAGCACCTCCCAGGCAGGTGATGACCCCCCAGAGCGACGTGTCCTCACGGAGTCTGCTGCTGAAGTGGGTCCCTGGAAGTGATGGATCTTCACCAATCCGATATTTTACAGTCCAAGTGCGAGAACTGCCCAGTGGAGACTGGCAAACCTACTCCTCTTCCATCAGCCACGAGGCGACGTCCTGCATTATCGAAAGGTACCATCTGATCCCAGGCTACCATAGAAATTCCCACACTTCCCCAAGAGCTGGGAAACCAAAACAAGCATCGCTCAGCTTCACAGTCTTCTTGGGAGGGAGAGAGGTTAAGTGAGGTCACTGCTCCCATTTTAGAGGTGGTGTTATGAACAGCAGTTGAGAGATTTGCTGAAGGTCACGCAATAAATCTAATTAAAGTTGGACTGCAGTGCATCTTTTTGAAGCCCTTCCTGGAAGCTCAGCACCGCAGATAACACCACTCAGGCTAAATCATATGTAGCTACACAGTGCTCTGTAAAATACAACTAGTTAAAAATCCTTTCAGTACTGACTGATGTTAAAATCCACTCTGAATGCTGCATTGCAATTATCTCTATATAAGCTTTTCCAGATGAAATGAGAGCCATTTTTATCTGTATTTTCCATACTGAAGTTTATAGATAGCATCGGAATGTTTAAACTTTGTTATTCAGGCTTCATTATATCTTCAGCAATGCTAGTGTAATTAAAGTCCTTGTAACATTGGCAAAAGTAATTGAATGTCTATGAGCAGGTACTTGTTTTGCTGTCCATTTCCTCTGTTGACGAGCTGGTACAAATCTGATTATTTCTAAAAAGCCATGAGCTTTAGGAGAATCAAGTATTCAAATCATTCAGATACAGATTTTTCAGGCCAGTTATAAAAGCAGCAGTGGCTATGGTATATGACAGCTCACTGGTCCTGTGCCAGCACATTTCCAGTCAAAACCTGTAAAAACAAGGCAGCCATCTATGTCATTTAGACTTGGCATTGATGTGACTGAAAACAAAAGATTGGAAACAATGATTCACGTTATTCAAGTTGCTATAGGTAAGTAATGGTGTCCTAATAGGGTGGCACTGCTTAAAGAGATTTCTTCTGCTCCTTGCTAAAAGCATTTTCCTGTGGAAGTCCGGAAGAGTCGTAGATGTGAGAGTGCTGCCCATCAGGATGCATTATCCTTGATGTTTAATCATTCCTTACAAGTAACTTTACTTGGGTTTGCAGTCAGTGTTACATCTGCCAGCGGATGGCTAGACACTACCAATTAATTAGCTAAATCCCCTGTAAGTTACAGCTCTGCATTTCAAGCCTCTGCCTGTGACTCCAAAGGCAGCCTCCCCCTCACCTTCCCCTGCCAAGCCAAGACAGAAGCATCTCTGTGAAGGTTGTGTCAGCTGGAAATCACTCTTTGCATATCTTAAAGCCCCACATAGATAAAAGAGCTGCAGGGAACCTGTTGTTGCTGTCTTTATTAAATAATCCAGGTAATAGCATTAATTTGAAATTCAGTAGGAACAAAATGCACTGATCAAGTGGTGTGGTGTAAGGGATTAGTCAGGAGGCTGATGCTCTGAATTATAGTGCCTGCTGTGCACTGGCCAACCCTGGGCATGTTACCTGCCTCCACCTGTAATCCCCCTCCATGCTCTGAGGATCAGTTTTGAGGTTATCTCAGCAAAGCACCTTGAAAGCCAGGTTTTGCACAGCCATGCAGAACTTGAATAACAGCACAGCTTGTCCTTCCCAACAAGCCCCATCCATCGGCTGCTCCATGAGTTGCAGCTTCACGTCTGTTTTCTGGCGCCCAGTTCTGTGGTGAATCCAGGAGTGTTTTTGGGAACTGAGGCCAGTGGACATCTGAGAAGATGCTGATGGCAGCAGGGGTGCAAACACCCCCACGTCTCGAGCAAGCTGGGGGAGGCTGCAGAGAAAAGGCGATGGGGAGAAGAGACAAACTGCTGAATGACTTTGGTTGGCAATGGGCAGGTTCTCTGTAGAGGCAAGTTGTGGTGATGTGGGGAGGTTTCATCCCTCAGCCTTATTTTTTACGTTCCACAGCTTGAACCCGTTCACCTCTTACAAGCTGCGAGTGAAGGCAACAAACGACATCGGGGACAGCGACTTCAGCGCGGAGACAGAGGCGGTCACGACCCTGCAGGATGGTAAGGCAGCAGGAGCTCCACGGGGTGGGCACTTCCCAGGGCTCCTGGGTCTGCTGGACCCACTGCAATGTGATTTCCACTGGGACTGTGCAGTGAAAATCAACAGCCAATGCAGGTTTGTTCATAGGAAGTTGATACAGGTAGCATGAGATATGGCTGAATTAACAGGCAGCCTCAAGTGTCCTGCTGTGCCCTCTGACAATGAATCATACTTTCAGGAGTCTCAAAATGGAATTAAACTTCGTTTGATTGGCTTCCAAACTCTGCACTAACCATTATCTTTGCAGAAATTGAATAATTTACAAGAGATCATTAAAAATAAATGTAGAACCTTGCATACATTTGAAGAAGTTTCTTCAGTTGTTTTCCCTCACAATCCACATCAGTCTGCAATATGGCAAAATTGCTGAGGTATAAGTAAGAAAGAGTATGAAGCTCCTGGAAACATGAGCATTTAATCCTGCAGATCAGGACTAATAAACTGTGAATGACATTGACAAGGCTTTTATTTTTAGCCTTAGAGATCAGCTTCTAATTCCTTGATTGTATAAAGTCGATGCCTGAATGCAGAAGTAGCTCTGATGTCTTAAATGGAAAAAGGAACTCTGCAAAGTATGAAAAAGCATCAGTATGTACTGTTACCCTGGAAAATTGAGTAATACTGGGATACATACATATATAAATATATATATGGGTGTTGTGAGGTGGGGGTCAATCTCTTCTCCCAAGTAACAAGTGACAGGACATGAGGAAATGGCCTCAGGTTGCACCAGGGGAGGCTTAGATTGGATATTAGGGAAAAGTCTTCACTGAAGGGGTTGTCAAGCACTGGAATTGGCTGCCCGGGGCAGTGGTGGAGTCACCATCCCTGGAAGGATTTAAAAGACGTGTAGATGTGGCACCTGGGGACATGGTTCAGTGGTGAACTTGGAAGTGCTGACTTAATGGTTGGACTCAATCATCTTAGAGGTCTTTTCCAACCTGAACGATTTTATGGTTCTGTATACATGGTGCTAGAAATTCTTCAGGATTTCTTACAGAGCAAGGAATGAGGACACCAAAATATAAAAGCAGGAAACCATTTTGCAAAGGAGCGTTTAAAGACTGTGATCTTGAAGTCAGAAAAAGAGAGGACACAGCTCAGGAGTATCCGAAGCTAAACAAGAACCCATGTAACACCTGAGCAATGTGCCAAGCAGCCCTTTAATGACATCCTGACTCTCCACCTTCCTGCGCAGCCGCTGCGGGATCGGTGCGGGCTGTGACTGCGCTAACGAGGCAGCACTGACTCACTGTTTCAGAATTTAAAGTTTTATTTTAAATTCTCTTTGAATTTAGCTACAGTGAATCCAGAGTTGTGCTTGGCCCCCTCACAATGCGACGGGGAAACGCTGTGGAAGCTTCTCACCTCCTCAACAAACTCAACATTTATTCTGCTGAGCAGACCCGGTGCTGCCACCAGAGCGTTGTGCTGTGGAGGGCTGTCAGCTCCTGATAAGCCTTTGCCTCCTGTGTTTGAGCTGCTGTGGTGCTTGTGTGTGCTACAGGCCATGGGCACAGGAAGGGGTTAACCTGTGGTAAATCAAGCTGCCCTAACTAGAATAATATGTGACTATTTGACACAGACTCCTAAATAGGAGATGGGCTTGCCCCAACTGTGGCATAAATCTCATGAAGAATCTGGGAGCAGTTTGCTCACACTTTGGAGCCCTCACACAGCTGGTTTAACTTCCTTTCAAATGAGCACCCAGTGGTTTGTGAGCACTGGCTGCTGCAGTTTCCTTCAGGTTTATGCCCTCAGCTTTTCTTGTTCCTGCTCAAGCTGCCAAGGCCACAGGTAGAGCAAGGGATGTAGGAGAAGTGCCTGGCTTCTGCCCGGGTTCCAATATCCATATCCACCACACTGCTTTTGAGACCCACCACGTAGCAGTTGGGATGGAAGATTTTCTTCAGCACTGAAGAAGGAGAATCTGAGAAATAAAAGCTGCCTCTTTTCCACCCTTTTGCCATAACTCTTTTTGTTTCATTTCTCTCTCGTTTAGTTCCAGATGAACCACCCAGTTCTGTGTTAGTGACTCCCCACACGACTTCCTCTGTCCTTGTGCAGTGGCAGGTAGGTAAAATGAAAAAATGTGATATTTCTGGAACAGATTTTTGGTTGTTTTGACTTGTTGACCTTAATGGTACATTGCCAGGGACATTTTCCTGAGCTGGAACTACTGTAGTAAAGTTTAAGGACTGCAGCTACTTCCTTATTTTCCTGACCTAGCATAGATTTTAGTGATGGACGGAAATTTCTGACAGTTGCTTTTACTTTTTGCCCCATGAGAAGTTTGGGAGGTAAAGGAGTTTCTGTAGCCATGTCCAAGGTCATTACTTGTCAGATTCTCCTGTCCTTTTGTTGATATTGATAGATGTGCATCTTTACATGGAAAACATTCCATGGAGTGCAGTGGCGGTAAAATCAGGTAATCAAAAGGCTCCTTTTGGTTCACATCATGTCTGGCCTCCTCCTGCTGCTGAAATGATCAGAAGCCTGAGATCAGTGCCTGAGATCCCATTCATACCTCTGAGGAACTCCAGGTGCCCTTTTGGCTCTGAGAGAGAGAAAAATCGAGACTTCTTCAGAGAACAGAAAGAAAGAAAGTTTGAGCTCTCCATGATCCCTCTGAGCTGGACAGGGAACTATTCATGCCAAGTCTGCATTTTATATTGGCATTTCCTCTGCCTCCCTTTATCTCTCAATCCTGGCCTCCTGGGCGATGCAGGAACATTTTGTGACCCAGTGCCTGAGGCTTCTTTTTGCAGAGTGAGCATTAATAGAGGGAACCCAGTGGGGTACTGCACGTTATCCATAACCTATCCTGGAAAGCCTCTGCCCACCCTGCTCCCAAGACAATGTCCCCCACACATAATAAGGATAACTTTGGACAGATTGCATTATAGTGAAAAATGTACATATGCGTTTACAGTACAGATGGGACTCCTTTCATTTTTGGAAGAAAAATATGTGTACGAGGGTCTGTTTATTGCTGTGCAGCAGCACTTTAAAAATATGCCTGGCTGTGCTCCTGGGTGACTGGCCCGAATTCACCAGCATAATCCTGAGCAACAACATTGCTTACAGCATGTTGAGCAAATAGGAGACATGTTGAGCAGTTTTACCAAAGGAATTATGGAGGGATGTGAATCTGCCTCCCCACCTACAACTACAGCCCACAGCGAAGGAAAGAAAGGTATAGAAAGAGAAGACAAAGAGGATGTGAGGCAGGATGGGCCAGGGAAATAAACATTCCCCCAATTGACTGATTATTGGTGTGTGGTTAATGTGAAATAGGTGGTTGTTTAGGTAATTGGATGCTTTTTATTTCATGAAAATGAAATGGGGTTGTTGTGCCAGAGCCATCTCAAGGGAGTTGTGGGCGATTACATGTCATTACTACATGAATATTAATAGGTCCTGGTAATTCAACCATACTATATTTTTCAAATAAACAAAAGTCTTCAAGTCCCACAATAGCCACCAATTAAGAGGAAGTTTCACAGCAGTGTCAAGGAAATAATGTAAACTGCAAACAGCAGTCAAGCTTAATGGGAGAGTGGGTTTCTAAGCAAAGCTAAATTTTTAACTTTGAGCTCTGTTAATAATTCACAAAACAAACTCTAGATGCACTATCTGGGCTTTCAGCTGCTTGGTCCAATCAGTCCGTTATTTTTAAATTTAAAGGAGGAAGAAAATAAGTAATTTCCATGGAGGTCTGTTGTATCAATAATGCAAGGTTAATTCAAATGTTCTGGAGGATGTTACACTTAACATCAGGATCATGTACTGTTCTGCTTCTACCTTAGAGAGAACAATTATTCAAAGTTACATTTTGGTCTTTTTTTTTTATTTATTTTTAAACAGCACAAAAATATTTCTCTTACTGCTGTGCAACATTATGGGCTGCCACTCATAATCATTTTACCTATTTCAGCAGATCCCTCAGGCCTTTCTACAAAATCCTAAATAATCCATTACATCAAAAGCAGAGTTTTGTCCATGGAAGACAGATAGGAAGGGGAAGACCTGACCTTTTACCAGAGTACCCTTTTCAGGAAAGAATCTTCATTTCCATGCAAGGAGAAAGACAGTTTGCAAACCATTTATTTTCTGAGCTTTCCTGTCTCAAATTTCAAGGAAGGAAAAAATGGAGAATCACATGATAGCATAGAAAGGCATTGTTTGCTATGAACAAATCAGTGTCAGACTGTAATGAGAATTTAAGCTTTACCTGTTAAGCAGTTACATGGCAGGGCAGGCAATAGCAGTCTCTTTCTCAGCTTCAGCAAGGTTTTCCTTCTAAGGTTCTGTAGGATATTCCATCTCAACATTTTTTCTTTAATTTAAAAAAGATTATTAGCAGTTAAAATGGGAGAAGTCAGAGTGGGGCAAGGCCACTGCTGTGCTGTGGAGCCCTTCTCTGTAAGGGCACCATCAGGGCTAAAGCAACTTCAGTATAATATAGAAAAAAAAAGAGAGGAGTCAAAAGATTGGAAAAGAGAAAAGATCAGGAGAGAGATACTAGTAATTTCCATTAAACCACACCTCATCTCCTTGCACAGGAGAGCATTTCAGCTGGTCTGTGAGCCATAACATCACTGGGCAGCTCTGGAGAAGGCACTTTGGTCTATTTGCTTAGTCCCTTGGACAAGGGGCTCAGTCTGAGACTGGGAAAGGCTGTTGTACAAGAGCTTGATTTATTTGCCTTGTAAAATGTAGTCGTAGAGGGAATATGATTGCCCTTTCTAAAATACATCACAGGAGTAAACACCCCACAGGGAGAAGAACAATTTAACCCAAAAGGCAATGTTAGCACAGGAACAAATGGTTAGAAACTAGCTATGAATTATTTAGATTAGAAATTAAATGAGGGTTTCTAACCACCCAAGTAGTGAGGCTTGAAACAGCTTTCCAACAGGAATACTGGAAAGCAGAAAAATCAGCTTGTTTTCAGGTGGAGGTTGTTCTCTTGGTGAAAGGGACTTTAGGCAGGTGGGTCTCTGCAGTGGTGAGGTCCCAGTCCTGATGATTCCTGAGTTCCCTCACAATCCTGCGTTCACAGAATCATCCTGTAATGCAGATGCTAAATAGTAGTGAAAGGTGTTCAGAGCTTCTCCAAAGCCTGGAGAACAATAACAAGCATGAAACAATGCTGAATAAAAGATCTCCAACCATGCAGAGGAAGAACAATGAAGTCTTGGGATGATTTGAGTTGCTTTCAGCAGGCTCTGTGCAGGACAACTGCAAAAGAAGGTGGCTTCTTGCAGGAGCAGCTTCTGCTCCTTTTCCTGGTGGCTGTGTCTGTTCCTTATACTCTGATTCACATAATTTTCTTTTTTCATTTCCATGAACTGCAGTCTCTGTACTTAAGTCCTTCAGCCCTCACCCAAAGCAAAGTCCTTTGCTCCGAGACAGGACAGTTGTCTCTCCCCTCTTGCCATTGTAATGGAGTAATGGAAAATTCTTGTCATCTCTGGAGGCAGAAAGCCAAGTTATTACCAAGGATCTTCCTCCTTTCCTGTAAAAATGTCCTTACTTTCTTCATTAAAATTACATGTGGTATTACCTTCTATTGTCACAGCATTTCATACCAGCGGTTAATTTTTACACAATGGACAGAAGGCTTTTCCTTAGTAAAGTTCTCAAGGCTGGCAGGGATCTTTCTGGATTAGAGGCAAGATCATCATTAAAATCCTTTTCATTTATAGTTTCAGCCCCTTAAATTTCAGTACAAGAATCTTTAGAAGATAAATGACTCAGGGCATCTTTTCTTCTCTGCAGTTCTTAGCCTGTATTAGGCTCATGAAAGTAATTTTTTTCCCAAACATGAAGAATCCCTTTGCTTGTCTCTATTTAAGCAAGCCACTCAGACAAAAATCTCCTTTTCAGTGTACTGACTGTGTATCTGTATCTGAAGGAGGATGTGAGGGGCTGCTGAAGAAGCCTTGCTGAGGTATTATGTCTTTGAGCATCTCCCAGCATGTTGCTGAAGAAAAAAATCTTGTCTGAGCCAGCCCGTGGCCAAATTGCTCAGAGCTGCTATGGAGGAGACCTGGGTTTTTCTGTGGGAGTGGACGTGTGGAACACACCAGAGCCCATCACACTGTGACTGCTCTCTAAATGCCTTTACGAGGTTATTATTAGACCTAGTTTCATCTTCCTAATTAAAGCCAGAACAAACCAATTCCTTTTTATTTTCTCATCAGTCTTTCAGTAAAATAATGCCAAATGAAGAATGCCCTGTGATCAGTCCCCAAGGGAAATACCCACTAAAGGAATTCTGTCTTTAACAAAACAATCTGCTTCTTTTCATCTTAGAAGAAGTGAAATACTGTTTGGCTGTTCCACTGTTGGTGGCTGACAACCTGCATTTCCAGGAACGTGCTTATTTATACTCTTTATCACCCACAAGTTTCCACAAGTTTCAGTGGAGCAAGAAGGAGAGGTGCTTGGCTCTTAGTGGAGTACATCGTGTGTGGATTTTGTAATGGCCACAGCTGAGGGAAGTCATCACAGTTGCCTTTAACTTGTGTTTTTCAAATTACACAGCCTTCCACCCTGCACATTATTAATGTCTGTTTTCACCAGAGCACTGTCCCCCTTCACACAGGGCCTGTGTCAGCTGCTGCCTGTGGTGATGGATGTTTGTTGCAATGCACATTTTAACAAGCCTGTTCTGAACATGAATGTTTTTCAGCCACCCAAAGTGGAGAGTCTGAATGGTTTGCTGTTGGGATACCGGATCTACTATCGGGAGCTGGATTATGACACTGGACCTGGAAGAGAATCCAAAAACATCCAGAACCCTTCAGCTTTACGAGCAGAGCTCACACGTAAGCCTACTGTAGTTTGGACCCTAAAATATCCCAGAATGGTAATCTGTCATTACACCAGACACTATAAGCCCTCTTGCCCGATGAAAGTAACACATAAGTCTAAGAGTGCTGGGGATAATTCAGGTTTTACACAGTCAGGGTGAAGATGCTGAAAAATGCAAGTAAATCCTGTGTGATCAGCACTGTCATGGTCCATGCTAATCTCTGCCAGCATGCTGGAATTGATGGTCTGTCCCCCAGGTATCCTCTGATTTCCTGCTTTTCACTACTTCCAGTTCATGATTACTCTGGTATACTTTGTTCTACCATGAGACAAAAGAAAGACGCTTCATTTTCCTCAGCTGGCAACTTTTTTCTTTCTTGCTGTTTTTTCGATAGTTTTTATAATTGGCATTTTGTTTTTCTTTTTACTGTGTAAGAAAACAGCTGAGGAGAATTTTTAAATAGAATTTTTACGATTTCAAAGCTCTTGTCCATATTTTAGAAGAAAACAGTAAGGATGAGCAAGAATTTTTAGGTGCATGCTTTCCATGTTAGTCACTAGGATTTATGGCTCACATGGAAAGAAGGTGGAGAGGGAGAGGAATAATAGAAAAATGAAAAGGCTTTTTAGACAAAGACTAAAAAGGAAATCAGAGGGAAGAATAGGCAGAATAAGGTGATGGAAGGCAGAGATGTGATCACTCAGGAGCCTGAAAGATATGGTCCAGCAATGAGATGTGCTCACGGAGGGACCAGCTTTTGTCATGTTTGATGGCAGTGGAATATTCACAATAAGATAATACTCCAAGAGCAGCAGAATAGGGCTGAGTGAGACTGTTTTAATATCTTACATCATCTTCCATGAACCCTGAACTCATAAAAGTGATTTCTACAAAAGCAAGAGTGAATTTTTGTGAGGGTCTGGGAGAAGTGGATGCTTTAAATATAACGTAAGCACCTAACTGTGACCTCACTTACATGGTCAGTGCTAATGAGATTTCTCAGGCTGTGCAGTTTTAACCAGGACAGAGTAGAGATGTAAAGCTCTTATAGGTGCATAAGGGATTTTCCCAGACAAAAGCTGAATGACTGTATACATTATCATGAAGTAATGATTTTGGATGCTCTCACAAGTCAGGGAGCCTGTGAAACCAGCCGGTTTCCTCTTTTCCCTCTTCTCTCCTGGCCCTGCAGGAATGTTCCTAATAGCTGTAGAGTTGAAAAAACAAGCTGTACCTCTCCAGGGAGTCAAGAGACAGAGAGAGAAAGGGGTGGAGACAAGTGTATTTTCAGATAAATTTCCCTCTTTCTCCTCATAATTCTCACCTTAGAACACCTCTGTTCCTCACTGACCCGCAGTTTTGCACAGCTTAGCATCTTATTACAATTCACTCACAGCAGGAATATTGAATTCTTTAAGTGAAACTGTGGGAAATCTAACTCACACTTAAAGAAACAGGTCCTGTCCTAATGTAAGTGTTCACTCTCTGGCCCACGTTCCAGGTCTTTCCCCTGCAGCTCTTCAGGTTTTGAATTTTGCATCTTGAGAAATCAGGATGTAACGCACCACTGAGAGTTTTCCCCCTTAGAAATCATTTCGGTTTTTCCTCATTTGTTCTGTTTAATCTAAAAGTCAGAACATTTTTGTGTTGTGTATTTGTGAGTTCCTCTGTTTGAGGAGGAAATGAAACAGCCCCGTGTGAGCGAGGCGCTTTTGATGTGTTACGAGAGAGTGATGTGATTTTATTGCCCTTCAAGGTATAGTCCTGCAGCTTAAACTGTGTATGGGTGTGCTGCCTCATTTGCCTCTGTCTCTGCTGTACATCATTTGCAATAACTATTTCCTTGCACTGTAACAAGCTTTCTGCTTTGCTTACCCTGAATAGCCCAAAGCAGCTTCAAGACAGTGAACAGCAGCTCTGCATTAACGACGTATGAATTAACACGTAAGTGCACATTGCCTTTAGATGAGACTCTTTGTAATGGTTCAAAATACACTGTAGGCAAACTCCTATGGCTCTCCTCAGTGGATCCAGCAGAAATCAACACAGATTAATGATTCTGCTTTCTCCAGTTTCTTTTTTCTTTAAGCCTTTGCTTTCCCTACGCCAAGAGACATCGATGATGCAAGTAGGTAGCTGTTGTAAAAACGTGGCTGCTGGGAAGGTAAAACATTATTGACTGTAACAACCCAGTATTGCTGATGCTAAATGAATTTTGATTTGCTTGCTACATATTTTGCAGTCCATGTGAGCTTAGCTGTATCACATCATTAGTTCTATGATTCAAGCACTGCGATGCTCAGGCATTCCATGGAGTACGAGGCCAGTTTAGAGAGGGCCCAATGAATTTATGTGCATCTCCAGAGGTGTTTTCAATTGGAAATGAATAAAATAACATTCGACAGAGTTAAAAGGCAAAATGCTTTGTGGTGATGATGGTTCACTAGATAGGTTTTGCCCAAGGCTTTTGAGTCACAGATTGTGATGGGCTAAAAAAAAAAAAAAAACAAAAACATGAAGCCCTATCCCCACTGAAAGTTGCATGCATGAACTCTCATGTGTTCCATTTTCTTCCACATCCAGTTAACACTAAAATCTCCCTTGTGGCTTTTCATGGCAGAAAATAAAGTTTCACTGTACAAGCTGCCCACGACTATATCCTATATATCCTACTATTTTTTGTTTGTTTATGAACTTAGCTCCATTACTGCTGATTTCCTTGCTACACGTTTTTCAGTCCATCTGAGTTTAGTGGTATCGCATCAAAAAATTAGGGATGTATCAAATATCATTTTCAGTATGCCCGAGACTGGGGAATGATGCTGGACTCGGAGTCAGATATGGGAGCACAACTCTTGTAAACACTTCTATGAAACTGAAATTAGACAAACTTATATAATTAGGCTCATTGAACCTTGCCAAACCAATGGCATACTGTCAGCCAGCGAGTTAAGGGGACTATCTGATTCATAGATAGCAGGGAAAATTATTGGCAAAGGGAGAAATTTGGACCCCTGGCCATGCGTGTCTTAATTCAAACCTCATTTAAATAGGGCAATTTATATTATTGATCGCCCTCTTACTCTAATCTCCCTGTTAAATATTGTAGATGATAAATATATCTGTTAGGATTGATTCTTTCATCCTGAAAATGCAAAATCTGAAACTGCTCAGGCGCTGCCTCCCCTAATGACGTTGACGTGATTCTACTCCACCCTCGTTTGCATCAGTTAATTACCCGCATACAACTGGGTTTTCTAGATTTTTTCACGCTTCTCTCACTCTCCTGCCTCATCTGGCAGAGTAGTTTCTCTGTGTCAGCAAAGGAATTTGGTGCCTGGTGGTCAAATGGAGTCCAGCCTTCAAATTCTTCTTTCTCTTTGTGGTTGATGGTCAGGCTGTGGTCACGCTGAAGGAGAAGGATCCCCGTGGAGTACTTGGAATGGGACTCCAGATGCCCCACTGCAGTTTTTCCTCTGCACCCTGCTTCACCTGAGGCATTTTTGAGCAGCACAGTTGCCAAATGCCTCCCTAGATGAACATCCCTGGGATTAGGCAAAGGCTTGCAGCTCTTTCCTACCAGTAGAGATGGAAAGGAGCCCATATGTTGACATTCAAAGCCATTTTCTGTCCTTAAGAATGACCTAGAGATGTTCCTCTAGCTAAATATTCATCAGGAATATCTGGACAATCCTACCTTTTCAACACAAATACCTTTCATAATTATTCAAATCCTGCCATGAATTAAGGAAGGATGGAGTACATTGCACTGTTGTACTGTTCTATTGCTGTGTGTCCCAAGAGAGAAGTATGGTGATGAAGAGGTCTTGGAGTCTTAAAAATATCTGTAATATAGTATAAATGATAAGATAGAATATTAATATATAATATTTTACTTTTCAGAGTTGAAAAAATACAAGAGATATGAAGTACTAATGACAGCATACAATGTCATTGGTGAGAGCCCTACCAGCACACCAGTGGAAGTATTTGTGGGTGAAGCAGGTAAGTAAAAAAAAAATTGGTTGATTTTATTTTTTTTTAAAGTACCAGCATGTTTTAATATTCTCCAGATAATATTTAATATTTGCTCATAGAGGGGATGATTTGAAAACACAAACAGTTTTTGTAGCCTCCTGGAATAAGTTGGCACTGACAGCTTCTTGCCATTGGAAAGCCACTTGGTCTGCACGAACAAGGGGAGAAAGGGCATCTGAAAGAAAGAAAAGGAAATATTTTTGGAGTTGCAGGAGGATGGCTGTTCATACCAAATTAGCTTGAGGGGAAAATTGACTCAAGTTGAAGAAGTGAAAAGTGGAGCACAGGAAAGCCACAAGGGAAAAGAAACAAAACTACAAAACAAGGGAGACTTGGAAAGCTGGTTCTTTTATTTTATAACTCGCCGTGTAGAGACATTGCCTTGCACCACACCTGGCTGTATTTTTATGCTCTTGAAGCAAGAAGACACCGTGTCCAGTTTAATGCTGGCTTTGGAGGCACAGATAACAGATTCTGTTGTACCATCCAGCCCCTTCAGAACCTGAGGGGTCAGTGGTTGATGGTCACTGGTCATGGTCTGTTCATGTGGATTTAGTGCACGAGTCCATTATGAATCGTAACTTGATCATTTTAAAATCCCTCCAGTGGAAGGCTGGAGGTGGAAATCAGGACGAAACAGTTAAGTAGGCATTTCTCTGGGTGGTTTTGCAGAGCCCAGATAACCCACAGCTGAGTCTGTTCTCTCAGTAATTCCAGCTGGGAAGGGCAGGACTGCAGTAGCTGATGTCTTCCTCACAGCCCCGGCGGCAGGGCCATATTTATGGTGACCCCAGCTGGAGAGAGGCTGGCACTGAAATAGTTGTTAGTTATGGTATCAGCTTCTGCAGCAGCATCTTTTGAAGCTCAGAACAAGAAGAGGCAGCACACACTCTCCTGTTGTTCAGCCTGCTGCCGAGAACGGGTCTGGTTATGCTTTTGTTCCTCTGTCTCAGGGCTGTGGGAGGTAGAAGCTATCAAACTCAGCACTAATTCATTTCATTATTAGCCATTAAATATTCTATTGCTCAAAAGTAAGTAAAAGCATATTTTTTTTAAACTCCACTGCATTTTTTTAAACTCTACTTAACCTTTTCATTTCAAATATGGTGTAACATTCACCATCTTTCTTTGAAAACATCATAAATTAATCAGAGCAGCCTGGTTCTGGAGAGACAGCTGGCAATATTTACATTTTTTTCTAGTTTGCTGCTGCTCCAACTTACTTCTGCAACTGCAGCAAAGAAAGTCCCAAGTGGAGCCAACTGTATCTGGCTTCAAAATACATTTTTGTTTCAGAGCTAAATATCTCACTGCTGCAAATGGAGCCAGTGTCTGCACTTAAACACATGTACACAGCACAAAAAATCAGCTGGGGAAAAGAAGGAAATGCTGTTATGTCACGTCTTTTAATCCCACTCTCTGGGTCTTCCTTATCATAACTCAGGGAACAGGGCAATGGGGGGAGATAAACTTGAGAAGAAACTGAGATATTTACATAACTCCCAAGTGTCCAGTGGAAGGTGCCCCTGCCCATGGCAGGGGTTTGGAACTAGATGGGCTTTAAGGTCCTTTCCAACCCAAACCATTCCATGATATCCAGGAGGACTCCTTTCACGGGCAGGACTGGTGTATCTGAAGTTGTAGCATGAGTTGGATGGTTTTTTACAGTTGCTGTATTTACTTCTGGTAAGGGACAGTCCAGGTTCATGTGGTAGAAATGATGAATGTAGGATCTTCCTGCCAATTTGCACTCCTGTTGTGTGAAGTTATTACGCTTTGTTATATAACTGCCTCTTCCACCTCCAGAACTGGCTGTGATTTATACTGTGAGTAAAGTGATTGGAGCTGGTACTGCAATTTAAGTTTTGAATTGATTTGTGACACCTTTGAGTCAAAGTGTGCTGTGGAAATACAAGTTTTTGTTGTTATTGTTTGCTCAATGTTCTTACCCATGGTAAAGGCAGTTAAGCAGCTAGCTGGGGAAAAAATGGGCCTGCTCAGCTCCAGCAATGGGGCATCCAGGTTAAAAACAGAGAAAAGCTTCCCAGTAAACAACAAGTGCTGACACAGGCATAGCACTGGGCACAGAGTGACTGAAGGTGACCAGTCCCTGGTCTGAAGCTTCCAGATAACTGATGTCCCAGTGCTGTTAAATGGTGCTTCATTCTGCCACAGGTGTTGCAGTAATTCTGGGAGGTGCAAGAACATTCCTCTCTTGGTCGTAAAAAGGAATATACAGCACATGCCTTTGGGGAAATGTGCTGGGCTTAGGCCAGCTCAGTCAAAATACCCATTTCCCTTGGGTATTGATGTTGCTAGTGGTTGATGTGCTGTTCAGCTTCTGTGTCTGGTGCAACCAGATGAGTGATGTAGAAGGAGAAGTATCTGTGATTCCTTCCATCCTTCTGGTGCTTTCCCCTGTTAGATTTGAAGATTTTCTTATCATTGTATCTGGATTTTTGTAATAAAAATTCCAGCAGGCAATAGATCTACCTGAAAAACTTGGAGAAGAAACAGCCATGAAAACCAACCTTCTGCAAATTTTTTCAATTAAATGAGCAAAAAATACCCAAATGGGGAGTTTCTCTCCAGCCTTTAAGTGCTGTTGAGCTGTACCCCAGCCAAAAGAACATCCTCTTCGGGCAGCCTGAGTGCTCTGTTCTTCCTTGCCTCTGACTGATGGGCAGGTGGAAGTTTTGGGAGAGAACAACCTGCTGGCAGGCAATGGGCCAGGTGTGAGTAACAGAACTCCATATCCTGACTTGCCTGGGGAATAGGGAAGCTAAATGCAAGTGGTGTGGATATTTTGGGGGTTTTTTTGGCGGTGTTTTTGTTTTTTTTTTTATTCTACAGGTGGGGCAAAACCTTTTTATAGCAGCCCACAAGATCAAAGCCCCACCAAAGGCTCCATTTTGAGTTCTGCCTGGGTGTTGGCAAAGCTCACTGGTGTGGAGTGTGGAGAGCAGTTCTTCCCCGTGTTGGGAGAGCAGGCTGCGAGTCCTTGAGCTCAGTGCAGCTGGAAGGACGTGCTGCCTGTTCAGTCTGAACAGAGCCCATGTCCTTCCCCCACCTGCCTCAAGCATCTGGCTCCCTCTCCTCCACGGACCAGAAGATCCTCTAACGCTGCCTTTTTCGAGCTGGCTGCAGCTCTGCCCTGCTCATTAGGGAACCATGTGCATCTCCTGACAAATGACAGAAAAATTGAAAGCCACCACTTGCAGAAATTAGGAAGGGAGTCGCAGCCCCGCTGGCAAGCCCCCTTTTTGCCTTGTTAATTCATTTAACAGTTCAGCTGTCAGGGATGCTGGCTTTGATTGGGAAGGCAGTGAGTGTTCAGCGAGAGGCTGGGTACTGATATTCATCCCAGCCCGAAACACAGCTGCTACCAGAGGTGCTGTTCTGCCCGACTGAAATTAGGACTCTGTTAGAGCAGCCACTATATCAAGAGCATTATTCTACCAGGTTGCTGTCACTACCTGATTGTGTGGTGGGCTCTGGAGTTCTGGAGACTCCACTACCTGCATTTTAATTAAACAGAAATCACAGGTTTGGGGCAGCCGTGCTTCACCTAATTTGGGAAGGTGAATGAAATAAAAGGTGGCAATACAAATCCTGTGCTAACGAGCCTGCAGCCTTCCGTGCTTCTCCCATATACTGCAAAGATGTTTTGGATGAGAAATAATGGAACTCATCATTTCTTACAGCAGCTGCTGCTGGAGTAGAATATGTGTGTGGAAAGAGGAGGTGGCAGAAGGGGTGAAGTGCTCCAAGAGGCACTAGCCTTTAAACAGGTTGTAAACCCATTTGTGTGAAGAGGGGAGTGATGTGTGTCATTATAACTGATGGTGACATTGGTGACCTTCAGAATTCTCAAGAACTGATGGGGCTGGGTTGTTATTGTTGTTCTTTTTAATGATGATCCCTGAGAGTTGGTTCTATGATGGAAAAGGCAAGGAGTAAAAGGAGCTGGGAGACAGATCCCTTTCTTTACATGTCCCCCATTGAAATGTCGCCTTTGTTGTACCATCATCTTTCAGAGAAGGTCTCCTGGCCTTCTCACTTTCTTCCAAGTGAAACTGTAGCTTGGAAAGGAACAGGAATGGGAGAAAGGGATGACTGCTTCTTACCTGTGTCTTGAAAAGCTGAATCTACCTCTTGGTGCAAAGCTAGCAGACACCAAAGCAAATTTCTTCCTGTTATCTGCAATTATTTTCATCTGCCCTCCTGTCTGCAGCTCCACAGGTGTTCATGAACTTCACAAAATTCATTTTGTTCACCTGTAGCTGACACAGGGAGGGAAGATCTGCTCTGCCAGTAATGTCAGGGGAAGCACTTGGCGCTGCCTGACTATCTCCAGCATTTTGCAGTCAAGAAACAGAGACCATCTGGAAAGCTCCAAGACTAAAAATAGTGAATTAGGTTTGGGAAAGAGAAGGCTAAATTGAGGGAGGAAGCCATGATAAGAACAAAGAACGCTTGTAAGGAAGCAAAGACTTGACTCCAGGTACTTGGTCCCCCTTCATAAACTGCTTCTAGCACAGAGCTCTTGTTCCTCCTTACCTGGTTATCTGTGCTGGGGCAATGTCCCTCTGTCTCTTTGGTAATGGCAGAGAAGGTTGGCAGAACAAGGCTGCCTTGTCCTTGGGTGTTTCCATCTCTGCTGGCCTCGCTCTTTGATGTGTTCACTCAGAACACCCCACGTGGTGCCGCCTCCCCATCGGAGGTCGCTTTCTGCAGAAGGGGGTCCCCCAGCACTACCTTGGGCAGCCCTTTCTCTTACAGCACAGCAGCTTTATCTCCTTCCCTACCCCAAACACAGCAGAGGAGATGCTGTTCAGAGCAGTCCCCTGTGCCTCCTTGTTAACAGCCTGGGAGAGGAATGACAGCATTTCAGCGCATTAGAGCTGGCAGCTTCAATCAGCTGCCGTGGCCCCGTGGCTGTTTTCTCCTATCTGTGTGGGACACGT